CACAAATTTTGTTAAAGTTACGATTAATTGGTAACAGAGCTTCGTGTCGTCCAATTCGGTCTGTAATCATACTCGTGATTAAACAAATCGGACTCCCGCTACGCGGTCGTCCGATTTTGTTAATCACTCGTATGATTACAGACCGAATTCGACTCCACTCAGTCCTGTTACCATTACTAATTTGGACAGTTTTCAATATGGAATTTGAGTAAAAATGCAGAAACTGTCCTATTTGGGAAAAATAGGACAGTTTGTTTCAGCCAATGAAATCCGAGAAAAAACAATGGATTGTGAAACCAACCAATCAGCAGTGAGCAAACGTCAGCACTGAAAGCAGGACAGGTCGCCAATGTTGTTGACAACATGGAGGAATTCAGTGAAGAAAATTTGCCAAATTTTTCCATCTTTAGCAGTTCTAACACAAATGAGAGATTTCCATGGTTGCAGGAAGAGGAAATTAATACCCTTAGAAGCAGAAACGAAAACTCAAACACCGCCAAGAGCACAAAAACGTGGCTGAACGTTTTCAACGAGTGGAAACTCCTGCGTAACGAAGCGAGACGTTTTGAAGATATCCCTCCAGAAGAGCTAGATGCAATTCTCTGCCCCTTCTTTGCCGAAATTCGAAAACAAGACGGCGGCGAATATGAACCAGAAAGTCTGGCAGTGATACAGAGCGCGTTGGACCGCCATTTAAAAAACGCTGGCAAAAAACAAAGCATCTTGCGAGACCGCGAATTTGAAAAGTCAAGGAAACAACTTCAGGCGAAAGCAAGAGAATTGAGAGTGAAGGGTTACGGAAAGCGAAAAAATGCATTTCACGCTTTGAATGAAGAAGGCGAAGAATTCCTCTGGCAGTCAGGTCAGCTCGGTAAACATTCTGCTCAAGCTCTGTCAATGTAAACTTTAAAAATGTCACTGAACACTTTGGCCTCCGAGGGAGACAAGAGCACTATTCAATGATGGTGGAAGATTTCAGCATCATAACTGACCAGGCCTGGCAGTTCTTCCAGCAACAGTTTCAGTACCATCAACAACTTTACAGGTACAGTGAATTTCTATGGTGCATTTCCTGGCTTTCCAGGTCTATCTAATATACCAGTGCCAACTCACCAAAGCACAGAGCCACGACGTACATGGAAAAGGATCAGAGCTTCTGTGCTCTCAGACTCAGATGAGTACTAGCTATTGTTGACTGTACAAAAACTTCAAATTTACACCTTTCTTGTATTCATTGCAGTTTTGCACTTTTTTAATGTGTACGTGTTTTGTACAGACTAAAATAATTAATTTTATTTTTTTCTGCACTTTGTTAATTGCATTCTTTTCTTAATCTTTTTCCGTCTTTATTGTGTGTGTGTTATTTCTTTACACACTTTATTTCTTGATATTGAAAACTGGATAGTTTCAAAATAATGAAATTCAAAATTTTTTGACCTTAAAGTTTTACAGTATTGTAAAATTTATTATATTTATTAAATTCAATTGTGATAATGAAATTCATTTCTATTTGGACTACAGCATGTATTTAAAAATGAATTAAAATTAAAAAATTATTAAGATTTCTGTCTGTTTTTTATCAGAGACAGTTCCCATAGTGTTCCTTGCGAAGCTGTATTTCCTCACTAGCTATATAATTAATAAGTAAGAGGACTACATGCTTGTCCAATTTGGAAATAATTGGATTCAAAAAATTCCTCTGACAGCCAAATTGGACTCGGCCTACGGCCTCGTTCAATTTTGGCTGTCCTTGGAATTTTTTTCATCCAATTATTTCCAAATTGGACAGCATGTAGTCCTATTACATATACTAATAAGTCACGTGACCCCTTTATTTACCGCTTCCTTTACAACGTAAAAATACTTAAAAGGCGAATTGTTCAGAACCTATTCAATAGCCTCTGAAATATGCCTAAAAGAACTTGTTGTTTTTTCATTTTCTTTTCCCCATTTTAGAGTAAATGTTTTGACTGTTAATTGTCAATTGCCAGTCACGTGACCAAAATTTGAGCTTTTAAGATGTCTTATAGTGTTCAGGCCATTAAGCTCCATCATGATCATTGATAGAAGCAAACCGTTCTAAATAGCATTTTATTAAACTATGCATATTTAATTAGATAGTCATGCCTTAAGTCGCCTGAGTTTATTTATTTATTTATTTATTTATTTGTACGTACGTTAGTGGTCCGTAAACAAATCATTGCTTTCACAGACAATCTTTGATGGGGACGGGAAACGCAATGTTTGTTTATTTCAGTTAAAAAAAAAAAGAAAACAAAACAAAAAAGAACAAGAAAAAGAAAGGGAAAGAAAGAAAACTAAGCAAGAGAAAGAAGAAGATCGCTAAAAGTTATTGTTTTGTGATTCTTTACCTCAACTAGATTGGTGAAAGCCTTGACAACTTTGTCAATATCGCTCCAAATCAGTGCGTCGATATCAGCGTAAGTATCTAATGTCGTGTTATTCATTATCGATAGATAGGAGAAGCTCATAACTTACTTATTATATATATAACCACTAGTGAATTACTAGGTGAGCTTTCGCGCGAAAACATTTTATCTTCACACGTAAACATAACAAGACTTGTCATATGTGTTATATGAAAAGATCACCGTTGCTATAGCTACATGATAAATTGTGCCTTTTGCAGCTGACGAGACGAGGAGAATGCCTTATCTCGCCTCATATTAGCTTTGGCCCTAATTGAGGAGCTAAGACGCTGGCTCTCTTCTCTGCTGTAAGATGTTTTTCTCCGGATGCACTGGTTTTCCTCCTCAAAAACCACATTCCCTATTTCAAATGTGATCTGATAATAGTGAGCTTCCGCAACGGGACGGCAGGAAGAAGAGGACGGTAAATCACTTGTGTGTGACAAACGTGACAGGGCTATTACTTGCGTGTTTTCGTCGTTTTGGCGAAAACTTGTTTCAAAGAACATTTTTTGCCACGGTTGTCACACAAGGTTGGCCGTCTTCTTTCCTCTCCCGTCCTGTTGTGTAAGTTTACTAATGTTTCCAAATGGACGGGGACACTTAGAGGTCGACAGGTTTATCAGTTTTTAAAACTGCAAATTTTAGTGTCGCCCGCTCTACATATCGTTTGTTTGTTTGTATTCCTGTTCGTTTGTTTTGTTCTGTTTAGCCCCGGATTACCATTTACCACTTGAAGCAAGGTACCGACAGTCACACTTACGGTGGCTCACGATTTCCAGAAGTTTCTTTGATATACCATGAAGGCTAGCACTATTTTTATTGTGCTTGTTATAATTATAATAGTATCAAATAGAGATGAATGTGTCAACCCCCCAACCTACCCATAAGCGGAAACCCTTGGGATGACGGATGTTGACGTTGATGACGACGATGATGATACGTACATAAACTGTGCGTGGGGAAACTATTTTATCAGCTAACTTTTCGTGTATTTTGCAAGTAATTTTTTCGTATGCCTCTTTTAGAAGGAGGAAACAGAAAGCAATGAAAATACGGATACCATCCCCCATCTCGAGCAGTCGAAAGATAACAAAAAAGTGGTAAGTCGTATCACAGGAGCATATACCTATACTCGAACTGACTGATTTGTTATGTAGTGTATCCTAATAAGTTTCTCAATGTTTCATCTCAATGTTGCTAGCAAGAGTATGGAAAAGTCTTTGGTGATGCTGCAACAAAAAAAGGCAGTCATATTGACAACGGGTTCTCTCTCCTTCCGCGCTATATTTGAAAACGAGAAGACCCTGGGAACGAGGTTGTCACATTTAGCAGCAGAAAACAAGGAGTGCTTACCATCTGTATGGAAAACCCGGAAATTTCGGGGACAATTCAAATGGAAAGGTTCATCCTGGTGGAAATTTTCCGGATGAAAAGAAATACCTTTCGAGGTATTACCTTTTTCCGGTTTTTACCGAAACGACCGAAATTTTCTGTACCATTTGTTTGGATTACCAGTGCCAGGCTTCAAGTCGAGGGAAAGCGAAAAATTTACCGGTATTTTGAAAAATTAATGATACAACTCAATCCCGTTCCTGTTTCCGGTGCCCAAAACAAAAGCCAGTGCCATTTGACGGAAATTTTTCGCTGAAATTTCCGTACAAATGGTAAGCGCTTAAATTTCCCTCCATGGGACCTCCTCTTGTTTAGCATGCCATTTCTATACTGCCTTCTACGATCCGGGCTTCAGGCATCGTGAAATCGTTTTGTATTTCACTGCTTGAGAATATGTCCACACCAAACACGTACAAACGTATGAGTTAACAGCTTCCGTCTGTGAAGAATAAACTGGTAATATCGTCATCATCCCGATGATGAAGGTGGTCACAGCCGTAGTGCCATTGAAATCCATTCCCACGTCGTAGTATCAGGGGAGAGGTCGTAGAAAACCTCTTGACTTTTGACCGTGTTATTATATTTTGCCTGTTACGAGTATTGTGGGATGTGGCCCTGCTTTAGACCTGTGCCGGTGTCCTTTGCCCTAGCCATCATTTTCGCCTTTGGTGAAAACTGAAATTTTTGGAGCATGTTGTCATGGTAACATTGTCATTTATGTCTTATGCAATGGCTCACCAAATGTCGCCAAATAGTGTCTGAAAATACAAATTACTAGATACTGAGGAGTTTTGGTTCTGGCTCAAAATTGTTCAGTTTCTACTGATCCGTCATAAGCATTTTGAGGTTCTCTTCCCTCCCTGTTTAATAAGAAGTTAGAATGCTTTTAAAAAGACCCATTTGCGGTGATCCAGAGCCCCCCAGAGGGCTTGCGCGCATGCTAACTTAAATGTAATCGTGTAAACATAGACTGGGTAAAGAAAGTGTGGCGGCCGGTTAAATCTGTGTCCGTTTGCAACCGTTAACGTTTTACGTCACGTGTGACAAAGCCTGTTACATTTTTTCCTCGCGATAGGATGAAGTCTGAAAGACTCTGAAGGGGGACAGCGTTTCCTTCGAGTTGATATCGATGGTTTCAAGACGAGATTTAAGCTGTCAGAACAAGACTGGGACGTAATGGAGATCACCCATTTCCCAGGTGGAGGTCGTTTGTTAGGTGGTGCCTGGACTACGATTTTTAAACGTGGTTTACACGAAAGCAATCCCTGGTGCAACTTGCGCCTAAAGAATAATCACGTTCGAAAGGAAAACTCTCGAAAGATGATCTCAGCACCGTTCTTCAGAGGATCTGGAAACTGCAAGCGTCGCGAATGCGACATGAAATTTAAGATGGTCATCGAGGAAGAGAGGGGAAAATACGTGGAAGTGACGTATACAGGAAATGTCTGCCACAACTACAAATCGTACCCCGCGAAAGGGTGACTGAAAAATAGCTGCCAAAGACCTGAAAACGGTCTCGGCATCATGCTCACTCGGTTAGTAGAGGCCGCTCGGGATATGTTAGCTTTGTGAACTTGAATCCTAGTGCAAGGAGAAGACCTTTGACTTCAGTCTTTAGTATCTTGAGAATCTAGACAAGTTCACGTTATTAAAGAATCGGAGAGAAAGTAGAACGATAATGAAGTTTGAATGTACCTGATATATACTTCTATAGCCAAAGCGGTTAAAAAAGTAATTTTTTGAACTAGAAGACCGAGTACAGACTCAGTACAAAGGACCGGGAGGTTAGCAATTCTAATTTTTGTACTAGTAGCCTATTTTTCTCTTGATCTTAGTGTCCAAATCAATGTTTGCTCAGTTTCCACGCCAATGACAAAAGCAATGACAATGACACTAACTGGGAGAGAAGAAGAGGATCAAAGCTCATATTATATAAAACTAAAATTAGCCAGCTGCCGTCTTCAGAGCCTTCTTACAAGGCTATGTTATGGCTTTTTTTGATCAAAATACAGAGGATGCCAAGGATCCAAGGATCTTAACCACGGTTTTTATCTACAAGAAAGAGAATGGAAATGGTAAAAATTAATTCAAGAAGGAACAATCACTAATAATGTTTTGCTGCATTTTGTTTTGCTACCTTATTGAGATTTCTGTAAACTTTGCTGTTTGTTTTGTTGCCGATTTTTCGGCACTTTTTCAATAAACGATTACTCTTTCATCATCATCATCATCATCATCATCATCATCATCATCATCATCGTCGTCGTCATCGTCGTCATCATCATCATCAATTTCCTCATCACCATTAAAATCGGCGCACCGCACTATCAAGCCTTAACATTTTGTTATCCACATTCTAAGCTTATGGGATCCGTGCACTCGTCAGCAAGCATTATCTTCCACGCTTACTACACAAATGCTAAGAGTATTGGTCAAAGAGCGGTTTAAGTCTATCAGTCTCCCGGTCAGCGCTTCCCTGACGACGCAGATTAAGAATCACGTTCTGACCGCGAACAGCAGACGTCGATTTGTACCTGTTAATCAAGTCTTCTCTTGTCGGTTACTGTTTAATTTATCTGCCCAAAATAGGTATTTTTATACCAGTTTCATAATATTTACATTTGTGGCAAGGCTTATTCCAGGTTCATCAAGACTCCTTGGCTAGACTCTCCTCATCCCCCTTCTTCAGAGTCTCTACGGATGAACGTACGGACACACACAAGGACTTGATTTTATCAACTGAGTTGATACAGTATCACACTGGCCACTGTAAAAAGATTGAGATTGAAAAGCTGACGTTTTGAGCGTTAGCTCTCTTTAAAAGCGATCTCACGGAGATAGACTGATCATCACCGTTATGGTTGAAGTATGAGGCCGTCAAGCCGGATTGAGCACCCAGTAATTCCACTGCATTTTCGACTTTGCCCACATACCCCCGATCCTCATGACTGAACGACAAACTTTCCTTAATCGTGAATACAGGAAAGGTTTATATTGATTTTTTAACTCCCTCGGAAAATGAGCCGGTTTACAAAATTGATAATCACCAGCAGGAGCAGTAAACAATTTAATGACATGTGACCAGCTTTAAACGACAGGTCTTTTAATTGGGTCTTTGTGCCCTGAATCAACAATACCCTATCTGTATACACTAAATTGAAATTGAATCTGATAAGTACAGTAATGTTCAGATAAACCAACAACAGAAACTTTCCATTTTATGGTTGGTCAAATTCAAGTTCGTTGAACCCTCAATGTGAGAGACAATTTTTTCACATTTCGTAACAGTTCCAGCTGGATTGTTTTGTGATGTCATTTCAGTCTGAGATGAACGCTTTTTCAACTTCCTAGTGTGCCCAAGTCTCATTCCAAATTGATTTTTGCTTAATTATTGCGTTCTTTAATACCTATACATTTTAAAGTCGTAAAAATAATAAATTGGGCGGAGATACTCGAAATGAACCAATTAAACATGTCAGAAATTGGTTACGATCAAGCTTTGCGCTTCAGTGAACTTGAACCATTCCTTTTAATAAATCAACACAGCGGGTTGCTAACTCAAAGAAAGTGACATCGATTTCAGCTATTGGTCTGTCAATAAAAAAAGCCATGGGTCTGTCAAAATTAAGAAGAACAAGTCTCTGCCGTAGACTTACATGGTATCTAGTTTTACCCAGTTGAATCAAATGGCTTTCTCCACACCCAGTTTTAAAGTAGAGTTCATGAATTATGTGTGTCGATGCAAAGAGGCGTGAAACTGTAAACTGGCCAGCTCGCGACCGTTAATTTCAAACAAATTACGAAATTGTAATATCAAACATTACAGAGATAGGGGAAAGAATGGCGCAAATTATTTCACGGTAATCTCCTCTATAACCTACTTCAGTCATTTCTGACCATGGCCGCCGTGTTGTTCAAATACGTTTCAGCAGAGGCCGGAAAATTCTCAGGAAATGATCACAACTCTGGTCATGAAAGAAAGATGGTCGACGAGTTTCTAACCGGTAAAGGTTGGCATTTTATTGGGAACCAAGCGTTCCATTCCGAACCATCGTTTGGCACAGTAAGGGAACAAATGGTCTCTCAGGCAAGAGCGATATGGGACATCGAAGAACTTCTCAAGTGGAAACCAACACTAAAGGATTATCTCAAGGATTCCCTGGTAATCGTAGGTCAAGTTTACGATATCAACTCACTGATGGAAAGCAGCAGTGTCAAACGACTGACAAGAAAACAAGGAGATGACGAGCGACCTACCGCGCTAGTCGAGTTGGAATCAATAAAAAATTACTCTGTCATGAAAGATCGCGCTTTCCCAAATGACAGCACAACAAAAGCATCAATTGCAAACGCAGTGAAGGCCATGAAGCTTGGTCAGCCAAAGATCAGAAGCCCAGTGAAACCAAAAGTGAAGAACACGACGCGTCCCGCTCGCGTTCGCCCAATGGGTTCTGCCACAAAGGCAACCAGTCACCCGATTGTTAACTTTCCCAGAACACCTGTAACAACCGCTAAGAGCAAAAGCGGCACAACCCTGTTGATCAAACCCGGTCATTCCCGGAGCGATATGAACTCAAATCTTTTGTCAGCAGCAAGCAGGGACGACAATCAGAGCATGGATGGAGACGACATGACACCGCTGTATCTCACGTGTTTGGCGGAAGACAGTGACCACGGGGAAAAAGACGTTATTCGTGATTTTGCGCGGTTAAGTGGTTATCATGTCGAAACCTTTGTTACCAGAGATATATGTACCAAGAAACGTTGCTGTTCAAACGTCAATATGGACCCGTCGGAAAAGGTTGTGGTCTGAGTTAAATTAATGCAAGCAAATGCCGGAGAAAATAATTCTTCAGCCTCTTTCACAATAAACACTGAATTAGACAAGATTAACCTGAGCTACCAAATGAAGATGTTAAAATTACCAGAAAGAAAGTGAGAGAAGAGACTATCTAATCAGGTTCAGGTGAGACTAGGGTTTTCATTTGAGCCAACTTTGTATGATTAACAGCAGCAAACTGATTTTGCAGAAAAGACCGTATTATACTAACAGCATTTAAAAGTGGTGAGAATGCTTCATTGAGGCTGGTTTTGAGACGTCTGATTCCTAATCGCAGACTTTAAAGAGCTTATGAGCAACTGAAAGTTAAAATTGCTACTATTAGGCTATATGTTATAGCCCACTGGTAGTGAAAAGCGCCGGCTTTGAAAACCAAAACAATAGCGGCTGAATCGCGTTTTGTTCGCTAAAGTTGTTTTGTCTCGATCTTTTTGACCAACTAGTTGGATTTTACTAAAACAATTATTCCTCGCGCCCTCATGGCCTCTGATTCAACAGCCCATTCGGCCTTCGGCCTCATGGGCTATTGACTCAGAGCCCATTCGGGCTCGAGGAGTAATTGATAAATAGTCTATTCTGTGGTCAATTATACACCCCATCTTTTGGGCAAATGTGTAGTTTTGGCCATAACAACTAAGTCACTTTCTATTTTTATGAATTGACCCATATTTTCGATATAATAGTAAGAACAATAATAAGTCAAAAGATGAATTGACTATATTTGAAAATTGAAAAAGACGGAAGATCTACCTTACAATGGCCTGGATTTACTAAGCGTAAACCGTATGATATCATACGACAAAGTTGGACATTAGAGTGTTAAGAGATTTTTGGAAGAGCTGATCGAGAATGTTCGAAAGTTTCAAACAAAGAGGATACTTGCAAGGAAAGCGGAGTTGGGATCTGGAGAGAGCCTGCATGGATGATGTTAATATAAGAAGGGGATATTCCAAGGCGGCAGAAAGGTGGTAAGAACAGAAAAACCATGCAAAAAGAAAGAGAAAGCAAATGGGAAGACATCTAGGGTCAACCAGCTTTTATTTATGGATGGATGAAAAACAAGCAGAAACACTTGCTGCCCTGATGTTCAGAATGTTTCTCAGAAATTGCAATCAAATCTGGTATCATGAAATGCCGATTGTTAATACTGAGGCACGGGGAAGTGATTAAAGTGAACTGAATTGTTTTACGGGATGTCCAAATGAAGGACATAAATATTTGACAGTTTTGGAGATAGATAAGATTAAGGAAGGGGAAATGAAAGAACAGTTTACCAGAGAGTATACAAGAGGAAATGGAAACTCGTATTACGTACGATAAAAGTTGAATGGTAACAACTGGGCAGTGGCAGTTCTCAGTATAAAGCAGGCATTATAAGGTAGTCAAAGGAAGAAGTAAGCTCATTGGACTAGGCCACGAGAACGAATTGATAACAATGAACGGTGTACAACACCCAAAAGGAGATGTTAATAGATTAAATGTTCCCAGAACGAAAGGTGGGCTGGGACTGATTAGTTGGGAGAATTGCATAGGAAGTTGGCACGAAACAACTTTTGGATGGTACCTCGAGAATTCAGAGGAATTGTTAATAGATGAAAAATCTGTTAGTACTGTTGAAACTTAAATGACTTAGCTGTCAGGATGTAGATTTTCCTGCAAACCTGTGGGATACCAGAACAAGCTTTATAAGGGAGTCGTTGCGCAGACGGACTATATCGAGTTCTCTTATATCTGTGTTGCAGCCGGACTTGTCAATCAAGACCCAGGCTTCTTTCATAATGGCAGCCCATTCGCTACTTTCATATTCCCATAATGCACCTTGTTTACCCCCTCCCCGCCCCCTAAAAAAAGTTTTGCATAAGCATTGTTTCCAAATTCTCTTGAGATTTACAATCCTCCCAAGAGAACTTGAAAACAATATTTATACAAAATTTTTTGGGGGTAAACAAGGTGTATTATGGTTAACGTGAAAGTAGTGAATTAATTTATTCTTATATATGTATGATGATTAGCCCTTTCGGATCTCGTTAGCATGTGCAAAATACAAAAGAATTCCTACTTTCAAACGAGGTCAGAAAGGCTAATTAACATACATATAAAAGAATATGTTAATAGCCCGCCATTATGAGAGTTCTTTTCATTTTCATTTAGGGCCTGTTTACATGGAGTGGGGGACCCCGGTCTAGTGGGGTTGGTTTCTTTTGTTTTCACGCTCTGAGGGACACAAAACAAAAGAAAACTACCCCACTAGACCGGGGTCCCCCATTCCATGTAAACAGGGTCTTAATTCTTTCACAGAACTTGACAGAGCTGTTACAAAAGTATCGAATTTGAGCCGACGTGAGCATGTAATTGGTCATAATTGAATTTCCGTTTTAATTAAAAGTTGGGTTTACTGAGTCGGCATGTTTAGATATGTACTCATAATTTCATAAGTGTATACATAAAATGTTTGAAACTACGAGGTGAAACGCTTCACTTCTGAAACTGAATTTATGGACAGCATGAATACAAGACGAAAGGAGAGTAAATCGCTAAACAGATCTAAACTCTAAATGGGAATCCCATTATCGTTCCTTATTCCATGAGAAAGCTTAACAAAAAAATTAATAAATAACTGATAATAATAAAATTACAACACTGTAATGAGAACTGAGTAGTGAATATAGTAGAAATCCGCAGGTTAAATCAATATCTCATTCAATATTATTCATTATCGTTTGTAATACATTAGTTGTACTCTGTCGACCAATTATCTACCCTGCACATCAAATTAAGTCTTGTAAGGCCACATATTTTATTGAGTAACCTAACATATTAAGAGCCATCCTGGCTCCAGTGCTAGAAACATAGTGTAGGAAAAGCAATAAATGTCAATAAATAAAACCTGATTAAAGGTACGGAAAAACGGGCAACAAAAAACGTGCAACTTGTTTTGCAACATTGCTGCATGCAAAACGAGTTGAATAGTGACGTTGCGCATTTTACCACCTATGTTTAAACCTGTTAATAACCTGATTTGTTGCAAGACAGGTTTAAACATGGGTGGTAAAAGGCGCAACATCGCTATTCAACTCGTTTTGCAACAATGTTGCAAAACAAGTTGCACGTTCATTGTTGCCCGTTTTTCCATACCATAACTCACACTACACAAATGACATGGGTTAAGATTAACGAACGGTATATCAAAATTTAAGACGATGAAACTACCATATGAAACTAACCACTATCAGGCTAACTGTACAAACATCGAAATATATTAATCGTTAATTAACTATAATGGGAAATGGATCAAAGTTCAGCTTGATGGTAACGACATAAAAAGAAATAAACAGATAAACACGATAATAATAATAATAATAATAATAATAATAATATCAATAAAAACATATTACGCTGTTATTGTAACTATATACACTGTACATCCAATAAAGTAATACAATAAGGAATTACAATATTTATACTACTACATGAGAAATTTCTGCAATTTGATTGGCTTAGAGCAGTGGTATTTCAGCTTAATTTGAAATACCTACATGTGAAAATTACAAACCTTGCGGGTAGTAGTATAAACAATTAATAGCATGATTTGTAGGTGACATTTGGCATAAATACCACTCGTGATATTTCAAAATTGTCTCAAATTTCACTCGCCTAACGGCTCGTGAAATTACGTATAACAATTTTGAAATATCACTCGTGGTATTTATGCCAAATATCACTACAAATCATGCTATTACCTATACTAATAAACGTGGAAATAAACGACGAGGCTGATTACTAAAAGAATACAGGTGTGCTAACTACAGGTTTGGACTGAAAACCGCATCCCTTTTGGTATTGATTCAACGTGCACATTCAATAGAATTGTTTTCTATATCCACCTAGATATACATATATTTTCTGTTGGAAGTCAACCACCATCTTGTTTGGCAGTATTTAAAAAAAAATTCAGTCTTTTTCGAGACAGTGAATGGTTCTTGGACTAGACACACCTCTTCTGACAAATATACCACTTGTGCTCGTGTCAAGACGCTTGCTTTTCTTTTTCTTGCGACGCAGGGCTGTCTGTTGATTTGTACTAGCAGTCGCTCCGCGGTGAAAATCAGTCTGCAATAATATTAGAGAAGTGCTCAAAACTATCTGCTGACCACGTGAGACATAGAGAGAGAGAGCAATGTCGATCTATTAGATCGCTCTTTCTCCGAGGATTGGGTAATGACGGCCCTTTCAGAAATTGTAGATGGCGCCTTTTACAACTTGAAAAACGCTCTCACACTCTACACTAAAAAAAAAAAACAGGAGTAGTACTCTTGGTTTTTCACGTGAGTCTATGTGACCAAGGGTATTTACTGTGATTCAAAATCGAATTCCCTATCTCAGATTATCTCCGAGCCCATTTGCCGCACCTGCATAAATTTTGTACCGCATTATTTTTCGAATCGCGGAAAGCCCGCAATGCCGGCACCCAAGAATAAATCCTAAAAACTGTTGTACACGAACTCAATGGATCCCTTACCTCCCGAAAGAGAGTATTTAGTTAGAACAGCCCCTTCTGTATCACAAGTGAAACGTAAGTGTAAAAATTGAATATCCAGTGAAAGAAGAAGATTCATGCCCGAATTTAAGTATGTTCGCATGGTCTATAACGCTCACCAGATGGGTGTTGTTGGGTTCTCGTCGAGTACACTTTACATCAGACGCCATGAGCAGATCCGTTTTGCGCCCCTTCTCGTCAAGGGAGCCAATCATACCGAGTTTTCCATCACGCGCACAGTGATCGGTGACAAAACATGGATCTTCCCGTTTGTAGAATTGCGAGTTTCATGTTCCGCATGACGCACTTTGTTTTCCCCGCAAAACTATAGACAAGTGTTGTTTTCGATTACTCTTGAGACTAATAATCGTCACTTTTAACGAAACGAAAACAAAAGCTATGCAAAATTTTGTGGAGAAACAAATTACACAAACATAATGAAGAAAGTTAAAGTCGTAGTACTGTTGTTTGCGCGTGATTGGTCTTAAGAATTTGCCAATAACATGACAATATGCAATGTGCTCGCGTTCACCACACCACGTGCAGCTGTGCAAGACACCGAGCGCACCGGACGACAGACTGCCAAGAAACGAAGTTTTCAGAACTTTCTCCATCCAAAAAAGTGGCGTGTGGAAGAGATCGAGAACTTATCTGGTCTTATGGAATTGGTGTTTATGGTGTTTTTATGGCGAATCTGCGCGTTGTTTTGGGATGCGAGGGATACTAATAAGTCGAAGTTGGGCATAGTAAGTTCAAACAACGAAGAGAGAGTCGCACAAAATGGCCACGAATTGAGCCCGGGTGTCACAGAAAAGGCAACAGCGAACCGAAGTTGAGGCAAGTCAAGTTTTATTTTGATATTTATGCTTATATTTAAACGTTTTGACACTATAGTGGATTTCCCACGCAAATTCTGAAAAACGCTCCTTCTGCAAAACAGTATCAAAGCATGTGGTAAATTATGCACCGAGCTATGGGCCACCCTGGACTGTTTTGGGACATTACCGCTTTTTAATTAGCCATTACGAGGTGGCGCGGGAAATTGGGCCAAAGTTGGTTTCCCAAAACAGTTCCCCTTCCCAGTTTGACACAATACCAACGCAGTTTCAAGTGTAGCAACCTCAAAATGATTAATAACCAGAGACCAGGAGACGGAGGAAGCAGACAGACTATACGAGTTGAGGATATGGGCAGATTAGCCACTTCTCTCTGCCTCGCCTTGAACAACTGTCTGGGGACTGGCGACAGAATTAAAGATTATTAATAGAGAGATTTAGAATCACGTTTACCGCAAACGGCAAACGTGAATTTGTACCACGTGAACAATTTTTCTCTTTGGTTGTCTTTAACTGTTCTTTACTTCTACAAAAAAAAAAGATTACGTTCACATTATTTTCACCTAACAAAATTGTTTTGGACAGTTCTTATCAGTTTATTTTCTGTATTGACAAATTCTCAACTTGAATCTGCCGTTTGCCTTTTGCTGTAACCGCGACTCCAAATCTCTCTCTGTTATTATTATTATTATTATTATTATTATTATTAATATTGAGTTATTCCATGAGTAGTTCTTTAGTGAAAAACGTACCGCCGTCAATCGTCCACTGCGCTCATCTTCCAGCTGTAGTGTTAGTGTGTGAATCTGAGCTCGGAGTTTGTCCATCTGGGCCTCCAACTTCTCTCGTTTTTCTCGTTCATATTCAAGTTGTGCTTCTAACTCACGGATAACCCTAAAATTCAGTATACAAAGCAGGATTGTTTTACCAAAAAAATCACTCTTATCAAGAGACAAAGGTCTCGAAGAGATAAAGAAACGGAGATAACATTTTGATGATGAAAAACTGTTTATCATGTAAACACCAATGAAATACCAGGTGAGCTTTCGCGTGAAAAAATGATCACTTCACACGTGAAAAACTGCTATGGCTACATAATAAATCGCGCCTTTCGCAGAAAACAAAAAAATTACATTGAAATGGTTTGGTATTTCGTTGGTATTGATATCTTGTGTTGTGGGAACTCGTAAATATTTTTTAACAATCGTATCTCCACGCGGTAATACAATATTTATTTATCGATAATTTTATATCCGAAACTGCGTGGTTACTGTTCTCCCTCCCACCCTATCCCCCGATTTTATTTATTTATTTATCGATTTATTTCTTAATTACATTAGGTACCTGATGGGTAAAATGGAAATGCAATTTGAATAAAAATGGGATCTGGGACTTAAAATTGGAAAATGGGAACGGAAAACACAATCATCTACAAAATTAATGAAAGTTCATAACGTTTCGTAACTGTCTTAACCCATTCGCCCCTGAACCGCCCGTAACCGCCCGTGCGGATCCAGGTCCTTTCTACCCTTTGTGACGTCATCAGTTTTAACGGTCAAGGACAACTTTCTTCGCTAACTTGTGCAGAGTGAAGAGATCTTTCAAACCATACCAGAATGAGCACAATTCAGTCAAGGACACCCGAGAAAGAAGCAAAAAACCACGTGACAATGACCTGAAAATCTCCATGAAAATCTTTTTCCATTACCCACCTACCTTTCCTTTCACCTAATCCTAAGATCCTAAAAGCTTTCCTAAAAACTCTTCCCACCAAAATGAAGCCTACTTAATGCCCAGCAAGAGAAAAAAAAAATGAGGCAAGAAAAGCGAAAAAAGAAGGGAGGAGAGAAAGCGAAAAGTAAAAGTCAAGACTGCTTTCTGCGCATGCCCGAACTTCGCAAGCTGATATTTGGCATCTGGATCAGAAGGCCGCCAAGTGTACGACCTGTAAACCGGTTTGTGGTAAGTTCTAGCTCTTTATAGCACGACAGTGACCAGAAAACCACTCGACTAGCTTCAAAACGCGTTTTTCGGCAAAATCTCCAGGAGCGAATGGGTTAAGTCATTACCGTGAACGGTTAAAGAAATAGATCACTTGGGCCTTGGCCAAACGTCGAACTTTTCACGAGACGAACCAAACGTAGTGAGGTAAGTTCGCGACAAGTTCGACGTCTGGCTCAGTTAAGTTCGTCTCAATGAGTTTAGATCGTCCAGACGGATAGAACGTCTGAAGATCGTCCCCGAGACAAACGTCGATCTTTACATGCGACGAACTAAACGAGTACATTAAAAATTTGTTCGATAATGTATGTCTAGCTTTCTTCGGGAGAAAATTTATAACTGATCTGATTCAGTTGATTGGCTCGACGTGTGACTCAACAGACGATCTTAACTTAATATAGGTCGACCCAAATTAGAGTTTGGTTCGTCTCCTAAAAAGTTTGACGTTTGTCTTAAGTCTTGTTTACCTTGCGCTTTCTCTTTCTTCTTCCTGTCTTTTCTGATCCTCGTCTAACACACCCCCCAGCTGTCTGTAGTTCATTTTAGCAACATCCAGTAAATGAAGAAGCTCGTCAATCTTGCGCTTTGCGCGACCTCAAGGTAATAGAATGGATAACCACAATTACTAACAACAAACGGGAGCCAAGAAATATATAAAAGACCAACAGCAATTGCCAGTGACCATGGGATAGCACTTAACAACAACGATGTTGGCGATACCCAAGAGTGAGGTAATTACCTTCTCCACAGGCTGAGTGGGGAGCACGGAACAAGGGAGAAGCGCGAGACCTGGAGACAAGCGAAAAGCGAGAGAGGAGGATGATGACGGGAACGAGCGCAGAGCGCTTCCCATCACTCCTTTCGCACCCGCTTTCATTAATATTCAACTCAAATATTCCGCAAAACGCGATCGCGGGTGAGGTCAGGATGGCTGGATTTCGGTCAAGGTCCATCTTACCCGCTCAGGTAGCCAATTAGAACTTAGGATTCCCTTTGTATTGTCCGCTCGCTGTTTTAGATAACGGTTACGATAGAAGTCACTACTTGCTTGTAAACATTTACAGGAACAGTGCAGAAAAGTGTAGCGTGATTTCAATAATAATAATAATAATAATAATAATAATAATAATAATAATATCTATCGTATAGCAAAGAAAAAAACCTGGAAACAGAGCTTAAGAAATCTTAATAATAGGAGAAGGAGGAATAGCAGGTCATCCAAGAGCATAGACTGGGACACAAATCACACAAATCAGTGAAACTTGAATTCCATAGTATAAGCCTTGATGTGTCATATATAAATAATCCTAATAAGATAATAGGAGAAGGACACAGCAAGTTATTTGAGAGTACAGAGTGGGACATAAAAGAAACTTCAATCCTAACGCATATGTCTCATACCTTGAGCATCTTCGAGTTGTTTCTCCTTCATCTCCTGAAGAATATCCAAGGAGGAGATTAGAGGCAAAGAAGGAGGATCGTGTGCGTGTCGGAGAAGAAAAGGAAAAGCTAAAGGAGAAAGAAGATATAGGACAGAAAGAATGAGTCACATCACAGGGACGTCACGCAGTAGGACCACCTCGCAGACAAACCGAGGAGATAACGAAGAAGATAAGAGGAGAGGAGAAGATAACGAAGAGACTAAGGAGGAGAGTGATAAAGCAGCGCTAGTGGAAGTTGTTCAGTAACTTTACATGATGTTTCAGGAACAGCGACATTTCAATCAATTCCCGCTGAAAGAGGCAGAAAATGGAAATTGATTTCACGGGAAGATAGTTTTATCAAAAAGTAATGAGGGACGATGATTTCCACAGCCAAAAAGAAAACGAAAGGAAAAAACATTGAAGTCTGGATAGACCCTTTCGAATGGGAAAATAAAGAACTTATGAAAGAAATGCGAAAAAAGAAAACAAAGCCAAACTATAACATATCCAATCGTGCTACTTTAGAGTACCGTTCATCTTCATACTTAAGCTGTAACACAACGGTAGCTGGAGAATGCGTGAGGCTTTTGTATTTGTTAGCGATAGAGAAGGACCAGGTGTAGAACCACCTGCACGATCACACGCAAAAGACAAAAGATATTTGCAATCGCCCAATGAGACACCTTGTGAGTCACGTTTCTAAAGCATCGCATGGCTATAAAATGGTTAAGCCTTTCTGTATCAAGCATCTTTAAATTCAATCGTAACGGCAATCACAAACGATAAAAGAGCGTTCCTGCTGTTTAAAGTTATATCCACCAGTGAAAGTTGTCATATTTCTTATTTATACGACATTTGTTTATTATCAGACAGTTCCCGTATTCCAATGAACAAAGGCACCAACTCGAGCCATGGGTGACAAAATACAGTAATTTGTATCAGAAATTGCTAAATCGATCCTCGATTTTGTTTTACTATTGTCCTATTGCGGAAAAGGTCGGTAAGGCGGGTTTTTTAGGCGCTCCATCTTCGTCAGTTACGTTTACATTTAACACGCACGTGCGCGGACGTGCACTTCAAGCGAATCCTCTAAGTGCACCGGGAGAAACGCGGATGAGATGTTAAGAGTGAAAGGTTTATACCCAGGAGTCATTTCGTACGTAGGTTGACAGTGACTGACGTTTCGACAACCTCTGCGTTGGTCATCTTCAGAGTCAAAGTGAGTTGTATCACGTCAGTTGATGATAAAACCTTGGTATTGACCTGATTGTTCAATTAAGTCGCGATGTTATTGGTCGTCTGTCAGTTAATACGTGATGTTATTGGCTATGAAGACTCGAAATGTCATTGGTGCGTTCTGATCCGTCTACTGTCAGAGTTTAACAGTCGTTTATTGTTGGTCAAATTTTCGGATGTCCAGTCAGTCTCTCGTAGTTAGTTTTGCTTGAGTTCGTCAATAAGTCGTTTGTAGGGTGCCGGTAACTGTTGACTACGATTGTGTGGTATAGTGTCAACGTCGCCTAATACTTCTCTGTTCAATAATCTCTTAAACGAAATGATTATAGACACCTCTGGCTTCAGCTTTAGACTGTGGTTCAGATGGTTTGAAGTCCTCAGCTCCTTCGTCTACTAGGTTTTCTTCATCATCTAGAAAAATAAAATAGGTAATAAATAAATGAACCAATAAACAAACCTACAGGAAAATAAATCATCTAAAATCTCACACACAAACTTGAGTTCTAGGTTTGGACCGAGTATAACACAACGCAATCACACGACAGTACCTGAGTCGCCTCCCAGAATAGCAATACAACCCAGCCGTCCAAATCTTCTGGCCACATCTTTGGGTGTTTCTCCGGCAGAATTCACAATTCTCACTTTACGTTGAAAAAGAGATTCAAAACATCAATAGGCTGACAAAAGATACCGCATCTTACAGTGGAACCCGGTTAATACGGATACCAAGGGGACATGCCGTAGTGTTGTCATTATCCTGGTGTCGGTATTAAGCTGGACACATTTTTTTTTTCTTTTTTTTTTTGTCGATTTAAAGATGCCAAGAAAAAAAAGCTAAGGAAGTGAATCTTGCACAATAAAAACAGAAACCTTTATTAAACGACCACAGGGTCAAACACCTCAAGATAGACGGATTGATCAAAATCCCGAAAAAATCAAACACTTCACGCTATTTCAATAATGATTTGGAGGTAGCACACCCACAAAGTGGTTCTTCATCTGCCTGATTCCTGGTCGAATTGGAATTTGCAAATGTTGGTTGCTCTCTAGACATTACAAGACTTTACAACTTGCTTGTATCTGAATATATTTCGAAACGTTAAAAGCGAAAGGCCAAGAAAAACTCCAAGACCAAAAGGTTACTATTGATTTATACATAACTTATTATTTACTTTAATTCTTGGACTAAATTTCTACTTAATAACCGTCAACCGTCAAAGCTACCACCCCATTCAGACCCTCTTGGATTTATTTTTTCTTTCTTCAGACTGATTGGAACGATACGAAGAAAAGAATAATCAAATATAGACGAACAACGACAATAACATAAGTAAAGGTAATAACTTTTTTAGGCCTTAGGTGAGTTTTACATCTAATAGTCCATCTAATATCATAGGTAACGAATTACTCCTTAATTCTGGCGCGAAATTTCAGCGTTAATTTGTAATTTCACATGTGAAATTACAAAATTGCCATGGCAACCCTTCCGTACGTCTCAGTGTCAAGGTGGCGACGAAGTTTTAAAATGCCGCGAATGAAGATGTCAGGGCACAAAAAGACGCTTTAGAAAACCTGAAGACACAAGAGAACATCAAGAAGGATTCTAACAGGTATTTTTCTGAAAGATTTTGAAAAATTCTGAACTTTATAAGCCAAATTTAAGGTTTAAACATTTGAGAGAGTGGAGTTCTCGATCGACACGATCCAGGATAAACATGTCAAAAATCCAAGATTTCTAACGTAATTCGTCACCCATGATATTAATAGGTAATCAAATGGTATACTCGTGAAATAATGGAATAATTTCACTTGCGTTTTGTCCAAATCCTAATAATTACCCTCGCCTTTTCACTCGTCACCATTTGATTACACATACAAATACATTTTCAGTTTGAATCAGTAATTAATTCTACAATGATAACATAAAGTCACTACTCACGGTTTGCTCCATTCTCAACAAGCCACTGAAGCACTTGAACGTGACCATTGCCAGCCGCTGTTGACAAAAACGATACGGGGATGCATAAACAGTCGGCTCAGTTCAAATAGAAAGAGAAAAACAACGTCCAACTTCAACTTTATTTTTTACACTGTTTACGGGTTATTACTTAGTAATAACAATCATTTAAAAATATATCTGTCAGGATTTTCAAAAAGGTATCCCCAGGACTTTATACAACAGTCTCATTTGAGGCTTGTTCAGTACTAGCCTGAGAGAGCATCCGGTGTTTTCGGCTCTAGTTTCTAGTATTTTTCGGCGGAAGAGAAGCGACGACTGGAAATACGTCTGCAGTTCGCAGGCAATTCAGTATTGACTATTTTTTTCCTTATGTTTTCAGTACAAAAATACATGTGTTTTTAACGCTGCTTACATCATTTTATTCACCTCAAGGGTCAAATTGTTGAAACGCACTTGAAATTTCTGTAGGTACCTTTTCATACATTTAGACAGATATACATATTAACAAGTATTTATTGCACTGTCACCGGGCGATTTCGGAGCAGACATTTCGTTGATCCGAGCCCGCGATTCAAATTTTCCGCGTGTATTCAAAATCCGTTGGCAAAGGCACGGCAACGTCGACAGCACCTTTGTTTACGCCTTGCTATGGGACTATTTTGGAGTAAATTTTGACCCAGATTCCTGCGTAACCTCGTAATATCCGGTATAAAAAGTGATGACGTCCCCATGCAATCCCATGATGCAATTCGAAACAACACCGACTCAGTCTCCTGCTCTAGCCTGCATTGGCCAATAAGGCAAAAATAAACAGGAACCAGGCCGTACCTTTGTGTGCTGGGGTTGATCCTTTGTCGTCCCTCTCATTAACGGATACAACACCCGTCTCTATCAACATTTTAAGCTGAGCTAAATCACCATTGTAAGCAGCGACATGCGCCGGGAAGGCGAGGTCTAGAGAAAAGAAGAAGGAATTGTTCACAAACAAGCAAAAGAATGGACTGGCCCTTGTGATTCTTCTATTCCCTTCTAGTCCTTCCCCGCTGCTATCCTGTGTCTGTGTTATTTAATATTATAGTGTCTGTATGCAGCGAAAATGGATTACATTAAAATTAATTAGCCAATTTCTGTTACCCAAGTTTTGCAAAACGAGAGATCCAGATAAGTGAAGAGGTTCTTCATTAGACTAAGGTTTAGTTAAGATGCATCCCTGTACTCGACATCAGCACACCAAAATACGTTTATGCAACCCTTTAGTAAAAAGCGCACTCCTGCAATTGCTGTAAACAGGAAAAGTCAACGAAAACGAAATTCACTAACTTTCTTCATCCTCAGGGTGAAGGAGATCGTACTCTGAAAGGTAATTAAACAAATTAATATAAAATTAATAAAGACACTGGCGCACACTCGAGTTCAAAAGAAGACGTGTACAAGAAAGGCCATGCGGTCGGAGCTTCCGAACACACTACTGCAACTGTCACAACTCTTTCTACAAGGATTGCCAACCCATCAGTAAAGTAATTCCACGGTTCGCACGCCTTTTTGAACAAACAATTCAAGAACTTTTCAAGGACTTTCAAGGACACTTTCCCCACTTTTCAAGGATTCTATTCAGTGCAAAAAAGAACCTTGAGTCTATGTCTCTCTTATTTTTCTACAACATGAGTAATTTTATCCCGAAGGTCTTTCGGTGTTTACTCCTTTTTCTTTGGAGTTCTACTTAACCTGTTACGTTAGCATTGAAATTCAAGAACTTTCCAGCACCGATTACAATTTTCAAGGACTCTCAAGGCCATGAATTTTTATTTAAAATTTAAGGACATTCAAGGTGCGTGCGAACCCTGTAATTCCCAGAAGTTTGGCTTCGAACCCAGCCTGGGTTAAGGAAGAAAGTGAGAACAATCAAGAAAAGAAGCCCAACTAACAAACAAACATACAAAACCAAAACACAAACATGTTTTTGAAGCAAAGCGCAAAACGGAAACGTATGGAAGTGTTATTTTCTTACCTACAGCATTCAAGTAATCGATGCAGTCTTTCTTGTAGAATTGTTGACAGAGGTTTTTTGGTGTATCTCCCTTGTTAAGAGGGAATGAAATGCAAAAAAAAAAAAAGTTTAAGCTTATTAGTCAGATCGTTCCGCAATGTAGTAAGAACTTTTCACGAGTCTTTGAGCCACGAGCAGAATCAAGGGCGTTACTCGTGTGTACACCTCGTTCTTTAAGCCAAGAAGCCAAAAAAGCGCGTATCACATTGAGTTTTAAACTGAAACTGTGGAAGGATCTGACTATAAAATGCAACAATCTGACCATGGAGCGAAGTGACCGTAAACCAACGATTTGGTCCGGGTAAATTCCTCGGAAAATTATTATCATTCGTCGCGAAGCGCCTATGGCATGGTAGAAAGGAGGCCTGAAAAAGATCGCCTCAAATTTCCGTCTCTATCTTCCATGTTTGCGATTTTAAGTTTCCATGATGGTAATCTTCATACAGGACAAAGTGTAATGTTTAGGCAAATGATGTAGCTTATTGGAGGGCGGCATTGAGGATGGTTTCCATTCAAAACATTAGACGATATCTTCTCGTCAATAGAAATTCAAGAAATTTGTTCTCACTAGGTCTTAGGAAACTACAACTGTAATAGACTTCTACGTTTCTTTTCCTCTCTTTGTTATTGTAAGGACCCACACGTCGCTAGTGAAACTAGTCTAACAATTAAGTCAAGAACCAATGAAAGAAGTTAGACTGCAAAACAGTCCGAATTTTTGAGTGTTAAATACGCGCGAGCTGTCAAACAGAAGGTCTGGAAAGAGGCTGAAAATAGAGAGCGACGCCACGCTTTACTGATTTCTTTACTGATTTTGAGAAAAAAAACCCGACTGTTTTGCAGTCTATGAAAGAAGTTAGGGAGTTTCCCAAAAGGAGGAAGAGAGTTAAGTTGACACATATATATCGGCGAATCAGCAGCTGAGTTTATTCTGAGCCTCTGTCTACACTAATGCGTTTTCAAAAGTATGCGTGTTCGTTTTTATGGAAAACGCATCGATCGATTCGATTCAACACTACCGTTTTGATTATTTTTTGACTGTCCACACCACAACATTCGTAAACGATAGAATGGCACGTTGTGATGTAAGTTAAACTCTATGCGCATGCTACAAGCACACACACGCGCCTGCGATATTATCGCTCATAGTTTTCATTTTGATGCGTTTTCGACAGTTGACACTGATACGATAGTGTCCGTATGCGTTTTTCGTTTTGATCCACTTTGAGGTGCGTTATCGATGAAAACGTTCAGCGTATTACTATGCGTTTTCAAGCGAAAGTTACGCATTAGTGTGGACGGGGCCTGAGAGTGAAATACTAAGAAATAATTACCTGGTCATTGCGTGCATTAAGGGTGTGGTCAATACTGGCTCCAACACAGACGATAAACTTGAGACATGGAAGGTGACCTTCACTAGCAGCCAGGTGAGCTGTGAGAATAAAAGACAGTTGTACACATATGGTTAGTTCGTTAAGCAGCTTTTATTTACATTTATCTTTTATTTGAAAATTTCCATGAATATTATTGCATGAAGGGAATACAGTGGGACGAGCTAAATGCATAGCCAGAAGCTCAAATAGTATCTTTAAAAGCTAACTTTGAATTCTAAAAGAGATTGGTGTAAGGACCACAGTGACTGCAATCCAGAAAAAATGGTGGTGGTGGTGGTGGTGGTGGTGGTGATGATGATGATGATGATGATGATGATGATGGTGGTGGTGGTGGTGGTGGTGGTGGTGGCGATGATGATAATGATGATGATGATGATGATGATGATGATGATTATGATGATGATGATTATGATGATGATGGTGGTGGTGGTGGTGGTGGTGGTGGTGATGATGATGATGATGATGATGGCGGCCACCGGTCTACTAGTCAGATAATGACTACGTTTCAAGCTACCGTTGTGAGGACCCTTTACCCTTCTTTTTTCAATGTGATGGATAATGTTGAGGGAGATGATAATGATAACAACCTGGAGTGCTTCCAGAATGATCCACTTCATCTACACTTGCACCCCATCTAGAAAGAAGCTGCAGATGATAAAAAAGAAGAAGGTCAAAAAGTGGAAGCTTTGCAGGGGAAGGTTAACGGTAAACTGTACACTGCACTGGCTCCAGTTGTTCAAACAGTGGATAGAGCTATTCACCAGGCCCCAGTAGTTCAAAAGCTGGATAGCAATTTCCACCAGATAAATCACTATCCACCAGATAAGTATTAGGGAAACCAATATTGTGTTATCAAGTAGATAGAGATTTATCTGGTGGATAGTGCTCTCCACCTTTTGAGCAACTGTGGCCAGATAAATCACTATCCAGTGGATAAGTATTAGGGAAACAAATTGCAGTATTCATTAGATAGAGGTCCATTCATCCAGTGGAAAGTGTTATCTACTTTTCGAACTACTGGGTGCTGATCTTAACAATCCATTCATTTACCCTGACTTCAAAAGTGCTAAAGTACCAAGTTTAAGAACAAAGCCCATTCAACTCAACATGCTCAGGGCATTAACATGAGCACTCAGTCAAGTGCTCAGTATGATATAGCTACCACTGACCTGGAGACAGCCTAGTCTTCCATGGAAAGCTGCACAGTGCACTGGGGTCCAACCCATGTTATCAGTAGCATTTATGTCCTAAAAAATAGACTTTGGTCTTTGAAACTGAGTCATTATTTATTAGTAATGCTATAAACCACCATACCGTAAAAATTAATTCCGAAAATAAGCCCCGGGGCTTATATTTTTCAAAGGCCCTTTTTGAGGGGTTTATTTTTGGAGGGGTTTATGGAGGGAAATTTGCATTTCAAAATTGATTGGGCTAGTCTTATTCTTGGAAGAAAATTTACCATTTTTCTTTGTTTTACTTTGAATTTGAGGGCAATTGTCAAGTAAAAGCCCCTGGAGGGGGCACGGGGGGGGGCTTATATTTTGAGGGGCTATTTAACGGGGGGTATCTTGCATTTACTTACGAGTTTTGGGGGGCTTAAATTTGGAGGGGCTTATACATTTCAGAATTTTATGGTATTTAAAGATATATTATAATATTGTCAAATATTTCATTATGTCTACACTATTTCTAGCTTACCACACCATGTCTCAGTATTGACTGTAAGCAGTATGAGTTGCCGTGGGCACCAGCAAGATGTGCAGCAGTACATCCTGTCAATCAACAATAAGGTACAATGTGAACAATCATGACAAATGAATGAAAAGATCAATATACATAATATATACATGTAGAACCTTATAATACATGGCAGCCTGGAAATACAAAATCTCCCTTGGAATGTTGAAAAACAAATGAGTGAAATATTTTTCCACACAAAAATTTCAAATTTTTGTATCTCCAAGTGGCCATGTAATGCTCCATTATTTTTTTATTATATAAACACCAATGAAATAGGTCACACCATTTCACATTAATATATATATTTTTTTGCTGCAAAAGGCGCAATTTATAAATTATGCCATAGCAATAGTGACCTTTTCACATGTGAAGATGACATGTCATTTTCAAGTGTGAAGAAGATAACATGTTTTTGCGGTAGAGCGGTATTTCATCAATTGGTGTTTTTTAAAAAAAAGTGGAAAGTCCCATTGAGCAAATATTCAAAATGCTAAGTTAAAGATTTAGTGGCTGTTTCCATGAGGAAATCAGTTACTACAATGTAGATTTGAATGACAGCAGATGGGATCCACTCAGTTCCATCCAAGAAGAGATTCACATACATCTACATTATGCTTATACTGTTTGGAACACGCTTAAATGTCTAAGTTATAATGATATAATTGTCTAGTTTCCAGTCTGTTACTTAAAATTCTCCCTATGCATGCAGTGAAAGTGGAGATCTAGACTGCAAAACAGTCGTTTTTTTCTTTTTTTCGTAAAATCAGTTTAGTGTTTTCACGCATAATTGAATATGTAAAAATATGCACTGTTTTGCAGTCTAGTGGAGATCAGACCATGAGTCAAGTGGTTGTTTATAAAATGCCAAAAATAATGGAAAATGATATAAATCAATCACCCCAAAATTAATATGGTCATAGTTACTTACAAGAGGTGCTTGTTTATAACAGGTTACCAATACTGGGCTTTTTGATCTGGTTTTTGGATAGCTGTGGGAGGTGGGTACCTCTGGTAAAGGTGATCACACATAGAGGTTTGATTGTAATTATTATCATAATACTACTATATTATCATAATCATTATTACATTATCATAAATCATATTATTGTCTTATAATAATTATTGTTATTATTATCAAAATATTACTATTATTATTCTATTATTCTTATTATTTGAAAAAACTTTTTCACCTCGATTATCCTTCTCATTGAGGTCAGCCCCATTTGCTGCCAAAGCCTACATAATAAAAAGGAAAGGAAAAGAGTGTTTCTCACAAAAGTAAAAGTAATAGAATTATTAATTAAACAGCAGATTCTCTCTACATCTTAAGAGAGGAGAATGTTACTAACATAAAATTATTATAGCACAAAGTATGGAAACAAAAGCCTTTTTCTTTCAATATTTTTAAAATAAGTAGTATACTAATTAACCTGTAAGCAAGCATCTTGACCTCTGATTGCCGTCAGGTGTGCTGGAGTCCAACCTTGGGGTGTCTTGTCCGAGTGATCAGCACCGTGCCACAAAAGCCAGTGTAAACACTGTCAATAATAATATCGATATGAAAGCCCTCATTTACAGTGTCATGACAGCAACCCTTTCAGAAGGGAATAACTTAATTAACTCTCCTCAAAAATTAATTGTTTGAAATATTTACAGTTATAGCATGCCAGCTAGCTACTTGCAAGTCTAGTGAAAGTAGCTTTGCGTAGATATTTAATACCAGCTTACACCATTGTCCTTGAACCAACATCAGTAATCATGAATCACTTAATGTATACTGCATTCTGTTTTAACACTAAAAACAGTTAGCCTGAAATTTAGATCTAAAAATTAATCACAATTGCATACAGCTGTACAAATGTCATCATTGCAGAGTCACATGTATATTGATAGCATGATTTCATTTTTTTGGGAAAAATGCTCCTTTTCTTCTTGTGATCTTTGTATGAGGTCTACTTGACTTTACAAGCAAAAATTAATTAATAAAATTACTTTTTCAATTAGCAGTTCAATTGTAGTGGTCCGACCAACACCTTCATTACTGAAGCAAAACAATTATGATTTGACTACCCATGTGGCCAACCCGCAAACCGCCAATATTATTAACAGCATCCCATATCTAATTGAACCAGTATATTGAAATTTATACTTATACCTATACAACTGCACCAAAGCAGCAACGCATGGGAGTACACTGTATATAGATCTTTATAGTCCTAAATCAAATATTTTACATATATTATATGTTACAGTAAAATCCCCACTTTTTTAACCTCCTGGTGAAAAGGAAATCAGATCAAATTACCTGCAGTTAAAATTAACCAGATTCCAATAAATGCGATATAAAACCAATTAATAGTGCAGTGTTTGAGACAGTCTTGGTGGTTCAGGAAAGTTTAAAAGACCGGGATTTCACTTTCGCATATTTTACCTCTAAAGAACCATGGTGAGCTGCCCAGTGTAATGGAGTAAATTTAAACTTGGAATCGGGATCGTTTATCCCTGCACCTCGCTGAACCATACTTTGAAGTTCCAGAACATCGCCATATCGAACGGCTTCGTGTATCGAAGCGAGTCGAACTTTCTCTACAACACATGGGATGAAAGGCTTAAGAAATAGAAAATATAACACTTGTTTAGAAAAAGAGTCGTCTTGTATTGATCGATTACCTGGCATTCCTTAATTCTAAGGCGAATATCAAAAAATTTCAGTTGAAAACAAAGCTTCCAAGATGGCGGTCAAAAACAAGGTTGTTGCCATGCAAAAAACCGCTGTCCGTGAAAACAGCGATCTGGCTCAACTTCCGGTAATTATATTTGCATTTCCAAAAGAATAAGCCAATGGCATTGCAATATTTCACGAAGTGTGTTTCAATTGTTGATTTCCGCGCGAATGATTACGAGGCTTCTGGAAGCTCGTATCTGCTGAGAAAGGCAACAACATCTCAACGCAGCGGCCCTTTCCCATCATTAATTAATCATGGTTAAGTTGTATTATTTTGAAAATCAGCGCTATAGCAAGCTCAAGGCACAATGTGAAAGAAATGAAAGTTTATTCGTGGACCCCGTATTTCCGCCAGAAACCAAGTCATTGTATTTCAGTCGAGCAACACCTCCGGAGCCAGTGGAATGGAAGAGACCAAAGGTAAAATCAGCCGTAAAATTGAGCTTTTAACTTAAGTTTATTTATAAGGCGACCTTTTTTCATTGAATGGGTAATGAGTGCAATGTGTCTGCTATTCAATATTGCAACATTTAGTTGCAGAAACTGAAATAAGGTTCCTAAGCTCAGAGTGGGCAAAAATGTTTACAACAGACTATTTACACGATTGTCATAAGGTTTATTCATTTCAAAATTTCAACCAGAGAGAACTTTTAAACCATTGGAATATTTGTCCGGATAGTCGGTTGCTAGCTTGCGAGGTACAACACTGTTCACCTCTTAGCAAATCCATCGCACTTTGCTGTTAAGTGCTACGTTGTAGGATATAAACTCAAAGATGTAAAGCGGCGCCAACTAAGACGTTGATATTATTAGACAAGTTGAGGAATATTGCCCGTCAAGATGTTTTAAGGACATCTCTCACCTTGATAGTGCTGTCAGCTAAAAGCGTAGGTAAATTTGTAATGTGTTCATAATTAAAATAAAGATTAGCATTTTTATATATAGGTATAGAGTCAAAGTAATTTTTAAGCTTATCCGCTTTTGAACGCCATTATCTGCTGTTACTGAAAGTTTTTCATCCTGCCAAGAGTTTTAATGAATAGAAATATTTTGTCTGCTCATTCCCAGAGTTGCCTCATCAGAAATAAGACTGGGAATGGATGACATAATTCAAACTTATTACTTCCTGATAAAAAAATATTTTTCATGCTTGGCACGTTCATTTCTTTCTATTTTTATTACTGATAGTGATTTTTATGCATTTACATATTTCTGCATATCAAAAAAAGCGACCTGAATTCGAGAACAATAGGTATTGTTTTGTATTGTTATTTTTGATCGTTTCTTGCCTATTAAGGACAAAAATGATCAACGTGAAACAATAGCTTTTATGCGCGGCAACCCTTAACAAAATTTCTACCCTGTAACAGCTCTGTAGCATCACTGGAACAGGGCTGTAAAACTAACCTGTGACAACCCTGTTACAGCTCGTCATTTGGCACAGTTAGCAAGGCTGTTTCTACACTGTAGCAGCCTTGGAACAGCCCTGTCACGTTTAACTCAAAATTTCTTGGTAGACACCCTGTAACAGCCATGTTACAACCCTGTTTCCACCCTGTGATGGACATCCCTGCCACAGCTCGTGAATTGGCACAGTTAGCAAGGCTGTTTTTACACTGTGGCATTCCTTTAACAGCCTTGGTACAGGTTTCATGCATCACAACCCTGTTACAACTTGTTAATTGGCAGTTAACAAGGCTGTTTTTTTTTTTACCAGGTGCCAATGTTGTGATACTCCATCTCACACAATCTACACTTTAGACAGCAGCCGTTTAACTTCTATACATTAGGATTATAGTACTATCAGAACATAATTTTTTATAACTTCATATCTATTAAAGATGAAACTTCATCTTTTTTAGGCGTATTTGAACTCATGAAAATTCCTGAAGCAAAGGAACGATTTGCGCCACAAAAAGCTTCAAAGTTGAACCACCAATTACGGCTGTTTTAGTCCGTTTAGTCACAAAGTACTTAAAACAAAAGCAATGCATTTCAACAAACATGCATTGAAAGAACACTTTCAATAAAGGAAAACACTAAATACAGTCAATAAAGAACTTAACGTTACTTTATTTTTCTCGTGCCCATGTTACAGTGTGTAAAAATATAAACAGAACAAAATTTGAACTGCATACAACAGTCTGATCTGGCTTGTAAATACTTTGTCATAGTTGCTCGATTTAATTTACAACTAGCACATCAAAATGCCGACTTTACAATAACTGTCTCAAAAAACAAAAAAACGATTTTTGTCAGCAATTATTTAGAGATGAAACGCGGAACTGTTCCATTGTAACAACGGTTCCGAGGTTGACACTTATAATAATTCTTTTGTTTGGGTTACAACAAGCTTAATTTGAAATCGCTCACCTCCATCGTCTTTCCTTCATGATCCACAAAGTGTTACATTTCCTCATGAAAAGAGCCAATCCATTTGTGTTTCAGTTGTTGCTGAATTGTTCAATGGTGTACGAAATGAACTTGCATTATTACTAGGCAGGGCAAACGAACAATCTTTGAATCTTGCAAGTGCCGCGGAATGTTTTCTGTCCACTAGATCGATCTGTTTCCCATTCGTTGAGAGCTGGTCAAAGCACAGTTATTTTTTTGCTAATACTTTTTCACTCTCTGCTTCAAAAGCAGCAAAAAATGCTCTACAGCCTTTTTCAATCCAAACTGGATGCAGAAAGCGTTTGAATATTTTCCCCTTTCATTCAAATAATCGTGAGTCGTTTCAGGAATGGAGATGTGTAATGCGATCTTCCGGTAAAAGTGCTGACCAATAAGATTAAGGTCTTGGATTTCTCCAGGGAATTACCAATGGCATGTGTCTGTCACGGAATGAAAATATTTAATTCCATGCTTGCAGAGGCTTCTCGGGTAGGAAGACAAATTGAAGTGATTTCAAAGTCTTTCATTTTTAGTACATTGCTGTAAAAAATTAAGTTACAGCGGTTTTTTTTATTATTTAAAAGAACAGGAAGAACAGGAGCTGATGAAATCATAAGAAGGTCTTCGTTTTTAACATGAGATAAGAGTCTAAAGAAAGCAACTTCAAACTACAAAGGTAGCCACAACATCGGTAATTAATTGATGTAAGTATCTATGAAAAAAAAAAAGAAAAAGAAAAAAAACGAAGCAAATCCAAGCAAAACCAGAAACAGCATACTAAAATTAAAGGTGTACAATAATCGTGTTTGATGATTTAGCGCTACCATTTTCACCACGTTCTTTTTCGTTTTATTTGTATTAATGATCTAGCTGACCCTCGCTCCTTTTAACACTTTAGACTTTGAAAAATATTGCCATCTTTCATGATTTATGGAGTTTACCGTACTTGGCTACATTGTTACTGCCCTTTGATTATATCCATTGTGTGAACAGAAATAGACATCTCACAGCTCTGTAGTAACCCGGTTACTGTCAAATGTACCTAACACAGCCGTTCTGCATCCCTGTCCTAGTTCTTCTGCATTACTTGGTAGCCCTGTCTTAACCCTGTTATGGTAACCGGATATTTTCACAGCCATGTAACAGGCTTGTTACACTTAACTATGTACACTTTTACAGCCCTGTCACTGCTCCACTTGTTTTAAGTCAAGTAAGTTGCAGCTGTGTCACAGCCCTGTTACAGCCAGTTTACAGCCCTGAAATAACGCAAACAGGGCTGGAAACAGGATGTTACAGGGCTCTCACATGGTTTTTGCAGGGTAGAATTTTTTCTAAGGGAAATTTCAACATTACCGATTACTTCTTTCCAATGAGATTTGATTTTTCGGCTCTGGAGGAAAACGTTTTGACTGAGCAAATGTGATTTTTGCCGCTTATTTCATACTGACAGGTAATGACACGCATATTAATTTTCTGCAGTTATTGTTTTTGCCCTCTGATGCAAGAGCATTTTCTTTCACCTCTTTTGAAAAGTAAAGCTCTTCAATGCAGCTAAATAAGGGTTTTGGGTTGTTTAATTTCTCCGGCGATTGCCTCCTGGATCTGAATAATTTTAAGCGATTTTCTTTTTGGCCGTGAATGTGGCGGTTTCCTGCAATGTTTTGTCACGCTGGGCCCAGCTCGTTAGCGTTTTTAGCAGGACGGATAGTGATATCCAAATCTCGAAGAATGGATTGCAGCTTAAACTTAAACTACATTAACTATGGAGAATTGCGATGTGACTCTAATGAATTTTAACTGCCGCTTGTTTTTCTGGAAATAATGTGAGTGTTTGGACTGGAGCATGTAGTTTCTCCCTTGGTGATAACTTCTGAATTAGCTTAACAGCCTTGCGACTTTTCTGTTATTCCCACTTTGTGATCATGCAAGACCATGCTTTCGGTTCTCCACGCGAACCTCATCAGTTGCTGGGTTGCCTTTCTGCTTAGTTGCTTCTACAAGAGCGACTCTAGTTATTTGTTCTGTGCTGTTATTTGTTCTGCTCTAGTTAATTGTTCTGTAAATTGTGATTATGTCGAGTGTTGATAGCGGCTGGTGCGTTTTTGACAGATGTTGATAGATTTCAGTGGAAGAGCCAATCAGAGTTTTGCGTTGTGAGAGCAACGCATTAGTTCAAAAGCTTAGGCTTTGTCTGTAGTCCCTCATTTTTCTCTCTCCCCACCACATGTTGCCTTTTCTCGTGTGGAGTGATTTTCACGCGCGCTCGTGTTTCGCTCGCTCTACTATACCTGAAGAAAAATGTGGGACTACTCGTAGTCTATTTAAAGGAGGGCTCTTTTATGTCGTTTATGTTCAGTTGCAGCGGTGATATTTTATTGCGGCGTAGGCCTCAAAGTACTCACGCCCAAAATTTATACTAGGTGCAACTGTACTCGATGAAAAAATGAGCTTAACTTCTAAACGTAAGAAGGTTAAGATTTTCGTCCACGGTCTCGATGCTTATAGTTGTGTGATTAAGAACCTGAAGCAAAAACAAGTTAAGCAAAAGACTGCTCTCAGCTCCGCACAGACTAAATTTGTATGAAGTTCAACTTCTCCGGTCGGTACCCTAGTGAAGCATCATTCTTCACAGCGCAATGTAGCACTCCCTACCCCCCTGGTTCGCAAGTTTGTTTGTCACGCTGAAGGTTTCCGATTATTCCAACAAACTTCGGCTTGGTCTGGGCAGGTGTCACCTGGAACAAAGGGCCTATTGTTTGAACGTTAATTGGCACATTCAAGTCGATACAATGGGCCATTTCTTGACACGTGAAAAAAAAGTATAATTTTCATTTTATTAAGCTATGTTCACACTTTGCTGGGTACCTTTTGCGCCAGCACGAAAATCGTACCAGATAGGGCTTCTTTTCAGACATAAAAAAGGTGATTTTGGTACAATTTCTGTTACAGAGCAAAGCTCTGCCATGCCGATCTTGAAAGTGGAGTGTCACATATCAGAGATAGTTTTGATGTAGTGTGATCAGGTCTACCGACCATAACAGAAGTTAATAAGTAGGAAAGAGGACTGGAACCACACTGAGACAGAAGTAACTATTTAGGAGTGAGGACTGAAATTTAGTGAACCAAACTCTCTTGGCCAGCTAGTCCTGGGCAATGTTCCTTGTGTGTGAATGACTCATTCCAGGTCTGTGCAGGTTGCAAAGAAAGTCAGTTTTACAGCCTGCCACTTATAAAAGCAGTAGCTAGCATGAACTAGCCCACAAGTCATTTCAACTAGCACCCAAACCCTTTTTAATTAGCAGGATTGACTTCAATCCTTCTGTAATTTTAATTTCCCCAAAAAACAGCACTTGCCCAACAGTTAAGAACAAAAGTCACTAGCCCGATAGCAACATCCACTAGCTCCGGGCTATTGGACATGACTTTCTGTGCACACTGTCTGTTCCATCGATGTTCATGCTATACTTGAAAGCTTTTCTTGCCAAGTTGGTATAAAAGCGATTGAGTATAGTGTGAAATTATACACATTTACATGTACTTTCAAATTGTTACATTTACATCCTAACATCAACCTTTTTTTTTTTACTCAGGATATTTGTGCCCCCGATCCCCCACACCTGTTTGTTGATGGTATGAGCAGTCATGATGTCACACAAGGCAAACTTGGTAACTGCTGGTTTGTGGCTGCCTGTTCTTCATTGGCTCTGGAACCTTCTCTCTTGGAGAAGGTTTGTTTTCGTTTTTGAAACACTAGTCATAGTCAGACCTGTGCACAATGGTCACCCTTGGGATTGGAAGGTGACCGTCATGTACAGGGTGACTTCTATTTACAGGTAACTTTGCGGAAAATACTAAATGGCAACTGAAAATATTGGGAAGTTGTCTGGTGACCATAATATACAGGGTCACTGCTGCAGTATATACAGGGCCGTAATATACAGGTTTGATTGAGTGTACCCTCGTATACGACAGACCCACAAATAAGAAAGTGGCTACATTTTCTACAAACCTACTGTAGGCTTAATTACCATCTGCTGCGTGAAAGTGTGCATACTTCTTGAAGAAATTAATAAAGCTACATAATGTAATAAGTTCAAATAATTATCTATTCAAATGTTTTTAAAGCATAGGCTGAAAGAAAAATCCTAATGATCCTGACTGTCAGTCAAAACTATCAGCATCATTAGGATTTTTCTTTTGGGCTAATCCTTTAAGAACGTTTGAATAGCGTGTGCTTACCTCCATCCCCAAATTAAACTAGAGGGGATCAGAGACCAGACTTTGAAGCCTAGCCATCCACTTATCTCCAAGCCCCAGTAGTTCAAAAGCTGGATAGTGCTATCCTGATTTATCCAGAGGATAAGACTAAGTATTAGGGAAACCAATTGCGCATTCTAATGGATAGAGATTTGAACAACAACTGGGACCTGCTCTTTAACCCATCCCCTTTTTGTTGTACAAACAGGACCTTAGTGTCTTAACATGTAAATGTGAGGTGCTTTATGCTTAGTATACAATTAAGACTGTCTAAATTAAGGAGGCTCAAGTCAGATAAAATCTGACCTTTTTAATATTCACCCTACACATTTTGTACATGTACATGGATGTCCACTTATTTTATGGTCCCTGGAAGCCCGTCTTTTAAAAACCCTTGTGGCTCTGAGTACCTCATAGTAAAATGAGAAATTGGATGGTGTTATTGTGGGGGGTGGGGGGGTGATTTTTTTTGGGGGGGGGTGCCTTAATTTTGACTCAGGCTGCATGTAGTTAATGTGACTTTTGGAGGAAATTAAACCAAATTTTATTCTGAACATCAAACAAGAGTAGAATCTGTAACTTGTATGAAAATTAAAAAATGCTCGGCAGTGAACAATAATTTACATTAATTTTACATATAATGTACAGTCTATTCATTCCAAAGCATGGTGAACACGATTTAGAAGCTGTTCAGTTTATCAGAGCTTAAAATTAATAATGTTATTATTATTTTCCTTGCAAAAGTTGTTCACTAATTTTTATTTTATACAAGACATAAGTTGAAGCTCACTTGAATTCTTTTGTCAAAGCCAGTCATTGACAGCTGTCAGTACATTGTACATGTAGCTTATGTTGCCCAATTTCATCGTGCTTATAAACTCATGATAAACATGAGTTGTTGGTGCAAGTGGAGAATTCTCCAAAAAAAAAAATCAAAATCAGGGGAACAAAAATGACGAGTGACATTCATGCGATGAAGTGATTTCATTTTCATATGAGGCTTTGCTGTAAGAAAAATTGAAGGGAGCCCAGACTGTTCTGAACCTATAAAATCTAGGATTCCCAGCATAATTATGATTATCTGGTCACCTGGGAGCAAAAGTTACATGTAGGCACCAGTGGCCACCGGGTGCTGCTAGAGCACTGAGCTTTGTCATATGAGTTGTGAGCGCTTTCTATTCAACAAAAATTCAGGATTGAAATTTTGGAAATTTCACTCTCTGAATGGAATGGTGCTATCAGCTGAACTTATCTGACCCAAGCCACTGCATGTTCTGCAGTAAGAGCAGTAGTAGAGACAGCAATTTTGTCAAATGGAAAGGGGCAATGAAATGACCAGACTGGTCAAAGTGGACCACCTTCAATTGTGGTCGCAAATATTCTGGTCGGACCGGACATAAATGGTCTGTTCCATTTGATCTCCAAGAGAAATTTCCATTATTTTGAGTTGAATGGAAAACACCAATTGCAATGTTTGTCCCACCCCATGACAATTAAGGTTTAAATTCCTTCATTCTTTAGGTAATTCCAGAGATGAAACACCAAGAATGGGACCCTGAGAATGTTGGGAATTATCAAGGCTTATTTAGGTTTAGGTTTTACCGTCAGGGCCAGTGGACTGAAGTTGTCATTGATGACCTGTTACCTACGGTTGGTGGCAAGTTGGTTTACATTCATTCCACTGAAAAGAATGAATTTTGGAGTGCTTTGGTTGAGAAAGCTTATGCAAAGTAAGAGTTATGTCAACTGATTTTGATATATTAAAATGCATGTGTGGCTGTACATCTCCAAGGAACAGACAAGGATTACTGTCTTGTGAAAACGACATTAAATACACTATTATTACTTGTTGCATTCTGTTGGACATAATAACCTCACCAAATGATCATGTGTGGTATTTTTCCCAGGAAAGTGGGCCTCTGGCACATTGCGTTTGCCTTACGGGCCATGAATGGTCCCTTACCTGCTGAGCTAAAAATTAGGGAGAACACTGCAACGGTCCAAGAAAGTTACCCTCTAACTAAAACAAGGAAGTACAGGCTGTAGTTGTCCCGTTGAAGCAAGATGTGAGAGATACTTGCCCAAAGGACATGCTGGAATTCAAGTTTTTTCAAGCCCTGTGTTAACCACTTAACCACACCCTTAATTTACCCCAAAACAGGTTGGCAGGGTCATATGAAGCTCTAGAAGCAGGTAATACTGGTGATGCATTGGTAGACTTCACTGGAGGGGTGTGTGAGTCTGTCAACCTTAAAGATGGTGGCTATGCTGAAGATTCGGAAAAAAGACAAGCCTTGTTTAAGAATATGGAGCGATCAATGAAGGAAAAGTCTCTCATTAGTGCTTCCATAAGGGTGAGTACAGCAGAATGCATTTAATGGGTTTAAGTGTCGTGTGATTGTGATGTAAAGAAAAGTGCTTGCTGAAATAAAAAAATAATAATTGTCTAAGATACATCCTGTAGCGTTACAAACTGCAACTTTCCAGTTACTTGTATTACTCTGTATTTGCCAGCTGATCCTCTGTTTAAGGAGCAAGGATTAGTACCCTTGTAGTCAATTAGTATGAGGACTTCTGTGCTGGAGGCTTTGAGTTCAATTCCTCGCTATTACCTCAAATACTTGCTTTGACCCCGTTCCCTTGTACTTGTAGCACGCTGTAGCACTGTACATCAATGTAGCTTAAAATACATGTGAAATGGAACACTGATGGAAAGAGGGGGGTTAAATTCGTGCACCATTGGACCGATTCGTGCTCACTCTGGTACGGTTTGAAAGATCTCTTCACTCTGCACAAGTTAGCAGACAAAGCTGTCCTTGACCGTTAAACCTGACGATACCACAAGCGGTAGCCGGAAGGGACGAGGATTTGCGAGGGCGGTTAAGAGCGGTCCAGGGACGAATGGGTTAATTGTCATTAATTTTGTTTACTTTTTGAAGATCAAAAACAGAGATGAGATGGAAAAGCGTACAGAAACTGGCTTAGTGATGGGTCATGCATACGGGGTAACGGCAGTAAAGAAGGTAAGCCGTATCACTACAAATGCAATTGTGACGCTAGTGTGACACTAGTGGCAGATCCTGTAAGAAGGGTTTAGCTTAGATACAAAGAAGGGGTGTTTAGAACGCTTTTTTTCATGTTTTTCTGTCATTATGTTATTTGGATTGCTTTCATAATTATTTTACTACAAAGTGCGTTAATCGAAGCTTAAAAACTAAAGCTTCATTCTCAGTTATTCATGTTCAATTATGTTATCCGTGTCTCTTTTTTTTTTCAATTTTAAAACCTGGTTTATTTTAACATGTTTAGTTGGTGTGAACGGGGCCCAAGTATGTTCATATATGGTCATTAGATTATTCATAACAACCTGAGGCTCTAAGCGTTGTGTTTCAATTCTAAGCCAGACTATGAAATCAAATTCCTGGCCTTTCGATTGAATGAACTAAGTTACCTGGACCTTGCCATTCGTGAATAGCATTTTAAGACATCCGATCCTGTGCTAATTGTGTTTCTCAGATGACTATTGGTGAAGGTCTGTTCAGTTTGTTCAATCGTCAGCATCTATACATGATTCGTCTAAGGAACCCGTGGGGACAAAAGGAGTGGAATGGGCCGTGGAGTGATGAGTAAGTAAAGAAAAAACCGGAAAGCTACATGTAGGAGACCCTCTAATTTTCAACATTGTCTGTTTCAACAACGTGCGCGCGTGAAGAAAAAAGCCATAGCGCATCCCTGGAGCTGCCGCATTGGAGAGGCGTGAAAGGGCTCTTAACACTGGTTTTCATTAGCAGTATATGTAGCCGGTATCGGCGTTGTACTGAATCGAAAGCGCACACTGTAGACTGTTATGATCAAGTGTGAAAAGCGTTCTGATTTCACTTTCGACTCTGTCGCTTGCTATCTAGTGAAATTCATATTGTCGGAGTGGAAAGCAGAAAAGGGAGAAATTAACTAATTAAACTCGTGTTTGGTAAAAAAGAAGCGCACGCAGCAATTTTACCCATAACCTCGTTTGGCATCCAGGGCCGAGTTGTTCAAAGCTGGGTTAAGATAACCCAGGGTTAGTGCGAGATTTGAATTCAGATGTGAAAGCTTAAAAATCATTTCAGTTTTAATTCTTTTTTGTCTTCAAGTTGATTATCGAATGCTTTAAAAATAACAGTGAAAATTATCCGAGAAACTGCTTTTAAACACAAAAAAGAAACCTGGGTTAAATTTAACCTCGGGTTAAGCGCGAATCGGCCTTCGAACAAAGGTGGCTAAACGAATTGCGAAAATTATGTTATGTTTCGACATGAAAGACTGGCATAAGAAACGGATTCTGAAAGGCTTTTAGGTCGCTGAATTCGATGAAACGTACACAACGTTAGTCAACTTGTAAAAGACACGAACATCAAGCACTGATGGTCGAAGCACATGGGTTTCCAATTCCATGAGTCCAAAGAAAGAACAGGCACGCAACGCGTACGCAATAGATTATCATACAATGTTAAAGTTGGGGCTTGATACTGTACCCGTATTCTTCAGATTTTAATGTTGAAATTCTGTTCCCCATCTGCGGGGCTTGCGATACGCTGTGACGGGTCCTAAATCTCTCAAAATTTTTAAATTTGGTTTACTTCAAGTGTGATAATTGACAGAAAATTTCTTTTAACTTGTTATATTTTCTCACAGCTCGGAAGAGTGGAAGAAACTGAAACAAAGTGACAGAGAAAAGCTTGGAATTGTGTTCGAAAATGATGGGGAATTTTGGTCAGTACATCTATTCTTGCATGATATCATTATATTATTGTCATGATATAACCCTTTAGGTCCCAAGGGTGACCAACATCAATTTTCTCCCAACAACATCACCAATTGATTACCAAAGGGTGAACACTTTGATCTTAAACCAAATTCTCAAAAGAAATGTATGGAGATCAGTCTGGAGAATTTGTATGTGGATCGTGGGACTGAAAGGGATAATTAATATGCAAACCCTCGTTGTTGAAGGATTCTGTTTAAGCGAAGGACGCATCATCTTTTCAGTCGTAGTACCAACTTTTTCGTTTTACTCTGAACAGTCTTTTTATGCAACTTAGTCTCTTTGATAACACTTATTTTTGCTTTTTGGCACGGTAATTGTTACTATATATAAATTTCGATTCTCGGTTTGGCCTCTTTTTTATTTCGTTATTATGTATTTTATCTTTTCTCGTTAGGATGGCATTTGAAGATTTCTGCAGGTACTTCACGAACGCGACCTTGTGTCATGTGTTAAACAAGTCAATCTTATCATTAAGAAAAAGATGGCACGTGTTTAAACACAGCTATCGGTGGACTCCGGGTACAAATGCTGGTGGTTGTGTTGAAAACAGGAGCACATTCTTGAAAAATCCACAGGTAAGTTAATACTTTTGGGCTTTAATTTCATCCTTGGGAGAAAGTTTAGTGTCACACATGACCGCAAAAAGCCACGGAAAATAGGATTTGCTCCAATGATTGAACAAAAATATATACACCATCGCAAAATGGGGAAGCTCCCACGTGTGCTGAGCACACGCACATTTTAAGGGGTTTCGAACGTGAAATAGAGAAGAGAATTGTGACCTTACAAAATTCAAATTTGTGAACTTCTGGGATTGGTCGGCGTTCACAAAGAAAAAGAAGGAAAAAGCCCCCTTGCCAAAAGTCAGCCTTTTAGTGCAAATTGGCGAGGAGATATAAGCACCTTTATGCTCTGATGACTCAATACAAACCTTCTAAACTTGGCTTGGATCGAGACGTTCACTATCCTAGCCTATTTTAGGCGCAAATTTTTCATTAGTTGTTGTTCCAAATGCTCTTGGGAATATACAGTCCTCCTAGGAACTTTTAAAAACAATAGTTTAAAGGGAATGTTATGGGGGCAGGGGAGAATTCAGATTGTATTATGGGGGCTAGGAAATAAGGATGTTGCGAACTTATGTAATCAGTCCGATCCCTTTCTTTAGTTTTGACCTTTTGAATGAAATTTTACATTTGCCGTCACTAACCGTAGGGAGCTTAAGCAACGATGTCAACGAGAGCGGCTTAAAAGCAATAGGGCTGATGTAGATTGGCAGAACAATAACTTTGCACGTGCATCACGCCTTTCTGTACATTTCTTTGCTGTCAGTGCACGTCTACGACGCGGAAATGCCCATTTTCACGTTTTGTGGTAGAACGTGAACACAAGGCAACGACTTTCTTCTTCTTTTTCTGAACTTCGATACAGCCTTTCGAACTCAACTCCAGAAAAAAAATGCCAAGATTTGACGAATTGAAAGAGATAAAATAAGCGCGATAAAGTTTGAAGCAGGGCTACTTCACTTTCGTAGCCGTCGCCGTCGTTTTCGCTTAAGCTCCCTAATATACCTATGTAGTAAAGCAGGAACAGCCTCAACGATCATCTTGCATGTTATGATGTATGATTTGTTGCTTATTTGTGGTTCATTTTCAGTATGCCTTTACAGTCAAAGAAGAAAGTGATGTAATGATTGCTCTGATGCAAGAAGACACGAGAAAAGAAAAGGAAAGAGGAGTAGAGAATCTGACCATCGGCTACTTTGTTATGAAGGTAACTATAGAATGAAGAAGATGTGAACTGTGGAAATACAAATTCAAATGAAGATATGATCGTCGCAGTGGCAATTGCAAATTAAACCGGATAAAGAAAATTTCGAGACTTCAACGAGCACGGGCTCGAATCCCATTGAATCATGGGCTAGAATCCCGTCGCATAAATTGCAATTACCACTGCGACGATCATATCTCAACCGAAAAGCTAAATGGCGAAGTGAAAATGAAAAAGTTAAAAACAAAAATGGAAAACTGAGTGAAAAATAAAAACTAAATCACTGTGTGGCCCCCCTTCCGCAATTTATATCATTCCTTTCACGCGTTGAGATGAACTCAACAACTTGACCTGTTCCCAATGTATGGATCTTCATAGCTCAGTTTGTAGAGCACTGCAGTGCTAACGCGGAGGCCATGGGTTCGAATCCTGTTGAAGTCCCAATTTCTTTTTCGTTAATTGCAATTTCTTAAATTGCAATTACCACAGCGACTATCATATTTTTATTTAGAAGGCAAATATAGTCATGAGAACCGTAAGGCAAGGTTCTTCTTTGATCGTCACCTCTGCGTCCGTTTCTCACTTCAGTGTTTCGGGTGAAAAAAGCATCTTCGCCGTATTACAGGGCCCGCGGAGCAGTTTTTAATATGCGGCGTTCCACTGTACTTACATTTATTTGTTCATTTTTCAAAAAGTGGCGGGGCCCTGGGCCCCCCAGCACCTCCACCTGCGTGGGCCCTGTTATTGTTCACTCTGCCAGCTGAGCCTTTTCTTCTCTTGCTCGGTTTTGGCGCACTCGAGAAAACTCTGCGAGATCGAGTAAGATCTTTGTTAAGCATGCGCAGCGTGTTGCTAGGATACAGGCCTAATAGCAGTGCGCTTGGTACAGCGGGCTCACTTGTGATCATCGGTTTTGTCATAGCTTGGAACTCCCCAGCGCTTGCTGCGCTGGCTAGTTTTGTCAATAAACGGATGCTCGCATTCGAAAAAAAAAAAACAGTTTGACGAGACAAAACGGAGTTGACTACTCCAGAAGTTCGAGCTGCGGCGAATACCTCCTTTTTTCCACCTCAATGAAGAACGTGACAGAAGGAGGCTCTTTTTTCGCAGGGTGCTTATCGTTTTGCTGTCTGCCGTTGATTCCTTTTTAAACATTATTTTAAATATTTTATTCACCAGTTACGTTTGTATTTTTTACCCGTAGGTGGAAGGAAACCGCAAGTACCGTTTGCATACCATGTTTGAAAAAGCTGGTGATTCTATTTTCATCAACGCCCGAGAAGTGGTGAACAAGTTTCAGTTGAAGCAAGGCCGGTATGTGGTGGTGCCATCTACATACGAGCCAAACAAGACAGGAAGTTTTCTTTTGAGAGTGTTCACCGAAAAGTCTTCGAAAGCAATGTAAGAATTCACATTATTGCCACCGTGGCTGCTTGCGAGCAAGCTCTCCTTTGGGGATATCGTGTAAGTCACGCGCGGGCGGGCGCAAAAGGAAATGCGAGAGGCTTCTCCGCTCGCTCGCGCGTTCTCGCGCGTTTCACCCCTCGAAATGGAGAAATTCTTCGCAGCTTACTATCAGGGTGTACTCCTTTTATTAGGGAGCTTAAGCAAAGGCGTTTTTGAGCGACGAACCTCAACCGGAAGTGTGGTCTTTTTCATTTTAAAATATATTGACGCTACCAAATTTGTATTTCTTAGTCTCTGTCTCATTATAGAGACGATTTGTCCACAAATTTGGCCAAAAATACCGCGCAAGAATGAAAAAAGCCCACTTCCGGTTAAACCTGCATCGCTCAAAAACGTCTTTGCTTAAGTTCACTATTGTCAGTCCCGTCTTTCGATGTTAATAGAGTGCAGACTAGCTCTTCGTTTCTCACATGCAATTACAGCACACCGAAGGCATTAATGGTTTAGCTTTACCTCGAGTAAGTCGCTGTCCGACGAAATAGCGGAGTAAAATTAAAATTTTCAAAGTGCAAATTTGAAACAAAAAAATGCCGAGAAAGAAGTTAACTTATCTAACGCTTCACAATCTTGATTTTTGCCCAAACCTTTATGACGCCGGTGAATTCATACATAGGCCTTTGAGCTCTCTTTAATTTTTCATCGGCCAAAACCACGTTTCGCTCCCACAATATCTCTTCCTCTTCTTGAAGAACTTGGGACAGGAAGTGGAAATTACTTCGGAGCGAGGCCGCCCGCACCCTTTGGTTGCCTATCAAGAATAGGCGTTTCCGAGATTCAAAACCTTTCTTGAAAAATGAATTTTACTTGCATGAGAATAAAGAATCATTATCTTATCAATAGCTTCGCAATTTTTTTGTTTATTTGTTTATTGTTTTGTTTGCCATAAGTTGTACAAAGCAAAAAAAAAATCTAATTATTTAAACTCTCATGGCGAGGAAGCCCAAGAGAAGCCACCGGGCTTATAAGGAATGGGCTCCCTCGGTTAGATAATTGGAACAAAATATTATCATAATTACTCATGGGAAAATCAATGGCAGAGCTACAGTAAATCTTAAAATAAATACATTAGATAGTCGTACTAATCATAGTTCTAGGCTAAAAAAGGCGAAATGACAAAAAGAAAAAAAAATGGAAATAATGCTTTGAAACAGAAGCTTGAGGCATCTTGAAAATGGCCTATTGATTCTCTTATGTGCTTGTCTCGACTGCTCTGTAAGCCCATAATTAAAACCCCTGCCTTTTTCCTGTTTATGAAGGTTTTTGGACCAGGAGCATTCGACAGGAAGTAAAATCTGGTGTTGCTTCCCTCAATGCCGCACACCTGTGTGTGTCATGTCCGTTACGGTAAAATCAGCCAGTGGACTGGAGAAGACAAGCCGACTGTCGATGAGTAAGAGAAATTTTAACTTTGTTGCCTATCATTTTGAAGAAGGGTGGTTTTCTTGGTCTGTATTACACCCGGAGAGGGGGTACTTCCCCCATGGGCATGGTTATCACAGCAGCTCAGGAAATGGTCAGGGAATAAAAAATACTGCAAGGTCAGGGAAAAGTCAGGGAATTTTAGTTTAAGTCGGGGAAAATTTAAGTCTTTGAAAAAAGTCAGGGAAAAGTGAAATTTCGAGAGTACACGTTTATTCTTTTCCCTCCACTGTTGTTGATTTCTAACATTTAAAATTCTTTTGCACAATTTACAGACATGAATCATGTTGTTTTGGTGGAATATCGTTCATGAAATTTTGTTAAGGAACTATCAATTCACGTAGACTGCACGCCGTGATTTGCTGAAAACATAAATAAATGGGTGGAGAGGGTGGCTGTGAGGAAAGAATTTTTGGAAATTGTTAATTCAGTTGGTCAGAGAAATTTTACATTCGTCAGGAAAAAAGTCAGGGAGAAGGTAGAGAATTTCAAAAACCTCGGGTCGTGGCAACCATGTAGGGAGTGCAGGCCAGTTTTAGGCTTCTGATCGAAGGTCAAAAGGATCTTGCGCATGCTCCGATGCTGGCATGGCGCTTTGCTTTTCAAGTGGAAGTTTAAACGAACGCTGGCTACATACGCGCCAAGCGTGCGTAATAGCAACCTTTACATGATGAATATATGAATTTCAGATATTTGAAATGAGGGATGAAGAAATAAATGCTAAAAAGATCATCGCAGTTAAATAGACAACTTATCCAGTTGCGAAAAAAGAGTCTGAAAACATTTATAGGCTTGCCGGGAATCACACACTAAGCTCTGCGATACTGACCGGTGCAGTGCTCTAACATTAAGCTAGGAAGCCAACTAGGAGTAGATCTTTAAATTGCCTCGTAATACACTCAAGAAAGATTAAAACGGAATGGCGAATATATGAATTCCATATAATTTATTTGAACTGCGGGATGAAGAAGTGATTGCAACGAAGATCATCACAGTTAATTACGCAACTTATGCAGTTGCGGAAAGAAAGCCTGAAAAAATTCAGGCTTGCCGGGATTCCAACCCGTACGTCTGCGATACACAGATGATTACAAGGCCTGATCTGCTTGTCAATCAGCTTCTAAGGGAGGACTGTTGCCTATCCACTGAGTAGCAATCCTGGAGCTGTACACCTTACGAATGAAGTAAACCGAAACTTAACTACAATAAATATGGCCGATGGTCCCCTTCCTTATGACTCAAAAACGGCATTGTTTACTAACAGTCGAACTTCCATGTGTGACCACCTCTCGCGAGCTACCACCCCCTCCAAGCGACTACTTATCCAAAACATCAAAGTTAAAGTCAAAGCCTTAAAGTTGGAGCCTCTCGTAAACGACCACCTCCTTTAATAAGCGCCCGCGACCACTTTTGGGGGCTTTTTTTCCCCATGCTTTTTTAACCTATTATAAGCAACCGTTTAATGTGTGGTCTTATCTCTATGTTCGCTGTGTATACGTTACCGCTTACAGTATACAACGAAGTTTTAGCGAAAACATGAAGCTACAAATATTGTAACTCAAAAAATGCATACAATAAATTATCTTCCATTAAGTAGATGATTCGGACCTCTTCTCGGTAGAGGCCCCTTGTGGTTCGATTCTGGCCGGAACCCGCTCTCATAAGCGACCATTAACTTTTCGCATTTTGGGTGGTCGCTTACAGCAGTATCGACAGTATTTCAATTCAAGTTTTCCGATCGCTGATTAAGAAAATACTGCTGCGGTGTTATTGTCATTTCAGCACCTGATCCCTATGCCGTAATCTGCTGCGAGGGGCGCAAAGTTAAGAGTCCGGTGGTCAAAAATTCGCTGAATCCAACGTGGAATACCGGCGCCTTATTTTTCGTTAGGAGACCCCAAAAATCTCGCCTGGTCATTCAAGTAAGTATATCGGTAATGGGTTGAATTGTAAATTTAAGTCAGTACCCTTGGCAGCGTGGTCTTTGAGGCTCTCTCTTGATGTTCCAAGCTTTCTTACTGTTCTTTATTTTTGTGTTTTTATAGGGATTTGTTTGTTGTTCTAATTATTGTCGATTTTGTTTGTTTGTGTGGATATTTTCACCAGAAAGGGCATGCCTCGTAAATAGCAAGTCAAAAGAAAGAAAAGCGGAGTCATGCTCTGTTGCTGTAACTTTTGATTCTGTTCTAAAATGTTATTTAGTGTGGCTATTCACATAAAGCCGCTGGACGGTTCTTATTTTTGGTTCCTTTTTTATTATGCTGTACAAGGTGGTTCCAACGTTTGATTATGGTAATGAAATTCTAAAGTGTGACCATTCATGTGAAAGCTATTGAGCAGTTCTTTCGTTTTATTATGCCATACAAGATACTTCTAACTTTTGAGTCTATTGACGAAATTCAAAAATATGACCATTCAAATGAAAGCTACTGAACAGTACTTTCCTGTGTTACTTTTTTTATTATGCGTAACAGGGTATTTCTAACTTTAGAGAGTGCGGACGAAATCCTAAAGGGTGACCAATCAAATGTAAGTTGCTGGGCAATACTTTCTTGCGGTTCGGTTTTAAACATGCATTTTGACCTACTATGAATATGTGATTGATTTAGGTGTGGGACTGTAACTGGTTCTGGGATACTTTCATGGGCCAGGCCAAACTAAGCATCGACATCAACAACAAAGCTGTTATAGAAACACACAACCTGATGGGCCGCAGACGAAACCACCAAGTCAAGATGCCAGGGGCCGTGACAGTGGAAGTAAAATGTTACCACGATCTTATGGCAATCTAAAAATGACCCAAGGCCCAATGGTTAATTCGCTGGGCACAAGTAACGCTGAGAATTCCTTGTGTGAAAAGGAAAGTTTATTTTGAAGCCTGCGTGGAAAGCGATTGAAAAGGGGGGGGGGGTGGATACATCTGGCGCGATAGAACTCGATAAACCTCCTTCGAAGCCGTTCTTTGTGTTGTCACGCAACACTCCTCTCCAGAATCGAACCGAAGACCTTGATAAATATTACGAAGACATCCTCCTTTTCCATCACAATTGCGTGAATTACCTGCTTCTGTAATGTGAAAATTCGAATAAGGAGAACGCTAAATTCTTCTAGCGCGGCCGTTTTGTTTTGCTTTGACAACGCTACTTTAGATATTAATAAAAGCAAGGCTGTGATAGGAGGAATGGGTGCGGCGCGAATCATTTCCTAAATAGATCGGAAATCTAAGTGGCTTAATGTGTAGAAAGGGATGTGGCTCAGGTCTCAGCAGCCGTTTGCGGTGAGAAGCGATGCGTGACGTCACAAATAACGGCAGCGCAGGGGATCAGAACTCGATAGGCGCGAGGGAGGAAGGAGGGGAACGCCCTCTCGCGCGCGCGCCAACTGTGTTCCTGCTTTCCTTTTCCCTTTTGATTGCCTGCCACGTGGGCTTTAAGTGTAGTTGTCGCTAATGCTAATGTACGCCATGTTAATACGAGTTTGAATAAGTTCGTAAACGCGTTCATAAACGGACTGTGGAAAAAGCTTTAGGCCATTTACCAATACTGTACCACTTTTCCTCGTGTCAATAGGCCATTTGTACGATGGCGTCATTTTACTACTACGACCACAATTCATTTCCTTTTCTCCTTTCATATTTATATTTGGTATTCCCATGGAGGTTTAATTATCAAAAGCCCTAATTTACACAAGGAAAAGAAAACCCCGAAGGATTCTGGTCGTAGTAGTAAAATGCCACCATCATGGAAATGGCCTATACGGTACCTCAAGCTCAGAATATTTAGCAATAATTACTGGATGAGGCTGAGTATGGTCTGAAGAATTATACAGATCCAGGAGGCTGTTATCGGTCCGTCTTAGATCTGTATTATTCTTCAGATCACACGAAAGCCGAATTCTAATAATTGTAGTATTATCCATTCAAAATAATTCGTACATCACATGCCTACCTCCATGGTTATGGGCCCCTGGTTCCCGTCTCCATTTGTCTGTCCCTTGGCAAATTCTGGATATTTAACAGTTATTGAATGAGGCTGAGTATTATCCGGAAAATTATGGAGATCGAGGAGGGTGAAATCCGCCGAGGTCTCCATAATTCTTCAAAGAATTAGGTAATTGTTTTATTATTCATTCAAAATAATCCCTTGTTTAAAAACAAGCTGAAACATGCTTACCTCCATCGATGTTAAGTTCATCTTCGATAGGGCATTTTTAGCGGCACGTTTAGAAGATAAAGGGTTGTTCTGTCCTGCAAATATTCTCCAAATAGTAGATGTCGTCCATCGAGTTGTCTTCTTTCTGTTCTTGCTATATTTTTAGCCAATAGTTCGCCTATTTATTCCTCGTGAAACGAGTAAAATGTTCCGCCATTTTGTACTCACTATCAAAACAACTCAACCTCGACCCAGGTTTTTTCGGTTAACTGTTCAATAAATTGGCAATTTTGCTGCACGATTGACGTCATTTTTCACAAATCGCAAAATTCTTCCAAATTTGGTCGACAATTGCTGGTTATGCTTGGGATTTTAGCCAATCAGAAATGGAGAAATATTTTGAATGAATGGTAAAACGAAATGTTTAGTGTAGCGGATGTTCTTCAAATAACAGTTGTCACCCGTCAAGTGGTATTTTTGCTGTTCTTGCTTCAGCTATGTCGCTAGGCAGAAGTTGGCCTATTTCTTCTTCGCAAAACTTGTGAGATTTTCAGCCATTTTAAACCTTTTCAAGTGAATATTTCAAGCTTTTGGTGACTCACACTTACAAAGCAAGATCTACAAGCTTATTAAGCAACAATTATGATTATTTACAGTCTTAAATAAGAGTCGTGTTGGTGACATTAATTTTGCAAACATTTTGCAAGATCCACATTTGCACAAGCTGAATAACTAGCAGCTATAATCAGAAGCACATATGGGGTTGTATGCTTCTGCTATAATTTATTAACAGTGTTAATTAAGAGTCATGTTTGTGACATTATTTTGGCAAATATTTTGCTAAATAATATTGTGAAGGATCCAGATTTCGTGAACTAAGAAAACGGTCGCAAAGAAAATGAAGACTGAGAAGAAAAGAAAAAAAAACTGAATTTTAAAATTGGGTACTGATAAATTCCGGAGTTAAAGCCTGGTTTTAATGAAATAGATGGGTTGGGGTTAGGATTTTAAATGAAAACAGCGAACCGATTGAAAAGGTCCACTGGAGTCTTTAAACTTTGTTTCTGGGCTAAGGGGCTATGTCTCGAGGATATTGCTGTTGCAGGTCAGTTCTTTACTACAGTCATTGCTTAGTACCTTAACCCATACATAATATGTGCCTGTAGAGTTATGAAGCACACGTAAAGTAAATTTCATTATGGAGCTCTAACTATTGTAATTTTTGCAGGCATAGCTTTAAAACGTAAAAAAAGGAAGGAAGAGTTAATCCATGTCTATTATTGCCATCTGTAGCTGCAGATGACAGGAAACAATTTCAAGGCCTAAATACCGTAAAATTCCGAAAATAAGCCCCTCCAAATATAAGCCCCCCAGGGGGCTTGTACTTGGAAATTGCCCTCAAGTACAAAGTAAAACAAAGAAAAACGGTAAATTTCCTACCAAGAATAAGGCTAGCTTAATCGATTTTTAAACGCATATTTCCGTCGTACATAAGCCCCTCAAAAAGGGCCTTTGAAAAATATAAGCCCCGGGGCTTATTTTCGGAATTTTACGGTATACTCGTAACTAACAAAACTGGAAAATTATTTTTGCAATGTAATTTATGCGAAGACACGTTTTAACCTTTTAGCTAGTAATAACCGAAGCTAACGGTTTGCGGGCGACAACGATCGAAGGTCCAACGATGTGCTTTGCGTAAGTTTCACGTGACAGATTGTCAAAACACGAGTAATAGAAAGTCCAAACACGCGTGATCAAATTCCATTCATTCTTAGTGGGAGTTAAACAAATGCTGGCTACATTCATACGACGCATGCGTAATAACAACCTGGAGATAAGGATTGCAGACTCCTCTTGTCGCCCGCAAAAGGATAGAAAATAGCGCGACATAGCCCCATTAACTAGACTAGGTATGAAATAGATCTCACATGAGAAGACAAAATGGCTCACTAAAGCTCGTTGACTTTCTCACGAGAGCTATGTACGTCATAAACACATTGAGACGTTCTGTTACGCAGCAGGAACCATTAGTATGAAACAAAGGTATTCTTTCTAGTTTTATTAGGATTTTTGGATTATTTTGATATTATCACATTGGTATAATCGCAGAATGCTGTGCGTAAACACCGCACGCAGATCTAACAAATTTTGTAGCAAATATTTGGCTAGTAAAAAGGAGCACTTAAACATGGATTTTGCTATATTGAAACTTGAAATCCTTATCACAGATCTAACGAATTTTGTAGCAAAACTTTAGTGATATATTTGGCTAGTAAAATTGAGCGCTAAACATGGCGTTTAGTGTATTGAAACTTGAGTCCTTGAGTTCTTACTTCATTTCTTGCCTGTTTGTTGCCAATGTTTGATTTGGTTTTTTTTTGTTTTGTTTTTTTTTTTTTACAATGAGGCAGAACTGGAAAAGACCAACATGTGAGCAGATTGTTAAACCTCCACTTACATGAATTAGGGGAAGGTAAGGTTGCCCGGAATTTTGATTCCTCACGGAGAAGAAACCGTCATTAAAATTCTTCGATTGCGAGATTCAAAAAGACCTAAGAAAGTATCGATCCATGTAAAAAGAAAGGTTGTTCCAAGACAGACTTGAATTCTGGATTCAACAGTTTGGATTCCAGATTATTTCCATTGGAACTTGGATTCCAGAATTCAATCGTAAGTGAAATTTCTTGAGTTGTATTCCAAAGCCCAGGATTCCCGGTTTCCACAACTTAAATTTGTCGGATTCAGGATTCTACAAGCAGAAAATTCAGTTCCCGAATTCTCTTACCCGGGGCGGGAAAAAATAAAAACAGTCAAACATCGTAGATGCACCTTTCCACATTACCTATACTAAGACAGGATTCTATTTCTTTTTCTTGACCACAACGCAGCAGTTGTCTGTTTTTTTATAAAGACTAGTTTAACTGGTTTAATTCAAATAACCTGAGATCAGGCCCAATTTCAGCGGTTCTGATACATTCTCTCTAACGGCCAGCGCTAAAATTGGGGCTCTCTTTTCGTTTCGCCATGCCCGCCGGAATGTAATTTTCAAAGCGAAACGAAAATAGAGCCTGATCTCAGGTTAAATTCAAAGGACCAATACGTAAAAAGCAATTAATCCATCTGTGGCGAATTTCACCGGCCTTCTTACTTTAACGATAAATCGTTTCATTACGTCTAATTAACGTTATAGGACGGTATTTTGGCCACTGTTGATTTCCCAATTCTTAATTTGACTAACTTCATCTCAACACAGAAGCTTTACGAACATGTCAATCACGTCTTCCATAACCCTGATTTAACATTAGCGCTTACGATTTAGCAAATTAATCAACGTGTCGATTTGTCTTCACACTGTCCATTACCTATACATGTTCCAAGTATGCGAACTCGACCCAGTCCTTAACCGCTCTTACCTTTCCAACTGAATTATTGAAGGGGTATGATTCGTGCATGAAATATGTTGCATGTTTTGGTTTTAACGTCGTTTGTTCACCGCTGTGGCGTGAATTGGGTTACTCGTGAATTGTGCCATCGGCAAAAGTAAAGCTATGGGAAAACTTCATTATTTCCAGAATCAACGTTACAGCAAACTGAAGTCACAATGCGAAAAAGAAAAAAAGCTGTTCGTGGATCCCGAATTCCCGGCGGAGAACAAATCGCTGTTTTTTAGCCGTTCACCGACCGAATCAGTAGAGTGGAAAAGGCCTCAGGTATGTTGGAAGTTTACTGCAACGATCATTTCTGAAGGGCTTGTCAAATGGGGAATTATGGTATATTAAAAAGTTTTCAGAACTTTTTAAACTTGTTCTTAGAGAATCTCCTTGTCAACTGATAAGCAATTGAATATTTTTGTAGACCTGCGTGACTGCAAACAAAGACAAAATGAAAGGTTTTTCTTGCAAATGTAATTAGCATATTAGTAATTTGCTGTTGCTAAGATATCAATAAACTACCTAACGCAGAAATACTTCGTGATACTTTATAGCACTTTGGCGTCAGGTTCAGTCGATATTTTCAATTGATTTATTAAATATATGGTTCAAACGTTTAGAGGTGCTATCTACCCGTTTCGTCATAACGAGCAGTAAAGCCTGGTGACCGCTTCTTAAGAGAGTATATGATAAATTAAACAACCTAGATATAACCACACCAGTAACAAACGATCGACAGGACACGGGTTTTGAATTTTTTTTTGACAGTTTATTTGCAAAGGACTCCTGATTTTTTAAAAAATGTATATACATGCATATGTTGACAGTTGTTTTGTTTATTATTTGTGCACTGTTTTGTTAGAATCAGAGAGATTGTTTTTAGTTTGAAGCTTTAGATCACCTACATGTTGGCGCGTATGTTTTTTAATCAATAAGTTGCCACCAAGCCGTTGCATGAAAAAACGTGTTATCGTTATCGACAGTGTTATCAAGAAAAATTTCATTCGCAGTCAATCTTAGACTGCTGGGAATATTCAGCAAAAATTGATGCGATTATTATTATATTTAACAATGATTATCATTCATGCATTCTACCGGTGCGTGATGAATTCAGACTGTCTGTCTGAATAACGCAAACAACTGATATTCTCGGTGAAGCACGGAAATCTTGTACTGATCGCGCCAGGCAAATTCCGTGTTATTTTCCTTCGATTCCGGCTGTTGACTCTGAGGGGATTGGGGGGGAGGGTATGTCCCTCTGAACAAGGTATGTTTTTTAGCCGGATGACAACTAAAATGTTTTCTTTCTTTCTACAGGTGTTTTGGCATCATTGCATAAAAATTATGTTAAATTGCTTAACTAAATTTGGAATTAAAAACTAAAATGGGGTAGGATCTAGCTTTTTTTTATGCTTCCTCGGATTGTACCGGATTGGGTATTTTTGAAAATTCAGTTGAGAATAAATCGCTAAATTTAGGAACAGTTCAGTGAAACGAATTGGGGCGAATTCTTTTCTTTTACTTTAATTTCTGCCCATTGAGTTGGTTATGATTTCGCTCCATTAAAGGGAATCCTAGACAGTCTTGGATTCTGGATTCAACGTCGTGGATTCCGGATTCCAGTCTTCGTCAGTGCAACTTGGATTCTGAATTCCAATCGTTAGTGGGATTCCGAATTCCTAGAGCTGGATTCCAGATTCCTTGAGCTGGATTCCGAATGTCTAGAGCTGGATTCCGGATTCCTTGAGCTGGATTCCCCATTTCCTTGAGCTGGATTCCGGATTCCTTGAGCTAGATTCCGAATTCTTTGAGCTGGATTCCGAATTCTTTGAGCTGGATTCCGAATTCTTTGAACTGGATTCCGAATTCTTTGAACTGGATTCCGAATTCCTTGAGCTGGATTCCGAATTCCTTGAGCTGGATTCCGATTTTCTTGAGCTGGATTCCGGATTCCTTGAGCTGGATTCCGAATTCCTTGGGCTGAATTCCGAATTCTTTGAGCTAAATTCCGGATTCCATGAGCTGGATTCCGAATTCTAAGGTCCAGGATTCCCGACGCCACGAGCAAAAATTTCCCTGTTTTCGGAATCCCGATTCTATTAATTGCGGCGATTTGGTTTGAACTGGCGTTGATTCATCTTGAGAAACCTAACAAAAAGGGCTATTTAAAAAAAAAAAAAAAGATATGCATGGAATGTTACCAATATCTCTTGAACTGTAGAGGATAATGAGTTGAGACTTCAAATTCAAGTTCTTCATTTTTTGGATTTGCACTGTCCAAGACTTAAACCCATTTTGTGAAATTCGCTAATCAAATCGAACAATTCAAGTTCTTCAGTTTTATGTGCACTGTATTTCGGCAAAGTATCATAGCGTCAGGTTACGTAGTTATGAAGGAGAAACTGTGGGAGTTTTGATTTGTTTTAATTGGCCATTAGAGAGCCACGTGACTGTAACCATAGAAACGCTCCTGGAATCAATTATTGTTGCTTGAATTAATTTCAGTAACATATCTTTAAAGGAAGCAAAGTTATAGCCCCCAAGAATTAAAAAAAAATAATAATAAATAAAATACTTTGCCTATCACGCCCCCACGGAATCTGTTGGCAGCTCAGTTCGTATGTCTTTACACAGGAAATCTGTGCACCCGATTCGCCGCGCTTGTTTGTCGACGGAATGAGCACCCATGACATAACGCAAGGCCGGCTAGGTAATTGTTGGTTTGTTGCGTCGTGTTCAACGCTGGCGTTAGAATCATCGCTTCTGGAGAAGGTATGATGAACAAACAGTTAAATTGGTCATTCTTTTCTAGCTAAGAAGTTACGATTTCGCTTGTTTTCAAGTCAAGTGCAATGTGCACAGCAACGACTACAACTTGGCTAAAATCGAGTTCTGTTCGAGTTACACCAGCCGCTGTCGAGTAAATGACATGCAATGGGGAAATAAGCCCGCGCTTATGCTTATGACCGGACCCTGCAGAAGGGCGGAAGAGAGCCTAGTACCCAGGCGCAACTTTCGGGTGGAAACTTAACAGAACAGAGAACACAGTTGGGCATCGCTGGGTACATTGGGTCCTTCCCAAGACCCCACGTCGTCTGAGGAGAAAAGATCCTGCGACAAGGAATATTTAAAATTCTGATTGACATACATTTTTTTCTTTCGTAATGTGAGAAACGATTATTATAAAACTCTAGTGTCTTTCTCTATGTAGTATGAGGCTAAATTGTCTTTAACTCTTAGCGAGCCAATATGGTTTTGTTAAACGCCGTCTAAACTCTGTTTAATTAATAACCGGCCCATATAAGCTTTTTTACCTTCCCGTCATTTTCACAATTGCCCCAGACGACAGTCCCAGTGTGAGGCCTCACTGAACAGAGCTTGAATCACCTATCTTTTTGCTACTTCAAGGTTATTCCCGATCTTAAGGAGCAGGAGTGGAATGCGGAAGAAGTCGGCAAATACCAAGGAATATTTAAGTTCCGGTTCTGGCGGAAGGGTCAGTGGACGGAAGTGGTGGTTGACGACTTACTCCCAACAATTAACGGACAGCTGGTTTATATTCACTCCAAGCAGAGGAATGAATTCTGGGGATCGTTACTAGAGAAGGCCTATGCAAAGTACGTTTAATTGTTTGTTTTTACTGAATAGTATTTCTTACAATTTTAGTTTTATACTTAATATTTCTATTTAACCTCCAACCTTTTAAAAGACCCCTTCTAATAGCACCTAGTCTGAGGTCCAGAAAATAAATAGGCCCCAGGCCTCTATTGTATTCGGCGGCTCAACTTTGAGGGGAACTTAAATCTAACGAGCATTATATAAGCACTACAACTGTGCGAAACTATTGAAGAAATGCCCTTGTTTTGGAAGCTAATTAAAAGTGCTTCGATCATCATGAGTTTTAGCCTGTTCACAGACCGTCAATTTTCTCTTCAAAGTCCGTCGAGCGCGCGTGATAAAATATAAACCGCGGGAGATTTATTGACCGCCAGCGCAAGGTTTTCTTTCTCGCGCTCCGCGCTCGTTCTCGCGCGTTCGCTTCGCTCGCGAGCTCGCCGATGTTTTTGAACAGAACGAAAAGAAAAATAAAACAACGTCTGTTTACAGGCTACATGAGTTTGGTCAAAGGTGTGGTGCAATTTACTCTCTGGAAGATGGAAAAACTGTAAAATAATAATTGGCGTTACTTTTATTACACCCATCATTATTTTCATAAGGAAATACATGTAGTCAAAATTAAATAGCAGAAAAGAAGATCGGAATTCTCAAAAAAAAATCCTATGAATTTAACAAACCCGCAGAACACTTTAAAGCAGTTTTTTTTTAAAAAAAATAAAAATAAGTCTCCAGTTTTTAAACACTAGGAAATAAGGAAACGCCGGCGAAAATACGACGTACGTACCGTTTTTTTCTTTGTATCCTATCGCTCGTCTAAGTCTCTCAGAGTGCGGCGTCTTTCTTTTCCTTCGCGCGACACGCCAGCATTTCGGTGACCTACAAACAAGACGTGCTGATTTATGAAGCCTAGCCTAATGACAAGACTTTCACTACCCGTGCTCTACCTAGGTGACCGACGTACGTATTCTAACTTCTCTGAATTTCTTGATTGCACTTTCAGATTAAACGGAAGCTACGAGGCATTGGAAGCAGGCAACATTGCAGATGCGCTGGTGGATTTTACGGGAGGAGTGTGCGAATCTACTAACCTTCAAGAGACGGCCTTTAGCCAAGATGAGGACAGCAGATTAGCTTATTTCAAATCTATGCAAAAAGCTATGGGGCAGAGGTCCTTGATTGGCGCTTCTATATCGGTATTTTACCTTTTGCAACCCGTATTAGTTACAATTCTCCCGATTTATAATACGGTCGAACCCTCTGTTAAGTGAATGCCAAAGATGCCATCATTTATCGGTCGCTTTGGAGAGGCAGTCGATCACTTATAGCCTGCCACGAGGCTCCCAAGTGGAACAGGGCGAAAAAGAAAATGGGCGAGCGAAGCAAGCCGAGCGTGTCTTGGGGGAGAAAAAAAAGGTGGGGGAGCCTGTAGACTTTGTTTTCAAACCGTCCGTACTGGTATCGTGATCTGATTGGCTGCAATTCCTAACCACGCGCGCACGAAGGTTGTTGAAGCCGATGAATTCAAGCGTTAAAAAATAATAATAATAATAATAATTTGACAGGTCTAATTACCTTGATTGACATGTTACTGACACATGTGTTACAGGATGATTGCAAGTGGCAGGATGGATAGCATCAAAACAAAGTCTACAGGCTCCTCGCCCTTTTTCTTTCTCACCCAGGCCACGCACAGCTCGCTTCGCACGCCAATTTTTCTCTTTCGCCCCACTCCACAAGGGAGCCTGTTCGCAAGATAATCACTTCAGCCTCATCCACTAATTCGAAAATGCTGTTTATTCGCACGTAGTTTCTGAGTTAAGACTCATAACTGGTGCGAGCAGTGCCACTAAACGAGCCTCGTATACTCTAAGTGGCGTACAGCGAAATAGACGGAATCGGATATGAGAAATAAGACGACGCAATGAAAGAACAAGATCCAGTGCCTTTATCAATGGTTCTTTAACTTCACATTTATTCAGTATTTCTCCGGTAGGAAAACCTTTCTGGCTTTGGCATTTTTTTTTATCAGAAATATTAGGTTCAGTACTTATTATACCCTTTTAATTTTCCAGGTAAAGAACAGAGAAGACATGGAAAGACGCACAGAGACTGGCTTAGTAATGGGGCATGCATACGGTGTCACTGCGATAAAGAAGGTACACTTAGGGCGCTTTCCATTTGTCAGAACTGACCGGCCAGACCATTTTCGTCGTAACGAAAATTTCACTTTTAATCAAAATTATCCAGCCAGGTCAGTCAAATCATACATAGCATGCAGGAAGGAGATGTTTTTTTTTTCAGCAAAAACTCTTGGGAAAAGCTTATTTCATGGTCAAAATGACTGGTCCGGTCATGTTCCAGCCGGCCAGTTGTGACTTTTGGAAAGCGCCCTTAGACACTTAATGTTTCCTCTCCAAATAATAGACAAGTCAAAATCAATTTCTTTTCTACAATCCTAGGCAATAGATAGCACAACCCAAAATTTCTGCCAAGAAGATTACATTTGAAGGGTAATGTCATAGGATTTCGTCTCCAAATTAAGAAGTTATATTAACAAATACACATAATACTCTCGCCGTAAAGTGGTCTAGGACTGAACAAGTTAAGGGAACTGAAATTTGAACCATAGGTTAAATGGGATTATGAGTAGACATGTATGCAACTTTCTGTTTATTCTTTTAAATCTGAGCAATAAACGAGTCACTAAAAGTTAGCCTGAGAAAACAGCCGACGTTTCGCAACCCCCCCAATGGTTTCCCCGAGGAATGACGTTTCTCGGACGTCATTGTTCGGGGAAACCATTTTGTAGGGTTGCGAAATATCAGTTGTTTCTCAGGCTAACTAAAAGGTGAGGTCCTTATTTTACGTCGGTAAATTATCTCGTAACAGTATACATTAGACTGACAAATCTTAGGCCGACAGTGCGCTCAACCCCAACCCCTTCCCCCCTTCCTCTATGTCCATTAGTGCTCCGATCCATTTAATGTATACCGGTATTAAGTAAAGCTGCTACTTAAAGTTAGACAGAATGGAATAAAGTAGTCGAAACAACGATTTAGGTTGACACCTGGGAAGCGAACTCGAGTGCCGCGCACTTGCCGACTGAGTGTGTTAGTCCTTGCTCCTTGATCTTTGTCACTTGGGGAAAGGGTGGACTAAACAGAGAGCCTGTTCACAGGCTACCTCACTCACATGCATTGTCTGTCTTGCGCCTAGGTCACTACTGGCGATGGCTTGTTTAACCTATTTAACAGAGAACATTTGTACTTGATTCGGCTGAGAAATCCCTGGGGACACAAGGAATGGAATGGCCCTTGGAGTGACGGGTAAATGAGGAGCGTATTTTACGTGCCTGCATACATAAGCATTAATAAACACTTAAAATCACTGGTCCCGAGGGACAACATTAACTGTTTCCCGAGGAACCAGTATTTAAGTAGTTTGTTATATAGCTAGGAATTCATTAAACCTCGCTGTAACGGCGGTCGTCGGTCAACATTCGCGGGTAACAGTGCACTGTTACCTCTGACGTCATAGATTTTGCGATGTTGCCCACCCAGAGATTTTGGCGGGAAACAGTCTCATTTTTAGATTTCATGTGACCTCGAAGTAACCAACGAGAGCCCGCGCTGTTGAGAAAAAATTTCCATCTGTATAACAATTACAGTTATCGCACGCTAACATAGAGAGAGTTCCCCTTAGCCTCTTTACCGGAGCGAGGCCTGCTGCACTACCAGTCATGTGAAATGAGACAGCTTGAATTGCTTGTGAATAAAAACTTAGGATACGGTTGTTTCGAAAGATACACCTCCACAAATGGATTTTTTCCCTAACTAACCCGTAAAAGGATTATACAGTCGACTCCCGATAACTCGAACCTTAAAGGGAAATCGAAAAAAGTTCGAGTTATCGGGAGCTCGAAGAAAATAGCCGAGAGTAAGGTAAAACACAGTTTTTACTGCGCAGTGAACATTTTAATCACATTTAATTGTAGAAATGTCAAGTGAAAATAAAAAGATACTTCTAGATTATAAATCAGAACGTAACGTAACGAAACATAACCTAAATAGAGCATGCGTTTTACTGTTTTGAGAAGTAAAGCTGCTTTACGTTAGCCTGTGACAATCAACATCAGCCTCCATTAGTAAACTATACTCCTACAACACGTTAATAGGAAATCCAAAATTCAATGTTTCGGACGCCACTGAGACGGGTTTTTTCCCGACTTTTTAAGGGCTCAAAACATGGTTCGAGTTACCGATGGTAAAATTATATAGAAAATGACCTGAGGGGAAACGAACATTGGTTCGAGTTAGCGGGAGTTCGAGTTATCGAGGGTTCGAGTTACCGAGGGTAAAATTACAGTAAATGTATGACGGAAATCCAGGGGAAATCGATTTTGGTTCGAGTTAGCGCGAGGTTCGAGTTAGCGAGAGTTCGAGTTATCGGGAGTCGACTGTAAATCCGAAAAATCCCCACTCCTAGTTGATTGCCGTGAAACCTGAATCAGGGTTTTTAGGCAACATTTTTCTTTTGCCACCGATCCGAAAAGAGTGCACCGGACTAACCTGTGATTCCCGCCATTTTGCCAGCGCATTAAAAGAATCTATTTTGGGATTTTTCGTGGCCAAAAAAAAATCTATTTTTTTTTTATGAAACATTGAAAAAGGACGGGCACCACGGTCTGCATGGTCTGCTAATGGAGAGCAGAGTAAAGCTGAAATTAGGAAATATCTGCTTCCATGAAAAGTGAATCGATAGGGCTTGTACAGTTCAATTCCGCAGCCTTTGAAAGTTTCTCTTTACAGGAAGTTTAAACAATGACTCAACAATTGCTAGGATATACTAAGTTTTTCTTATAAAGGTTATTGCCTTATTTCTGTTTATTTTGTTATAGATCAGCTGAATGGAAAAACCTCGACGATGATCAAAAAGAAAATCTTGGAATCAAAGTGGACGATGACGGAGAGTTTTGGTTAGCTAATGTCTAAAAATAATATTTCTTTTTTGCTTCAGTATACATTGCACTATAATTTTGTTTGAGAAAGTTTGTGTTACTTAGTGGAAGTCATGTCTGCCATCACCCTGGCTTACCATTTCAACTACAATACTTACAGTATTTTAATCAGTCACTATTATATCCTGGGCATTGCGCTTCAAAGTGAAAGAAAAAAAGGGGTCTTTAAGCAAAGGCGTTTTTGAGAGACGCAAGACAACCGCAAGAGAATTTTTTTCCATTTGAGTATGCCTTGAAACTACCAAATAATAATTTCTTTACTCATAAAACCACTACCCAATAATGTAAAATACTCACAACTTCTCGCTGACGTGCGTCGCTTAGAAACATCATTAGGATCAATTTAGGTTCCTGGAAAACTGCCCACCTACCCCTCCCCTTGGCAAACATTAACACTTACTTCTCACTTAGGGCAATATGATCGCTTAGGGGAGGGGTAGGTGGGCAGTTTCCCAGAAACCTAAATTGATCCCGTCCTTGCTTAAGCTCCCTGTTGTACTTACTTTACTAGTAGTTACACTGTGTTGACAGTGTTATTTATTTCTTATCTTTTCCTTCCTTTTTACTTCAATAAAAGGATGGCCTTTGAAGATTTTTGTCGTCACTTCACCAAGGCTACTATGTGTCATTTGATGAACACGTCAAGATTCTCGTTTTCTAAGCGATGGCATCTCTTTAAACACAACAACGAGTGGAAACCTGGTATATCAGCAGGAGGATGCGTTACAAACCAAGATACTTTTCTTCAGAACCCACAGGTACAAGAAGCTACGACGCTCAACCATTCCAATAAATACTTTCAATAGCCTGCGAAAACATCCGTTTCTCCTCGCTCTTCGCCGCTGGGGACGTTTCGCGAGGAGGAACGTCTGCGACTCAGCGGCAGAAATTCCATACTGATGACGCAATCCAATGTTTACATAATAAATCCAGTAGTCATGGGGTTCCAAATACAAATTTGTCCAATTTTACGTGTCTTCTGGTCGTTTTTGGTAAAGTGTTGTCTTCATCTGCTAACGAGCCTCAGCAAAACTCAAATGCTTCTTCTAGAGAAGACTATATTCCTCAATTATTGACTGTTTTGTTAGAGATTCTTTGCGTTTACATTTGACCTTTGTGGCCTTTTGTCTTTTGTCTGTCATTCGTAAACAATCGCTAAAACAATGTAACCACCACGTCGACCAATCAGCGCTTCTGACCGGATTCCGGACAGATTTTACGTCATTAGTATGGAATTTCTGTCGCTAAGTCGCAGACGTTTCTCCTCGCGAAATGTCCCCATCGGCGAAGAGCGAGGAGAAACGGATGTTTTCGCAGGCTATACTTTCAACGGATATCTATGCGATCTCATAAAGGAATTCCTCATTTTTCAGCGCAGAAAGGATAAAACGCTTTGCCGTCAATGTGTCTTATAAAGGTCTATTTCCCTAAATCTTCATTGTGAATTTTTTTTTTTCTTCGCCAGGCCAACCTAATCATTAAAAAGTATTTATTAATAATCAAAATGAGGCTGCCTGCTCAATTAAACCTGCCCCCGGGACTGATAAGCTCCTGCTTTAATAAGTGGCTTGTTGGGTATGAGAAAAATAAATAATACATAAATAAATAACCTACCGTTCGTAGCCTGCGCCACAGACAAAACTAAACTCTCTTTAGGACCGTCTTCGAACGGTGCCGAAATACTAGGTCAATTTTTTTTTCTTAGTACGCTTTCAGCGTTAAAGACCAAGATGATGGAGAAGTCCTGATTGCTCTTATGCAAGAGGACACCAGGATCGAGAGAGATGAGGGTGGAAAGAATCTCAGCATTGGATACTACATCATGAAAGTACGTCAAGAAATTGTTTTAGAAAAAAATCAAGATTGATTATTTTGTCTGTGGTTTTATGTCAAAGAAGTTTCTCATATTCCTGTAGCCCTTAACAATTGGACATTGGTATAAAAATAATGGGTATTAAATTAAAGGTTAGAGATAACTTTGGAGCTTAATTTGTTCGGTAGTAGGTCCTGCTGCGTTTAGGACTATATAAAGATTTGGTGTGGTGCACTCGTCAAAACCGCAGGAGCAATTTGTACACTACAGATTTGGTTATGAGTTGAAGAGGGAGATAGAACTGGTTGCGTTTTGAGCGCCAGCCGCTCGTGTGATGAAGTGCTACAACCTTGGACAAAAAGGATTAAGACATTTTGCACTTTCTTACCTACAAAAGCCTATCCGGGTGGTTTGGTACTACTATGGCCCCTCCTTTCACCACACCCTGGTCAATGTTGTTAAGCCGGGGTGAGAAATGGTCCAGCCGGACTTCAACATTGCTTTGGGGGAGGAGTATTTTTAGTTGTTTTAAGTGCTTTCAATAGGCCCTTTGCAGCTAGCCATTCACGTGGTACAAAACCACTCACACTGGAGAGCAAAAGTTGTACTGGGACAAGACAAACAAGAAAAAAAAAATTTGAAATGGTAATTTTCTTTGTTTGTCTTGTCCCAGTGCGACGTTTGCTCTCCAGTACGGCGGTTTTGCACCACGTGCATGGTTAGCTGCAAAGGGCCTATAGCTTTATCTTGAAACTAGACATGGTAAAGTCCATTTTTCATAACATTTTTGTCCAAGATTGTAGTGATCGAAACGTCACCATGTCAGTCTCCCTACAGCGACCAGTCTGACTGACGCCAACCTCTTTCTCTCAGCCACCGATGTAATACCACAGTTTCTTTACAAAATAGTCCTTTCATCAAATTCTACACATCCACCAGATCAGCGAAAACAAAAAATCCGCTTTTAAATTGAAGAATCTAGATTGTGATGGCCCCAAGAAGTGCTCTCTTAAATCCACCCAAAAATCCATTGAAAAAATCTTACAATTATCATATGACGATCTTCCTTCAGCGTGCGAATTCAAACGGGCCAACTTCACTTGCGAAGGAACACTGACTATTAGTTGATTGTGAATCGAGTTATCTTATGTACAATATACAATAATTATGCATCGTGAAAGACATACCACCCTTATGAGGGAAATGAAGTCAAACATCAACGGGGCTTGCTTGATTTTTGTGGAAATGATACTGAATTTTTTTATAAACTATTCATGGTTTACTTTCTATTTTTCATCTAGGTTGAGGAAAATCGAACTTATCGTATACACACAATGTTTGAAAAGGCTGGTGACTCTATTTTTATAAATACGCGTGAAGTGGTTAACAGATATCAACTGAAGAAAGGGAGATATGTGATTGTGCCATCTACGTACGATCCAAACGAAGCCGGAGAATTTATGATAAGAATATACACTGAGGAGTCTTCTGATGGCATGTAAGTAATATAAACATATTACAGATATGAAATATTTAAGATATAATGAACTTACAACAATGTGCTGTTGGTTACAAAAAATTTTTATCACAGACAGAGCACGTAAAAAGAAAAAAAGACTTCTGTTCTTCTTCTACTCTCGTAGTGGGTGTTTCTCGAATTCAAACTGTCCCAATAAATGATTGAACCCAGAAAGCTATTTTGTGTGGGTAAAGTTCACGTGGAAATGTCAATTTTGTTTGTCACTGCCGTTATCACACACGCACACAATTTCGGATGGCATTCTTTCTAAAACTCTAAGTCTTTGCTTTTATTATCGTCATCTTAATCTTGATCTTGTTTTATCTTGTTTTAATCTTTATCTTCGTCTTTATCCTCAACTTCATCTTCATCTTCATCATTCTCGTTATCGTTGTCGCAATCGTTATCGTTACCGTTATCGTTATCATTCTCGTTATCGTTTTCGCCATTTTTATCTTTGCCGTTTTCGTTATCGTCTTTTTTATCGTTACCGTTATCGTTATCATTCTCGTTATCGTTATCGTTGTCGCCAACGTTATCGTTATCGTTATCGTTATCATTGTCTCCATCGTTATCGTTATCGTTTTCGCCATTTTTATCTTTGCCGTTTTCGTTATCGTCTTTTTATCGTTACCGTTATCGTTATCATTCTCATTATCGTTATCGTTACCGTTATCGTTATCATTCTCGTTATCGTTATCGTTGTCGCCATCGTTATCGTTACCGTTATCGCTATCATTCTCGTTATCGTTATCGTTTTCGCCATCTTTATCGTTGCCGTTTTCGTTATCGTCTTTTTTATCGTTACCGTTATCGTTATCATTCTCGTTATCGTTGTTGTTATCGTTGTCGCCATCGTTATCGTCACCGTTACCGTTTTCGTTATCGTCTTCTTATCGTTACCGTTATCGTTATCGTTGTCGCCATCGTTATCGTTACCGTAACCGTTTTCGTTATCGTCTTCTTTATCGTTACCGTTATCATTATCGTTGTCGCCATCGTTATCTTTACCGTAACCGTTTTCGTTATCGTCTTCTTTATCGTCACCGTTATCGTTATCGTTGTCGCCATCGTTATCGAGACCGTTACCATTTTCGTTATCGTCTTCTTTATCGTTACCGTTATCTTAGTCGCCATCGCTATCGTTACCGTTACCATTTTCTTTACCGTCTTCTTTATCGTTACCGTTATCGTTATCATTATCGCTATCGTTGCCGTTACGTTTATCTTTATCGTTATCATTAACATTACTTAACAATTACTCCTCGAGCCTTCGGCCTCGTGGGCTATTGACTCAGAGGCCAGGGGGGCGAGAGGAATAACTGTTTTAGTAAAATCCAACTAGTTGGTCAAAAACATCGAGACAAAACAACTATAGCTAGCAAAACGCGATTCAACTGACATTGCTTTTGGTTTTCAAAGCAGGCGCTTTTCGCTACTAGTGGGCTATAACATATAGCCTAGTTGTAGCTCAACCAATCAGAACGCAGCATTGTTAATAGACGACTAGTTGGATTTTGCTAATATTTTACATACTTTTTCTGCCTGAGAAGGTATTAGGAACTCTAAAAAGAATTTTGACCGCACACCGGCTTATCAGTGGTTCGAACCGGGTACGACAATGCTCGTTTGATATCAGGACTTTAGAGAAACTGGCCCCTGCCCTGATCTAGCATTTCTGTTAAAATCAATATACAGTCGACTCCCGACAACTCGAACCTTCAAGGAAAATCGAAAAAAGGTTCGAGTTAGCAGGAGTTCAAGTTATCGAGGGTTCGAGTTACCGAGGGTAAAATTGCAGTGAATGTATGAGGGAAATCCAGGGGAAATCGATTTTGGTTCGAACTAGCGCAAGGTTCGAGTTAGCGAGGGTTTGAGTTATCGGGAGTCGACTGTAGATTTTCATTACTCAAAGGTCGTTGATTTTATCCTCTCTTATTCTCTAAAACTCCTATATTTGTTGAAAATTAAACCCAGGCTTCTGGAGAAGGATCATCCAACAGGAAGCAAGATTTGTTGCTGCATCCCTCGAATGCGCTCGCCCGCGTGTGTATTGTCAGTACTGGTCAAGTCTGCTAATGGTATCAAGAAGAGATCCCCGATATTAAGTAAGAATATACAACGTTTTCATAACCTTTTTGAGACGTTACACATCCCTCAGTAAAACCATCTCACGAGTATTTAACATATCCAATTTTGATGGAATTTGGAATGCACTACGTGTGTATTCACAGGATGAGCGTGCGCTCAGTTAAATTCCCATGTGTTTTGTCACCGCCTTTGATTCCGAAAGCAGAGGACAGGAAGCTTTAGGAGAGTGAAAGCGCAGGAATGAAGCTAGGCAACAGCTATACTAAATATCTGTTTTTCTAACTGGAAAGGAAAACCCTAACAACACAATCAGCGACAAAATTGTTGAGACACCGTCCTCAAATGCAGTAGATTCGGAGAACAAAAAATCCACACCCCTCCCTCCCCTCCATTAAAATTTAGGGCGTTTGTTGCTTCCTACGGGCAGCTCGAGCAGCGGCACAACATTGCATGGAGGGGCTTGGAGAGGGTAAGCTCCATTTTTCCCTTTTGAAGTCAACAAAACTTTAGCGAGGCCCAATTAGAGAAATGTGTCTCAACTTATTTTTTGCCATCGACAGCTCCAAGTGTTTACATATTATAACACAGAAACTGTGTCTATTCGAAATATTTTAGTTCATTCTTGTTATTTGGTTAAAGGTCTTGATCCTTATGCTCTGGTCACATGTGAAGGAAAAACAGTTAGAACACCAACACTCAGCGACACTGCTAATCCTGAATGGAACTCTGGTGCCTTATTTTTTGTCAGAAGGCCAAAGAAAACGCACCTTGTGATACAGGTACTCTTTCGTTGTTTTTACCAATAGCAGGAGAAGAGACTTTCGAATCTTAAGACAAGGACGACGTCGAGGACGAGATTTTCTCAATACTAAGTAGAGCGCTCACGTAAACTAGCGTCTTTTTTGCGGGAAAACGCGATAGCCATCATCATTCTATAACGGGTTTTTGCCAAAATGTCCTTGTAACAAAAGCAAGTTATCAACGGTTAGAATTGGAAGTCTCTAAAGAATTCCACCCAGTTAATGAGCTATAGTGAGTAGATTTAAGAAGTATTTATTAGAACCAAAAAACGTCAAAACATTTTAGATCATCGAACTACATCTGTGATGCCAAAACAAATAGAAAACATCGTGAACAATTATTTATTTCTCGATTTATTTATTATTATTATTATTTTTTTATGTAACTCCTTCTACGAGGAAACAAATTCATTGAGTCATTTGCAATGGCCGTTTACTTTTCAGATCTGGGATAGCAATGTGTTTTGCGATTCCTTCCTGGGTCAGGCAAAAATGACAGTTGATGTCAACAACAGGACTGTGGTACTGTCGCATCAACTGATGGGCAGAAGACGGAAGGAAAACGAAAAAATGCCTGGTGATGTTACCTTGGAAATTGCATGCTATAAGGACCTCTTAGCTGTGTAGCCATCTAAGGCGCTATGAGGCCCTTTATCCTTTATCATCTCTTACCCCGGCCCGCACCAAGTATCAGTGTGACTCTGGCTCGCAATTCAGCTGCACTCACTAACGTGACCAGCTATACATTGCCCGACGAGGGGGAAGAGGAACTGACTACTCACGTGATCCAATTCAAGCACCTCGCCGCGCGCCTGCAGATAAGACAAAAACACAGCATTTGCAAGTGGTGTCTGCTGTTTTTCAGCAGTGATACCATAACGTTTCAAAGTTATTACACCCAAACCGTAGGAGAAAAAATTTAAAGTCTTTAGTCGTTAGTTTTGTTAATTCCAAATTGACGATAACAGATGCGTCTGCAGCGCTAAAATCACTCGTTTCCTCCATTGTTATACCGCTTTCACCGAACATCACGTTTGACAGCCCACTGCAATGACTCACTGATATGCGAAAATATCCGTCCGTTTCTCCCAGTCGCCTGCAGCTGTCGTTCTGCCTCGGTCCTTGCCTGGTTCCTCAACCAATGTATTGAATTCTTTTGTTCGATGGCGACTACTGGAAGTATCATAACATACAATCCACGGTTCATTTCCACTCAGTAAGCTTAATCGTACCATACACGTAATACGCACTGTCCGCTTTGCCGTTGCCTGGCTGGATGTATCTCGTCTCAGCAACTGTTCAGCCCAAATCCAAGTCACTTTTCTTCCTTGCGCTGACATTCTTCCTTGAGGTTTCTTCACGTGTAAGAGAGGTGGGCTCTGATCATAAACTACAGGTTTCTAGAATATACGGAAAATTTAGATGACTCCCTACCACTATGTATGTCTATTCACGCTACAGTTTAAATTCTTTGTTTGCAGAAACTCTTGAATCTTTATCTATCTTTTCAAGAACGTTTTCTGCATCTTCTTGCCGTGCAGGCTGAGTCGTGATAGAAGGCATTTCTTGCACATTTGTGTACAAGCTTGGTTCGTACTTGTCCAGATCAACATAATGCTAAAACAATAATGCGAAAAAATAGCTTTTAGGTATCGTAAAACGTGCTATCTGTAATTTGTATTGTTGTTAATTAAATATTAGTTTTAATTCTTTGCGACCATATCATATTGGTTTTAGCTACAAAGGGTGAAATACATGTAAAAAGCAGAGAATGATTAGAAACAATCTCGCCGATGATTTTCGCTAACCATTTGCATCTTGTTCAAAACGAATCACAGAGTTAATACTGCAAATCAACAGCCATTCGAGCGAGATGTAACTAATATTACAAGTAAACGACAATAATAGCCACCCTGCCAGTAGAGTCTTTCTTCGCTTGCTTGATTTTAGCGTACTCGAGAAAGACTCTGAATGAATCGAGTGCGATCTTTGTTGAGCATGAATGGCATATTCCTAACCCAGAACTAATACCCGTGCTTTTGGTTCAGCGGGCGTATTAACGACCATCGTTTTATCAATAAACGGATGCTGGCAATTGAAAAAAACAGTTTGACGAGAGAAAACTAGATCGACTAGTCCAGAAGGTAGCACGTGATGACCTATTCAGGTTAATAGCAAGATAGATTATCAAGAATGAAAGAATGGAAATATTTACCTCTTCCTTAAGGAATCCAGTTATCGTTTCATGAAGCCTTTCAAATGTTGGGCGATTGTTGGGATCCTCGTCCCAGCATTCTAACATTATCTGGTATCTGCAAATTGAGAAGAAAAAAAATTTCGGACTCTGGTGAGTTTTGCAGAACGAAATTTATTTGATTGGTTGATATTTTGTTTTGTGCAATAAGTACAAATCACTTTAGCCGATATCAATACAATGGACGCCAATTGTGCTGATAATCGTCAAAAAGGGACAATAGAGTGCGCGGTATCTCAGCTGTTTTTATTTGAGCTGAAGATTTCACGTTTTGAAAAGAAAAATGGCCAAACTTAAAGCTAAAATCATGACAAGTATTAAGAAAATATGGAAGCGTTTGTGGCCGAGCGGTTAACACCTCGGACAGCGGATCTGGAGATCTGGAGTTCAAGCCTCGCCCGTCGTGTTGTTTCCTTAGACAAGGAACTCTACTCCACTTTGCCTCGATTCACCCAGGTGTATAAATGGGTACCGGCGAAATACTGCTGGGAGGTAACACTGCGATAGGCTAGCATCCTGTCCGGGGGGCGAGTAGCAATGTTCCTAGGCATGCTTCACGCTAAGGAAACCGGTATAAACTCCGGCCGTTTCGGTCTTTTGCTCGTGTGGCGCGCCCTTCACCTCTTTACCTTACCTATTAAGAAAATATCACTTGACAGACGACAACTTTTGTTTAAAGTGAAACTGTCGAAGAGCAGGCAAATAGTATGAAGACGGGAACTTTACGTAGATCGAGGTAGGCAAGTTTTAATTTACGTCTGAAATAGTTGAGTGAATAATAAAACAGTTAATGAACTAGGCTTTCTTATGATAGGAAGAATTGTGCAGATCTCGGAGAGTGTTATCCGCCTCTGTCCTCGGCCACGTCGGATAAGTGACCCTCCTTCCCTCTGCAATCTCCATAATTCTTCATATCGTTCGAAAGCCGAACCATTATTGCTATACAGAAATTCTTGTTTTCTTACAGCTCATCACTGATATGTTCTGGCTGACTCATGCGGTGTTTATTGACTTTAATCTCGTAAACCACTTTCCATTCATTCCAATCAGGATATGGGGTTCCTCCTAGAGGAAAAAAAGGGTAAAATAATAATTAGTGATTGTTAGAGAGGCCTGGTTATGATATGAAAAATTATGCAGACCGGGAAGGAGCCGAACTATATAGTTTTAAATTTCTGTCCTGATGCAGAGAAGATTGCTAGTTTTTGTGGAGTTGGGAAGCTCATAGTACGCATGTGTCAAATTTGACGTCATAATAATTTGATAGAGGTATTAATTCCAACACCTTCAAAATTCTAACAAAGTCACAAACAGTTATTGCCAGTATAACTCAAAACTATGTGCCAAGATAATGGCTAGCGAGATACATACCTAAGGTAAAGATCTCGTACAGAACAACTCCATAAGACCAGCTGTTGATATAATTTTGCATAATCATTCATTAATAATAAGAACTTATGTTGGACACGCATTCCTACACTACTATAATTATACTTTCTTTGCTATTATCGCTGTCCAAGTGCCAAGTTATAACAAGATTTGAAGAGAAGATAGATTTTATATTAACTAGCTTAAACTCTACTCCTCTATCTTCTGACAAACTCTTGCAAAGAGATTTTGTTGCGCTTTCAGATTTTTTTCTGGAACGATGAAAACACGTTTTCACCTCACAATTATTTGAAAATATTAGCGTAATATTGTTCTTGTGTTGTTTGTTTGTTTTTAAAGAAGGCAGTACAAAAAGTGTTTTCATCATATTTCACCCTGAAATTTTAAAAAGTTAAATCTTTTTGTTGATCTCTGACAATGAGTATCAACAGGCTAAAACTTACACGTCGCTTTTTTCTGATACTCTCACGTCCTTGTCCTGTGCGTCATTAAACAAATGTTCAGGAGCAGTCCATTTGATTGGAAGTCTTCCCTGTCACGTTTGAAACCAAATGACGTTAAAGCTCAACAGTTATTAACTGGAAAAACATTAAATGCCACCCTTTGGGACAGTCCATATACACACTTTTAAAGGTTTTCCATCCTCTGTAGTGTATGTCATATTTAGAGACTGCTTCAGTTGTTAAACCCTTCTGGTCTGATCTTAAAGGTCTGAAAAAGAGTAAGACTTGTACCCTCTGGGTGGAAAAATAAGTGGACATAGTACAGTTGCTATTGTTGTCACTTTTTGTTATAATTAGTTTCTTAATTAAGGAATTTTGAATAGAATCTTGGAGTTGAAAACCCGCCTCCAAATCTCTGGTGACTCAAAGTAAAGCATTTTCTGGAAACTTGAAACACGTATCAGCCGAGTGTGTATCGTGCGAAAAAGTGGTATGAAATAGGGATGCAATTTCAATTTCGGTACAGGCCTGAAATAGAATAGAGCAAAACAATAAATAAATTTCATCTCAAGTTGAATAGGGTTTGGCTCACGAAGCAGGCCGCAACCCCACCAAAAGTTTCCAGCAGTAACTCCCCGGAAGAGGCTGCACGGCCAAAGTAAAACTGTACATAGCGGTGCTTTGATAATTACCTTTCGTATTGCAGTGCAGTAAAGATACTGATATTTGTCTCTTATGAGAGCCAGTCCAAAGTCTGTGATTTTACAGATCCTTCCCACGCCTACTAAAACATTGCGAGCTGCAAGGTCTCGGTGAAGGATCTAGCAACAGTATCAAAAATGATCATTATTGTTACCATCATCATCGTCATCATCTTCATTATTACCAGATATAGACAACAAACACCAAAAAGTCAAAGCAAAAGTCGTAAATCAGAGTTATCCATAATATAGAGTTTGGGAGAGTATAAACTTTAGGTTTTGTATCTTTTTGGCCAAGAGAACTGTCGCATGATAACAGTGTAAATCATGTTAGTAGGCCTCGACTAGAAAGAATAGGCAAATTTATTAGAACCTTTCCTTTGGCTAGATGAAACACAACCTTAAAACATTGCAGAAGTAATCCGTATTGTCTTTCGCGGATGATAAAAAAAAAGCTTCATGAGAGGCACATAAGGAAAACTTAAGGCAATAATCGTAATGTCGCGAGAGTAGGACAAAAAAATGGGATTCTCCGAGAGAATTGAAACATGGCTTTCCATGGCTCAAACCCTGAGCTACTGCAAGGAAAGTCATGTTAACCTGGCTCTATATCAACCAAGATTACTTTTTCCATTCGTATCCCACAGGGTTCTGTCTTAAGTCGACGCCTCTTTTTTTGTTTAGATAATATTCACCTTTGTCCCAATAAATAATTTTTTTTCCTTTCCGGGCACATAACTTCCCTATTGCAATGCCTTACTCCTACCCACGTCAATTGCTTCCTGTGTCTTGAATAGAAAAATTTGTGACAATTGGCAAATATTGCGCCTAGTGAGTAAATGAGGAAGATACATTCTTTATAATCCCAAAAACATGAACAAAGAAAGAAACTGAGAGGCATTAACCTTTTTAGAAGCCAGAAAGCTCATTCCCGAAGCAATCTGCTGCGCAAATGAAAGCAAATCGTATGACGTCACTTCCTGTTGGCAGCTCTCTGGGCACGTGTAGTACTTATCTTCCATTCCTCGGCTTTTTCTTAAATAGCCTAGCAAATCCCCGTATGGTACATATTCCAAGATTAACATCATAGGAGCTAGAAACAAGAAAAGTTATCCAAAGTTGGTGAAGCATAAGTTAAGCATACAAATGAGATACTCTCTCTATATATACCTCTTTATAAATTAACTACTTAACTACCAGTACTATCTATCGACCACCTCTATCAACCAAAGACAAATTGAACTCGTCTATGTTCTTCGATGATTTCAGTAGGCTTATTGAAGATCTACCCATTTCAAATACAAGCTGTCTAATTTGTGGCGATTTCAACTTCCACATGGAAGCGTGTAACCCCGAGGCTGAATTTTCCCAGCATTACAAGCTGTGGTGAGAATTTATTTCTTGGTTACGTTATCCTTCAAAATGACCTCTGATCATGCTTCTGTTACTTAAACTGCCTTGTTGCGTGTTTCTAATGACATAATTTTGGCCCTTGATAATGACGGTGATGATGTCCTGGTATTGCTTGACTTATCGTCTACTTTCGACACTATCGACCATGCTGTCCCGATCAAAAGATTGTACACCCGTTTTGGGTTGAAGAGTTCTGCCCTGGCATACATTGAATCGTATCTGGCTAATCGTTGGCAGTCAATTTGCATCAAAGATGTTGACATTAGTCCGGCTTACTTAGACTATGGTGTTCCTCAGGGTTCGGTTTAAGGCCCGTTGTTGTTTTCCCTCTTCATTGCGCCCACTGAAGGGAGTATCATCACACATGCAGTCTACGATATTTGCTGACGACACGCAAATGTACCTGGTTATGCGGAGATCGGAGCAAACATCCTGTCTGAGTAAGCTGTACGTTCAAGACTTTTTACTTGATTCTTTTATTTTTTGGTTGTTTACGCTCCCAATCCTTTTAGCAGTTGCCCGGTGCTTTCTATAATTTCCCAAAAAAGAGAAACTCCGTCGTCATCCTCCTGGGAGCTCAATTGCTGGGACACAGTTTGTTTATAGTCAAAATACACAAAATGCGTTACCTGACGTGGACACGCATCCCAGGAAGTTGACAATATTTGGGTGTTTGTTCCCATCTAAAGATTTGCCCAGCTCAATTTCCTGCGCTAGTGACTTCTTTTCAACGTCCGAACAGTTTCCTGCGAAGGTTCAAAATACAGTCAAACCTCCTGAACCCTCAATCACCCATTTAGAATGACCAACATGTCAGAAAAAGGAAATAATCAACAAGGTCATGATTGTTAAAAAATTTCTTCTAATCATTAACAGAAAATGAATGAAAAACAGTGTGGAGAAAATGCTTGTTGAAATAGGGGTTTAAAGGATTCTTATGGACACGAAGCGGGACAGGGCATAGTGTTATTATAGAGGTCAAAAAAGGAATGGCTTGAAGTTTGGTATCTCTGAACTGTAATCATAGAGAGGTGTCCATAAGGAACCAAAGTAAGACTATGCCTTATCAGCTGTGTTGTGCATTATTGTTGCCTGAACATAAATCAGTTGTTTCGATCTGCCTTCGTGTATTTTCCGTTCTTGATCTTACCTTTTGCATTGCCTGGTGCTCTCGCCGACGCTGCAATTGCTTTGTACACAGACGAACACCTCTCTATTACCAATTACCGACAGTTCTGATATTCCTTACTATAACAAACTCAGTACGATTAATAGCCCTATAACACGGACACCTCTGCTAAACGGGTAGTACAGCTCTGTAATTTTCCTGTCTTTCAGGCCCCAGTTGTTGAAAAGCTGGATAGCGCTATCCATCGGAAAAACTACTATCCAGTGGATAAGTATTAGGGAAACCAATTGCGCTATCCAGTGGATAGAGATTCATCCAGTGCATAGTGTTATTCACCTGGCCCGGGTTGTTCAAACGCTGGATAGCGCTATCCATCGGATAAGTCACTGTCTAGTGGATAAGTGTTAGGGAAACCAATTGCACTATCCACTGAATAGCGATTTATCCGATGGATAGCGCTATCCACCTATGGAACAACTTGGGCCTGGTCAGTGAGTCTGTTTGAAGCCCCATTTATATGGAGAAAAGTTGTTCTGGGTAGAAGGGTCACTCCCCTACCCAAGCTACCCTAGGTGAGGCAACATTTCATACTCTTCCTTGCAAAACGTGGCAAAGCAATACATGAAAAACATAACTTGGTCAAATATTTTGTAGTTCGTCTGGTTATGCGTCTCTGGAATAAAGACAGGCACAATATGCATTATGCAACAGACGAACTATCTTTCGTAGTGCGCCGTTCAAGACGTATTTCGAAGGAAAGTTTGTCCAGACGCATAACCAGACCGCGAAATGCAAATGTTTACCCAACTTGGTCTAGATGGAAAATGCGTCCTTAGTACAATAAAAATGGCCAATGTTGGCTCGGCTAAAAGGATGACCCGCCTTAAGCTGGGTCACCTTTTTGTGATGGAAGGGTCACCCTCTTAGCCAGGCCAACCTTTCTCCATATAAATGCTTTGGCTCGTCCTGCAGAGTCAACTCGGTCATGGAGAGACAAAAAGAGCATGCGCGAGCGATGTAGAGCGTTTTCAGTCACGCGGCCAGCAGCTATGAAAATTTATTGGAACAAAAGAAAGCGTTTGCATAAGAAAAGAGTTCAACTCCCAAAGGACTGGTTTAGGACACCAGCATGGCCGCCGTTTCATTGTTTTGGGACGCCAAAATTACAGTACGTTTCCCTCGCTTTACTATATCCCTGAGGAAAAATGGGGACTACTCGTAGTCTACACCAATATGTTCTCCGTGACGTTATGTGAAAACACTCGCTGAAGTTGACTGGTCTTGGTGGTTGACTCTTTTATCCGGGGAAACTTTTCTCCATATAACGCGGCCTGAGGTTTGACTGTCAGTACCGTGAAATTGAAACTTTAGAAAAAGAACATTCTGTTGTGGAAGCTCTTACGTTTCAACTTTTTAACTGCAACTGTTGTCTCGCCAGCAACCCCCTTCAATCCACTGACAACAGCTTTCCATACTTCACCGAAAGAACCGCTTCCGAGAGTGTGTTGTAAGTCGACTTGTTTTGGCGCCACTTCCCAACATGTAGCTGAGACTGAAAGGTATCTGGGATCACACTCACCGTCACAATCTTCACTGAAAACAAAAAATTATAAGCAAAAAAAGAAGAGAGACCTTAGATTCGAAGACGAGGACGGTCGACCAAGAGGAGGAGATTTGACTTAAAGTTAGTTTTCTTCGCCGTTTTCATCCAAAAAAAGTATCAACCTCAAAAGCTTAATTTTACTTTTTTTTGCCAGGAAATTCACCAGCGTTATTTTAGGAGGTTAAGCCCTTTCCCTAAAGCACGTAGTAAGACGGACGACGGCTATCACGATTTCCAGCGAAACTCCCGCACACGGCTTTAATAGTACTGAGAAAATCTCGTATTTCTTGTATTCGTCTTCGAATCTTGAAGGTCTCTGTTGTCAACAAGTTTTAGCAATAATTTACCCTGAATTTGAACGGTTTCTAAAAAATATAAATCCAGTAAGGATCTCAGATCATCAAAAGCAAAGTGCTGTGCAATAAGTTGCTTCTGCGCGGTTGTAAGTGGTTCAGTTTGTCACGGCTTTGTCAGGAAACAGGCGAGGTGCCTAGATAATGTTTGGTACTAAGTGAGAGTTCAAACGAGCGATAATGGTCATGAAGATGGCAAAAGAGATGCCCTCCATTATTAGTAATGTACCATGCTTTAATGATGGTTGATGTCATAATGATATAGATGTGAATTTAAGTTCTACTAAATTTTTAAGTTATGGCCTTCTTTAATTTTAAAAAATTACCTTTCAAGATTTCTTTCCATTCTTTGTAAAAATTCATTTCTTTGTGCTGGAAAATAAACAAGCAATTCAAAACTATAAATTAATTGAGTTTTTCATAAGAATAAAGACATTAACGTACCTAAAAATCACTTGTGCAACACTTCGTAAATAAAAGCCTTAAAATGTATTTTAAACAAGGAATTATCAATCAATGTACTGCGGTCATTAACCTCAAATAGGAATACCAAATTAGGAAGAAGCCAGTATGATGAGAAAATATCGTGTACATTATTTTAAAAGTTTTAGACAGGGGCTTCTGAAGCCCCCAACACTCGGTCTTAATTGTGCAATTTTGTTCTGTTTAAAATCACATACCTACAAAACGCCTTCTTTGATAAACTAAGCAAATCCCAGTCATCAGGAATAGAAGGGCCGACAGAACACTCACAGACGCCACTAATGCTGTGCTGTTGCTGTCGCTTGATGTGACAGATTGTGTCTTCGGAGGCTTTGCTAATTATGCATACAAAAAGGAAAAAAATTATATCAACTACAGTTTCATTGTCAGTTCTACGCTGTACGGTGAATAGTCAAGGGAACAGGGAGCTTAAGCAAATATAACCTGCGAGCAAGCTCTCTTGGAGTTCTCCTGGGGAGCTTCCCTGCCCCCGACCGTACACCCGGGAGCCCCAGCAGAGCTTGCTCGCAGGCTAAGGCAAATAGTTACGTTTTAAGCCACGCACATCAACCGAAAGTGGGCTTTTTGCATCCTTGGACAGTGGTTTTGCGGCAAATTTTTGGGTAAATAGTCACTTTAAGAAAACGGGACAACGCAACACAAATTCAATAGCGTCAACGCATATTCCTTCCGGTTGACCCACTTTGCTCAAAAACGCCTTCCCACTTGAGCTCCTGGCAACGCCGAGACAGGAAATTTCTCTTCGAGGGTCGAACAAATTTTTCACCACAGAGCGCAGAAAACGTGCATGTGTAAAATTTCTTTTTTCAACGCGAAAAGAGAAATTTCGTATCCCTAAGCGGCTATGTAATGTTCTATTTTTGTTAGAGACCACTCCACTCGGCGGACTCTTTTAAACACCTGAACAGTGCGAGTTTTTGCACAGTTTGCGCGGTAAAAGCTTAGAGCCTAGTTACCCGGCTTTGATGAAATAAGCCATTCCAGTGCTGTCACCGACAGAAAAAATTGTACGGACTCGTGTAAACAGTACTGTAATATAATTTGCACGGTTCCGTGTAAAGGGGTTGCACAAAAAAATTCGTCCGTTCAATAACTTTTCCTTACCCGTCTAAACGGAGTCTGAGGATTTGCTCACACTATATTGGATAGCCAAGTTTCGTGCCGAAACAAGGCCAGCTACAGGTGAGAGACATCAAAACAATAATAATGATAACAACTACAACAATATTAATAGTTATAATAATAATGATAATAATAATAATAATAATGATAATAATAATAATAATAATAATAATAATAATAATAACAATAATAATGATGATGATGATGATGATGATTACCTCTGACTCTTAAGGTATAATAGGCCTTGACGGGTTGTGAGGAATTTGTTGAAATTTTAGCTTGACAAATATATGTTCCTGTTTGATCGAGGGAAACCTTATTGATTTTGTGGCGGAGACGATGGTATTCCTGAGGTTTAAAATCATCGGTGGCAGGTGGAATCGTTTTATTTTCGAGGACAATGTCTCCGGCATGTTTTATCCACTGTGCAAAAATGGGCTTGCTCGTTTCCTTAACTTTACAATCTAGGTCCAGCGTATCTCCAACATCATATGTGCGTTTTTTTGTTTTGATGATGACTCTTGTCCAATTTACTTCCTTTTTGGGTATTGTGCCCAAGGTCGTCTCAACTGTAACAAACATGAAGAGAGAATCAAATGGTAGACTTTAAAGGACTGTATAGTAGCTCAAGTCGTATTATTAGGCTGCCTGTGGCATGTCCAATTATAAAATGAGCTTTCTACGTCGAAAAAAGACAAAATGGCGGATGGATCACCCATAAGGCATTGCGTGTCTTAATGCTCATTTGACTTTTGACGGGATTTCCCGATAAACAAGCAAAATGACAGACTTGGAACGAAAACTACATTCTTGGGTGAAGTTATTTTTCCCATAATTACACCCGAAAAACAACCGAGGCAACATTTCTGGATTCAGTACCATGCAATGGAGGCCAAGAGGAGGGATTTTTAGGTTTAGTCCATTATCCTTATTCCGGTATGGTCCAGATTCGAATTCGTCGCGGCAGCTGAATAGAAGCATTGAAGACCCATTTATACAGGGTTAGCCTCGACCTAAGGTAAGTATATTGACAAATTTCAGTCAGAAGAAGACCTGTGTTCAACTGTGTCCATTGTTTCAAACTCAAATTCAGGCACCTCCTCTTTGATATTTATGAATAATTTACTTTAGGTCGAGGCTAACCCTGTATAAGTGAGTCTTTAGTGCTTCTATTCAGCAGCCTCGACGCCTTCCAAACTGGACTATACGGTCAAGAGAACTCCCTCTAACTGATCTACATATATACGTCCATCTCTATCTCTGTCTCTCTATTTCTCGGGATAGGACTAACTAAATATTATACCACTGCAGCTCAATGTCGCCGATTAAAGGCGTCATGTTTAATATCCCATTTGCATGATGACGTCTTTTTACTACTAAGGCCAGAATTCATTTCGTTTTTTCTTTCATATTAAATTTGGTAACCCCATCGAGGTTCAAATAACAAAACCCTAATTTGTACAAGAAATCAAAATCCTGAAAGATTCTGGTAATAGAAGGAAAATGACGCCATCGTATAAATGGCCTATTTGAGCTGGTATTAGATGAGCACTAAAAATTAGCAGTCATAAACAGGACAACTCATTTGACTGCAACCACAAGAATCCCGTATGTCCGTCTCCGGTACTTGACCCAAACTTCTTAAAATTGAGTTTCTTTCTGCTAAAAAAAATCGTAGGCAGGCCTCTCGCGCGTTCAATTTAGGTGGCATTCTCCTGACAGCGAACGCAAAGAAGCTTGTTGTGGTCGGGCTGTAGCGCTAAAATGTTCAGAATCAGAGCTAATTCAGTTATAAATGCCAAATGGTATTCAGAGCGACAATTCCCGAAAGCAACTGTTATCAGGTTAATAGGCGAGTTTTGACGTCCCTACCATCTTTGATTGTACCGAAAATTTAGTTATTTTATTGTCAATAATAGTACAGATAGATTAAATGTTAATTCATACCAGAGCCTTAAATGTCTTAATTTCTCTTAGATGATACACTTTCTGACTGGAAACTCTCAAAAAAACTTGTATTTTTTTCAGAAAAGGCTTGAAAGCCGGTTCAAACAACTCTTTAACCCATTCTTCCCTGAACCGCCCGTAACCGCCCGTGAGAATCCAACTCCCTTCTACCGCTTTTGATGTGATCAGTTTTACGGTTCAAGGACAACCTTATGAGCTAACTTGTGCAGGGTGAAGAGATCTTTCAAACCATACCAGAATGAACATGTTCTGGTCAAGTAGGCAGGAGAAAAGGCAAGAAACCATGCAACATTGACCTGAAAATTCCCATAAATATCTTGTTCCACGACCCACCTAGTTTACTTACCTTTCCTTTCATCAAATCCTAAGATCCTAAAAGCTTTCCCAAACACTTTTCCCACCGAAATGAAGCCTGTTAATGCTCAGCAAAAGAAACAAATAATGAGGGGAAAAAAGCGAAAGAAGAAGGGAGGACAGAAAGCGGAAATTTGCCTTCCGCGCATGCCTGAAGATAATATTCAGCATTTGGATAGTGCATGACTTATGAACGGTTTTGTGGTAAATTTTAGCTCTTTATAGATAGACAGTGACCAGAAAACGACTCTACTAGCTTCACTAAACGCGATTTTCGGCGAAATTCCCAGTAGCGAATGGGTTAAGCAAAGTACGAATTTTTTTTTTACGAAAATCCACTTTTGAGCATAAAACAATTAAATTTGGCCATAAAATGCCAGTTGGGGTGAAAAAAATCAACAAAAGACGATTTTTAGGTTTTCCGAATAAGCAGAGTACCAAGTTTTTTAAGAAAATTCACTTTTGAGCATAAAACAACTCAATCTGGCCATAAAATGCCAATCTGGATGAAAAAAATCGGCAAAAGACGATTTTAACGTTTTTCGATTAAGTTACAAGGGGTTTGGGACTGTTTTAGGCAAACACCGGCCCCTTGTATGCCTGGAGGTCGAAAATTATTAAATCGTAGTGTTGAAATGAAAACGTTTTTAAAACGTTTTCAAGACAAGCCTTCAACCACTGTTATATTATTAGTAGCTAGAAAACCGCTGTCGAACCAGAAGTCGTAATTAATTGTTGGTAGTGTTTACAAGATGTGCCTTATATAACAAAAGTGCATCGAAAATCACAATAACATAAAATGCGTCGTTCTTCGCAATGACAAGAGGTATCCGGCTGATATTAGATCCCGATTTTAATTTTTTTTTTTTTAATTAAAACTTGACACTCAAAATTTCATCACTTTGAAAATAAGGCGTTAGAAAATTAGGGGCATGCATTGCAAAGACTGAAAAATCTTCGAAAATCCAAATGACTTACTATTGAGCAGCAGCTATTCTGGTGCGGTATTTTTAACGTTTTGAACAAATCTTGTTATAATAATAATTAACAAAAACACAAAGGAAATTAATGTTTAATGATCGTCTTTAAATCTGATAAAACTGGGCTTTACATTTAGTTTTAAATTCCAAAAGGTTGTAAGAAACTCAAAAATAACAAAAATGGCAAACAATGAGAATATTTAGAACGAAAAGAAATGGAAGAGAGTGACATTTCACCGCACAAATGTTGTTGGCGATTCCAAGCCATCCAAGTCTTTTAACTAACAGCTGAGCGATCTATCAGATATAATTTGTTTTTCGTAAGAAAAATCACCTGACACACACATAAGGGTTAAAGAACCCAACCTAAGCCCATCTGATCTGTTCACAGAGACCTTCTATTTTCTCTTAGAAGGCGGCATCGGGCGCACGAACGAAATTAAAAACCGATTGATTATTTATTGACAGCTCGTGAAAGGAGGTGTGGCTTTTTCGTTTCGTTTACCTCGGGAAAGGCACTGTGTAGCCAGAAAATCTTGTATCTTTTTGTTATTTTGCAATTTTCATCAGCGTATGGCATACTTTACCTATGATACCCAAGTCTCATCAAGATTTTTCTTCGAACTGATCATGAGTGATTGACCAACAGGCCGAATTAAGATATATCAGAAAAAGCTTAATTAAGTTTCAGTCGCATATTAAGGGAATAAAATTGTACTATACTTACCTTCTTTTCCCAGACATTGCTTTTTTGTGAAAGACCAGATTACAATGAACAAAAATCCGTAAGCAAGCATCGCAGGAGAAACGGAATGGCCTAAAGCCATCTCTTTTCCAACGTCAGTTCAGTAATCAAGCTTGTTCAACGTTTCTGCCTGCATTAGCTTGATGTATTGTCTGATACTTTTTTAATAGTCCTTGGATGTATAAGCTTTTAAATAATGTGATGCAGGTAAAGCTTTTATTCAAAAGAAAAAATTAATTTGTCGCTGTTAAGTAAACTGCGTTACGACGGCTTTAAAAGGTACACAATGCTTAATCTAATATTTATCAACTGCGAGACCCGATTTTTTTTTTCAAGATAACATTCTCGGCTTTTTGTTAAAATTTGTTTCCCCAGAAAACAACAGCTAGATTTTCAGCCGCAGAATTTTAAGACACTTGTCAAATTTTAACTTTTCAAGAATTATAAATGCGTTTTTTTTTCTTAATGTACGCGTCATTTGTCTAGGTCGAGAGCTAATTTGACATAGAAGACGAATTCATCACATTTTTCTGACAATCTCATTTCCTACCCAAAACAAACGCTCTCGAAAGCTTAAAAGTTTTTTTTTTTTGTTTGTTTGCTTTTGTCCTCCTTTTTTTTTTCATAAAAAGACGCGTGCCTTCGCTTAAGCTAGATCATATTAAAATACAAGATAAGATTAAGTACTCGTCCAGCATTTAAAGGAGGCTTAAGCTGCAAGGTCGGCCACGGCTACGAAAACGTTACTTAAAAAGCTAGTGAGTTCGCGCTGCCTCAAACTTTATCACGCTTTTTCCATCTCGTTTAATTTAACAAATGTTGGCACTTTTTTGGAGTTGAATTCAAAGGACTGTATCAGAGTTCAGGAAAAGAAAAAGAAAGTTGTTGTCGTGTGTTCGACAAAACGTGCAATTAGGCACTTTCACGTTGTAGTAGTGCATTGACGGCAAAGAAATGTACAAAAAGGCGTGATGCACGTGCAAAGTTGTTGTTTCGCTTGCTTTTTTGCCGTTCTCGTTGCCGTCGTCGTCGTCGTTGCTTAAGCTCTTCACAAACTGACACGTGAACACATTTTAAAGCGGCCAAATAATATTGGATCCGTGTCGTAAATTGTATTCTGCGAAATATTCAAAGGACAGTTCTGAAAATGTACAAAGATGGCTTACTAATGCTCTGGTTGGCTAGTGTACATTACCTGTTCTATGTTATGGTATTTGATTCAGTCAAGCTGTCCTATTTTTCTTAAATTGGACAGTTTGTCTATTTAAGGTAGTCTTATCTTAAACTATCCAAATCAATTAAATTAATTAACTATCCCCTTCACGGTTTTTTCAACTTTTGACATAAACCAGTCGGGGAAAAATCCGTCAACACCACTGGAAAGAGTGGCTTAAAATTTGTAAAACTGCCAGATTTGAATGTTTGTTTTTGTGGTTTCCACAACGAGACATTTAGGCATTTTTTTCGTGAATGTCCACTATATTCTGCCTCTAGAACTAATCTGCTCTCCTCCGCTGTTCGCATATTTGCTGACAGGTGTTCATCTATGTCTAAGCACAAAACATATCATTTTTTCTGTTTGAATCACCGTTACTGTCTCCAGAGAAAATTTTAAGTGGAGAATGCTCTTAGCTACTCTTAGCTACATGGGTTAGTTAAAAAAGAAAACTTCACCAGCTAATTCACAGGTATGCCACTGTTAATGAAAAATTAAAGAAGAAAAAATAATTAAAACACTATAAAAGTTATTTACCTTCAAAATTAAGTTATCATACATAAAATACTATTAAAAATTATTTACAAAATTGATTTAAAAGGCGATTCGTCGATACTAACAGTTTTATGAACGTTTTAAAATCGAGCGACGCTCTTACGACATAAGGTAAGTTGTTCCAGATCTTGGGCGCCTGATACCGCCAGGAATTGAGTCCAAAGCGTGTTGTGTTGACCTTTGGCACTTTCAAAATGTCCTTTCCTCTCAAGGCATATGTTGTTTGTTGTAATAATAAGATTTACTCATCCAAGCCCTCCGGGTTCATTTTATTATTTACGAGTTTAAAAACCGAACAGAGAATTTTACTCCATTTATGTCTTCGTCTGCTCCATCAGGATTCTTCTACCTAAAAGCTCAAGAAATTCTTCATAGATAGTGTGTTGGTCTCTAAAAACAAACCGAACAGCTCTTTCATTTACTTTCTCCAGTTTTCCAGCCGAACTCTTATTGCAGGAAAGCCAGGTTTGTGGACAGCAATCGAAATGTGGTACAATAAATGACATGTAAATATTCTTATATCGAAAGGAAGTACATTTCTAATGCGCTTTAAAACTGCAACTTGTTGACATACTTTTCTACAGATATTGGCGACTTGCTTATCGAATTTCAACATATCACCAATAGTAAGTCCAAGCATATGTAGTGCATCGTGATTTGGAATGATGTTATTTTCGCAGCGAAATTCCGGATTAACTTTCAACCCATCACCATAGCCTGGTATTTGAACAAATAAAATCTAAAGTGATACAGCTTAAGTGGCGAAGATATAGCTCCGCAAAGTTCCGAAAATTTACAGACACCACCACCACCACCACTATACAAACGTCTGTGAATTTTTGCGACTTTGCAAAATTTGAGATGCTATTAGCTTCCGGTTAGTTTTCAACAGATCACTTTCAAACTCGGCATTTTTACTAACTTTAAGGGCGCTCTTTCCACTAGTGTTGATGGATTTTCCCTAATTTATCCATGTCAAAAATCGAAAAAAAAAAACGTGGAAAGGACAATATAAGGACAATAGCTATGCTGACAATATCGGATTAACTACAAGCTGGAATAATTAATACTAATATCAGCTTTATATTTTTCGACCATTAGTAATTGCTAAATGTTCTTCGTTTGTATTAATATGGTCTGATTCTCTGGAAGTGCGAATGACACATAATTGTGTAATGTCACAGTAAAACATTTGCATTAATCCACGATTGTGGACAATGTAACTGGAAAAACTAGGCAATCGCATTACACAGCAACAGTAAAAATTAAATTGCTTAATATCCTGCTCGTAATATTTGAAAATACCATTCCAGTGGCGGATGAAGACCTTCAGATAAGAGGGAAGGAGGGGCGGGGGGCGCTCAGTTTTGTCTAAAAATAAGGGGGGCGGGACCCCGGGCCCCTCCCTGGATCCGCCACTGAATTCCACCTGAAAGAGTTTCCTTTTCGCTTTGCTTTTGCCTGGATGTACCTGATCCCAGCAACTGTCTCTTCTCAGATTAAAATAAATTCACATTTTTCTTTCTCGTCATACTCTTTTTGGGGAGTGTTCTGAGTAAGAGCCTTCTGCTAAGCTTATTGTGACTGTTATTGTCTATGAATATACAGGGAATGCTGATCTTTCTACTTCTTTCTACTCCCCTGCAGTCTGCTGTCTTTGTTTGAAAATCAGATCTGTATGACACGTTGTTTAAGCTAAAACGTTTTTTACATCCCCTTCCGGTGCAGGCCGATTCATCAAAGAAGCAATTTCCTCCACATTTTTGTACAGGCTTGGCTCGTATTTTTCCAGATCAAGATAATGCTGGGAAAAAATGTACAAAATAGCTTAGTGTTTACCTAAAATTGATATTGTTGGGTGTAGTATATTTAGAATATTTTTAGTTATTGCTTTCGAGCTCTTTATTTTAGTTCACGCTACAAATGACGAAAAAACGGTATTATAGAATGGAACAATTTTGCCAAAACACACGGCTCCAACGCCGCCGCAGGAGTTGCCAGAATTGCTGAGTACAGCAGCCGATCGCCTTTAAGGGACTCCAACTAGGGATTTGTCCTTGGGGTTTACTCCCGAACGCTGCCTTGGGGCAGAAAAATAGCCACAAGGCGGTACAGGTTTGAAATCAGGGTTTTCCTTTTCCTCAGGTTGATGAGCCGGCAGGAGCCGTACCCTGAGCGGCTAGTTTTGAACGAGCCAGCTACTCGTCTTTCGCCCATTCTCCTGTCAGTTTAGCTTTGGCCGCGTGAAGGCCAGGAGCTAATCCTGTCGATCTTGACTAAGACACCACACGTGTACATACAGGTAACGTACGAGTAACACTCGGTTACATGCGGGTACATACGAATACATACTACTAGTAACATACGGGCAACATACGTAAAACGTAAAAGTAAACCACGCAAATGTTCATTTCTGACAGTTTTTAACAATTTCTAAACATCTAACCTAAATGAATCAGAATCAGATTACCGACAGGTAGCCCGAAAGTTTTTTTGTTCTATTTTCCAATTAAGGTGTGACTGACTCATGCGATCATGTATATTCGAAAAGCCAGCTACAAAACGTTCATTTAGGTCATTTTTAATACTGAATTGTCGGAGATGATGGGGAGGGGGTGTTTACATGATTCGCGATCTGGCCCCAACGCCAATTGACAATTTCTTAACCTAGTCTAGGTACTTATATCACTTGATCTGAGATATTTAGCTCTCACAACAGTACCTGAGTTTAATTTAGAAATCGATAATGACTAAAAACACATTTCTCTTCTGTAAAGGGACCCATTTGTTACTCGCGTTTATCCGTATGTTACTCATATGTATTCGTATGTTATTCGTATGTATCCGAACGTGTGCGTGTGTATCAGTGGGTTACTCGTTATGTTACCCTGTGTGTACCCGTATGGTGTTTTAGTCAAAATCCTTGTCTCAGCAGCTGTAACGCACGCCATCTGGGGCATTTAAACAGAGAGTGAGGGCTCATTCTCACTAGCCACTGAAACCCAATAATAATTATAATAATAATAATAATAATAATGATAATAATAATAATAATAATAATGATAATAGCAAACAAAAACGGTCTTGGGATAAGAATCGTTACTTCATTTACCTCTACCTGCAGGAATTCAGTTATCGTTTCATGAAGCCTCTTGAACGTTGGGCGATTGTTGGGATCCTCGTCCCAGCATTCTAACATTATCTGGTATCTGCAAATTGTGAAGGAAAAAATACCAGGTTCTAGTGAATTTGCAAAAGGAATTTAATAACTTGCATTCGTTCTTCCTGGCACTAAGCTCTTTGGTTTCAGAGCTAATGGTCCAGTGTTTGTGTCATTTTTTTTACTGTTTTTTTCAATCGGTCTTGTCAGCTGTTCAGAGAGCTTTTAGTCGGCCAAGAATTTATTTGATTGGCTACAATATTTTGTTGTGTACTGTAGGTAGTATGTTTAAAGATTTGCTATTAAAGTGTTAAAAATGGATTCTACTTAAATCGGGTGGGTCACTGAATTGAAATATTATTTAGTACTTACAGCTCATCACTGATATGTTCCGGTTGACTCATTCGGTGTTTATTGACTTTAATCTCATAAACCACTTTCCATTCATTCCAATCAGGATATGGGGTTCCTCCTGCAGGAAAAATAATGTAATAAATGACAATTATTGAATAAGGCCGAGCGTGATATGAATAATTATGTAGATCGAGGGGTGTTATCCGTCGACACCGAACTACGTACAGGAATGATAACTGTTTTAACTTTATGCGCGTGTGACTGTGTCATATTTATTGCGAGTGTTTGATAGACTTAATACTGTCTAGTCCATAAATCCTAACAAAATGACTAACAATTATTTGAAGTATCCCTCAAAATTAACTAGGAGCCGAGCCAAGATCGAGTGTGATGGATCAGACGAGCGAGCGCATTCTGATGCACGAAGTCAGGACAAACATACCTAAGGTAAAGATCTCGTACAGAACAACTCCATAGGACCAGCTGTTGATACAATTTCGCATAGTCAATTATTAATAATAGGAACTAATGTTGGACATATACACCTATAAAATTATTACGCTGTAGTGACTTATATTTTCTTTGCTTTTACCACTGCCCTAGTTCAACCTTTCGGTTCAAGTGTCCCAACTATTTCTGTCTGAGACTGCAACTTACCAAAAATGCTCTCTTCTTATCCTGCAATCACTTGCAAAAAGGTTGGATCATTTTACGTTTCAGTGAAACTGCCCACCTACCCCTCCCTTAAGCCAACATTTTGCTCTAAGTAAGAACTAAGTGTTAATTTTGGTTTAGGGGAAGGGTAGGCCGAGGGGTTGGTGGGCCCTAGTTTTATCAAGGTGTAGCGCAATACTTTCCTTGGAAGGATGAAAATACTTTTTTCACTTTAGTTTGTTGTTGTCATGGTTGGTTTTTTTTTCTTCACCATTTTCTACCCTGACGAAGGGTTATAGGGTTCTAAAAAATGTCAATCTTTGAAAAATTCAACTGGCATTATTGTTTTAAAGATGCTTTTGAACAGGCTACAAACTTACACGTCGCTTTTTTCTGATACTCTCACGTCCTTGTCCTGTGCATCATTAAACAAATGTTCAGGAGCAGTCCATTTGATTGGAAGTCTGCCCTGTCACGTTTGAAACCAAAGGACGTTGAGCAATTTTTACGACTCAAGACATAAATCTCCACTCCCCGCCACCCTTTGGGGCAGTCCATATGTACCCTCCCCCAGGCAATATATTGCTATACAAAACTTACAAAGATATTGCAAGTAAGGTTCTTATTACTTCCGTCCTTTGTCATGTATGTCATATTTAGAGACTGCATGCTTCGGTTATTAAGCTTTATTGGTTTGGTGTCATAAAGGTCTAATTTACGGTAAGCTTTGACCCCTCTGGTCCAGCCTGTACACAGACGTTGTTTTCTCACGGGCTCGACGATCTCTAAAGAGAAAATAGAGGGTCTGTGATGAACAGGCTACCTCTGGTAGGAAAAAGGAGTTGTAATACTGGGTGTGTTGTCATTTTTTTAATATTATGGAATTCTTAGGAAATCTGGAATAAAATCTGGGATTTAAAAACCCCCTTTCAAATGCTTGATGACTCAAACCAAATCACTTTCTTGAGGCTGGAAACATGTATGAGCCGACTGCAGGAGCCCATAACCCGGTGCCAGCAACTCCCTTGTGGTCATATCATGCAACGGTGTTTACACAGACCAGTTTATTGTTTGCTCAATTTTCCCGCGAATTTTTAATATCAGATAAATCCTTGGGAAGGACAGCACGGCCGACGTAGAACTTAAAAGAGATAATTTCGTACGCAGGGGTACTTCGTTAATTACCTTTCGTATTGCTGTACAGTAAAGATACTGATATTTGTCTCTTATGAGAGCCAGTCCAAAGTCGGTGATTTTGCAGATCCTACCCACGCCTACTAGAACATTGCGAGCGGCAAGATCTCGATGAATGATCTAGCAATGGTGTGAAAAACGGTTACTATCATCATCATCATCAACAGCATCTTCATCACCATCTTTCTTTTCATCATTACCGGATATATAGTTAAACCTTCTTGATAAAAAAAACCGAAAGGACAGAGCAAAAGCAGTAATCCTGAATTATCCATAACACAGAGATTGAAAGGGTCTAAAACAAGATTTGGATCTTGGGGCTAAGAGAGTTAATAGGCCTCGATTATCAGAAAGAATCGGCATAAACATTAGAACGTTTCCTGTAGCTAGACGAAATACAACTATCGCATCTGTTGCGTTCTCGTTGCCGTCGCCGTCATGTTAGCGACCTTTTAGATTCGAGGACGAGAACGACTACGGGTTCAAGATTTGACTTAAAGTTTTTTCGCGTATTCTCAGATCATAAACACTCGGAAAGCTTCATTGTACTTTTATTTTTATCAAAGAAACTAACACGGTTACCTTTTTGAAAGAGGTTAGGCGCTTTCCCGGTCCCAAAACGGTAAAACCTCTAACATTTAATAACTTGTTTCTGCCACCACGACATTCTCGCTAAAACTCATAGCAGAGTGACGAAGACTATCGCGTTTTCCCGCCAAAATGCCGCTGGTTCACGCGCGAGCACTACTAAGTATGGAGAAAATCTCGTACTCGTGGTCGTCCTCTATTGCCTGATTCCTTAACATGTGACTTGCCTCCTGCAATGCGTTAATGCTTCCTGTGATGTGAAAAGTGATAATAAGGCATGGAAAATATCGAGCTTGGTAAATATATATGAGAAAGATGAGACATTGTTTATGTCACAGACTGAGAGGCATTAACCTTTTTAGACGCCAGAAAGCTCATGCCGGAAGCAATCTGCTGTGCAAAAGAAAGCAAATCATATGACGTCACTTCCTCCTGCCAACTCTCTGGGCAGTTGTAGTACTTATCTTCCATTCCTCGGCTTTTTCTTAAGTAGCCTAGCAAATCACCGTATGGTACATATTCCAAGATTAACATCATATGAGCTGTAAACAAATTTTAACGAGAAAAATTCACCTTCTCTTAAGTGGAAGCATAGAAATAAAGGCAAATGTGATACTATCTATACGTCTCCATGAATTAATTGCTTATAACAGTGACAAATTACATGTTGTAAGAGTTTGTTACAGTTTGCATGGAATCCCCCATAAACACAGGTACCGCATAGGGTTCAGTGAGCGCGGAAAGGACCCATGACGATAAGGATCGTGACCGCTCAGGACAGGGAACCCAACGATACTTTCCTCCAATATAAATTGTAAACGTAACACTTTTTAGCCTATCCAGAGTACTTTTGGATCTCTAGAAATGCATTCTAAGCGGTGCTACAACATTTTTATCCGTTTGGTCATCCTAGGGCAACTTACTACAAGTAATAAGTCTTTTCGAAATTGCAAGGGCTTCAGTATTATTTGCCGAACATTTTAGGGGCAATTTAGATGAGAATTTTTCTGATTACTCTCTCCATCACATTTTAGAATCCGAAAATTTTAGGTTTCGTTTTCTAAGAAAAATAGTGTAAGCTGGGTTGTAAAAGATGAAAAATGAGCGTCAGAAAATTGTTCGGAATTTATTAGATAAGCTTCGAAAACTGCAAATGAATGGAACGTTAATCTAGAAGTTCTTAGAAGCGTCTTCAAGCAAAAGAAAATTCTAGGCAATATTGGCCTCGATATTTAACAGAAAGCAGTCGTTGAATGCCCCTGTCAGGAGGCTAAAATCATTCTAAAACTAACGCCCTTAGGGTTGTCGTGGTACGTTTAAGCAGCCCTCTACGCTATTGAATCAGAACATGACGATAACTGTATGTTACTCAACCAGTCCAGTCTTCATCGCTATTAAAACTTGTCAAAACCAGGAAATTTGTGGTGAAAATATATTAATTAAAAAGACTTTTTCACGAAATGAGATCCCGGTACCTTCGCTTTCTAACTTTTTCCAATAAGACCCCGTGTTAGGATTACTGAGTTACGCTTTTGTGGGGCCAAAGAAAGTAAAACATCTTACCTGACGTGGACACGCATCCCAGGAAGTTGACGATATTTGGATGTCTGTCCCCATCTAAAGTTTTGCCCAGCTCAATTTCCTGTGCAAGTGACTCCTTTTCCAAGTCTGAACAGTTCACTGCAAGGTTTCAGAATACATTCAAACCCCCTAAGCTGGTATTTAGCCGTTTTTATTCAGCCTCGATGTCATGTTAAAGGTAAAAGGCGCTGTTATAAAAGGAGATTAAAGAGGGTTTATGTTCAGTGTGATTCTGTCTTTGACCTCGTACGTTTTAGTGATGCACAATTCTGAAAGCAGTTGTTTGACTTGTTTCACACTGCGTGTTACTTTCGCTCTTTAATGACAATAAGCTTTAATTCAAATTTATTTTGCCTCATCAGCATTGTCATGCTTACATATAACCACGTAATCTTAACATTGATAGTTTTCAGTTTCGATCTACCATTATGTATTTTCCGCCCTTTATCGTATGTCTTTGCTTTATCTGGCCCTCTCGTCGTTACACTCAAACAGTGACAAAAACCGCTCTATCACAGACATTTCAAAAGGTCAACTCCTGCCTCCATAATGTATCGGTCAAATCGAAGCTTCAACATGCCCCCCCCCCTCCGGGCAACCCCTCGGGTATTTGACTTTTTTGAAAATTATCGTTCAAATTCCCCCCTACCCGGGCCAAAATGCCGTTCAAATGCCCCACACCAGGGTCCATTCAGGTGAACAAATGCCCCCACCCCGGGGACATTTCACAGGCACAAAAATGACAGAAGGACGGCGGAAACACCTTCAGTTGTCGAACACAATATTTATAAATATAACATAAACGGAGAAACACTGTTAGCGTATTTACTACGAACAAAAGTCTCGTGCAAAACGGCGGAAATCGGTGCTACAAGATCACTGAATGCTCAGCTTTTCTTCGTCATGCAACATACAAAGCGTTCTATAAAAAAGATCCCACCTATTGAGATTACTACATCATGACCATTTCACTGACATGCATCATCGTTCCGTGTAGTTGCAGTAGGTCAAAGTAGATGACCTGAGCTTTTTATCTTATTTTATTTATGTTGTTGCTGATTGAATCGACGATATAGGTATTGTATTTCATTGTAAACACAACAATAAAATACATTCATACATTCAAAGCCTGAATCCAATATTAAAAATTTTAAAATTCAAATACTTCAAATAGGGCACAAAGCTTGTTTAAGCCCTTTCCTCGCAACCTATTGGCCACAAAGGCACAATCTTTTCCACGAAAATCCTCTAACACCGCGTCCCCCATGATAGCTCGCCGCGCCAAAGATTTTACATGAAATCGAGGGTGCAGTTCAAATTCCCCACCCCTAAAGCATGGGGATCAAATTCCCCACCCCCTGGAAGACTCTGATAATCAAATTCCCTCCTCCCCGGGACGGCAAAGGTGTCAAATGCCCGGGGTTTGCCCGGGGGGGAATGTTGAAGCTTCGATTTGACCGATACATTATTCGGATACATCTGTTATTAGTGGACTCTTAGCTCTGTTTCTTTGGTCAGTGCGTCCTTAAAGGGCTTGACTGCACCTTCAAAAGTGAAACTTTGAAAATTAAAATTATTTCCTGGAAGCTCTTACCTTTCAACTTCTTAACTGCGACTGTTGTCTCGCCAGAAGACCCTTTTAATCCACTGACAACAGCTTTCCATACTTCACCGAACGAACCGCTTCCCAGAGTATGTTGTAATTCGACTTGTTTTGGCGCCACTTCCCAAGCAGAGACTGAAAGACAGCTGGTGGTATCCAAGGCACACAGCTCTTCACTGAAGAACACAAAATTTCAATTAAAAAATCAAGCCACCTACATCATTAACCTTATATATTGGAGTTAAAAAGTTGAACCTGTATGAACGCACAGGTTGGAGGGACCCTATGGGGCTTTGAACTCTTTGAGCATCTTAAAAGATTCCCCATTACGCTTTGTTCTTTAACCCTCTAGGTCCCAAGAGTGACCAACATCAATTTTCTCCTAACAACTTCAGCAGATCATCAAGAGTAAAGGTTATGAGAATTACTAAATTGATTACCAAAGGGAGAACGCATTGATCTTAAACGAAATTCTCTCAACTATTCTTAAAAGAAATGTATGGAGATCAGTCTGAAGAATATGTATGTGGATCTTGACTCGCTCCATGTAAGGGAATCCAAGACTGTCTTGGATTCTGGATTCCACGCCGAGGATTTCAGATTCCATTTAATGGATTACAGATCTTTGACAAAGGAACTTGGATTCTGAATTCCAGTCGTTAGTGGGATTCCGGATTCCTTCAGCTGTGTTCCTGATTCCAAAGCCCAGGATTTCCGAATTCCAAAAGCAAAAATTTCCAGGAATCCGGAATACGGACAATCATCCGATGTGAAGGTGACAATCAACCAACTCACGTCAAGTGGAAAGTCGTTGTTCAGGTCAGTGTCAACCGGTTTTTGCAATAATTTACCCCGAATCCGAGCAGTTTCTAATTACTAATTAATATAAATCCAGTTAAGAGCTCGGATCATCACAAGCAATGCCGGCTGCACAAAAAAGATGCTTCTGCGCGGTTGTAAGTGACTCAGTTCATCGCCACCGTTTACGGCTTTGTCAAGAACATGATAGGCCTGGTGGATAATATTTTTATTTCGGCTCAGTGTGAGTTTAAAGAAAATGAAGCGATGATGATGATGATGATGATACGATAACGATGACGATGACGATGAAAATGACGATGACGGTGATGATGATGATGATGATGATGATGACTGAACCATGCTATATGATGCTAGTGGTGATTAGAGGAAAGAAGATGAAAAGAGTAAGAGATAATATCGACTAATTACGTCACAAAAGAAGGGTATACCTTTCAAGATTTATTTCATTTCTTTGCAAAAGTTCATTTCTTTGTGCTGGGAAACAAATCAAAGATTCACACTTAAACAATTAATTGAATTTCTTGAAAAGAATAAATCCATCTACTCGCCTGATAAATCATGTATGTAATACTTAATAATCCAGTGCAATAATACTTATAACTTATCTCAAGTGCGTAGTTACCCATGTACGGTAGGGCCTCTCTAATACCGATACCAAATTAAGAGACAAGGCTAGGCGTCCACATTAAGGACTGAGGTGTCTGCATTATAGAAGTACTCTCTCTCTCTCTCTCTCTCTCTCTCTCTCTCTCTAGAGTTTTGTATGGTATCTTTGGAACTAAGAGACTTGTCCATGAAGCTATCCGTGATATGCAGGGTAATAATCAGTGGCATAAGCTACATACCTGCAAATCGCCTTATATGATAAACCAAGCAGGTTCCAGTAATCAGGCATAAAAGGGCTGACAAAACACTCACAGACACCACTAATGGTGTGTTGTTGCCGCTTGGGATGTATAGTGTTTGCTTTAAGGGTTCTACTAATTGTGCAAACGAAAAGAGCAAAAAGGGTTAGTTACACTTTCATTATCTCCTATGCTGTCTATGATAAACCCTTATCTTCGCTTAACGTTAAGTGACCAAGGATGCAGGTGTCTATCAGCATGTTCCGAAAATATCGGTATTTTCAAAAATAAAGAAATAAATCAATAAAATATCCTATGGCGTATATCAAATGTAAATCCTCTAACAGGTAAGAGGGTAAACGTATGAGCCCAGCATATAACATGATATTCATTAACGCAATATAGTTTTATTTCTTTACTTGGAGATGATAATTTTCAAGATGGTATCGATTTTTATTCTTCTCCTTTATCCAAAATCACATAGATTGAATTTAAAGATTAAGAAAATAATAATAGTAATGATAACAATGAATAATAGTGATAATAATTTTAATTACGTTAAAAATTACCTCTGACGGCTAAGTGGTAGAAATCCTTCGCGAAATGTGAGGAATTTAAGATTTCAGCTTGACAAACGTATGTTCCTGTTTGATCGAGGGAAACTTTATTGATTGTGTGGCGGAATAAACTGTGTTTCAGTCTTGAGTCGTTGGTGGCTGATGGAATTATCGTTTTATTTTCGAGAACAGTTACTGTTTCTCCGTCACGTCTTGTCCACTGTACAAAAGTAGGCTCGCTCGTTGTCCGAACTTTGCAATTAAGGACGACGTTTTGTCCAACATCGTATGTGAAGTTTGGTGTCATGATGGTAACTGTTATTATCGAGTTTGCTTCCGTTTGAGGTATTGCGCCCGAGGTTGCCGTAACTACAGCAAACATAAATTGTGATAAGAGATTAAGCAGTCTCTGCAATTGTAAAAAAGTTGACGATGAAACTCATTTTTACTTGGGTGGAGCGCCAAGTAGAGAAATCGAATTCGCGCGATTCTGTTATATGGTTGCTGTCAAAGTTGGAATTGGTTGTTAATGCGCATGTATAAATCTTCGTACCAGCCAAAGTGAGAGTTGCGACCAAACCACTGGCCCTCACATTTTTCAGTCCTTTCATTATTTGTCAGTCGCTTTAAGCCCAAGTGAACTCTCTTACGGGGTCTTATTTACTAGCTTTTGCTGGTTTGCAGCAGACGTCACCACGGTCATGTTGGTTGACAAGACCAAAAGTGTTTCCCTTCGATGGAAGCTTGTTGTTTAATGTATATTCTGTGCTAGTGGCTTGACCCGTGCAGAAAATGTTTCTATGGAGTTAAGAAGAAGATATAAAGCAAATTTTATCAGAAAGCACTAGCCATAATACTTTTTTGGTGATTTTTGCAAAACATTGCATTAAAAATTGTCCCTGAAAAACAAGTTTTACAGTTGGCCCAAATTTTTCAAGTTTCAATCCATGTTCATTCTTGCCATCGGTACAGCAAATGGCGGGAAACAGTTTCAATGCTTAAAATAGTCTTCAATAACTAGAAATACGTTTATGCAACACCTCGCGAAGCAGTGACGGGGCAGAAATAAGAATAAATTGAAACCAGCCAATAGATTAAAAATGAATATAGCAAAAACAAACCGGCCAAAAAAGGAAAAAAAAAACTTCCTCGACTGGCAGTCGAATCCCTGACCTACAGAGCGTAAAGTCATCCCCTAGATTACTGCGCAACGTCACCAAGTGCTCAACAACCGCGTTAAATTATTATGTTCAACGTTTTCCCTCACGAAATTCTGCCGGTAGACGCTCTTTGAAGCTGGTGGAGCCGTGTTTATCAAGAATTCAAAAATTAATTCGAGGAAAATAAGCAGGCTTTTGACAGGAAAAGTCGTACTTTAACTCATTTTGTGGCATTTGAAAAACATTGTTACCCATACCACTTACCGTATCTGGTAGTTGACGTCTGAACAGGCTGTTTCAGCACTCTTTGCAGGCACCATACACCAAATATGGTTTCAATAATACCCTCAACCCCGTAAACAGCATAAGGACTAATCGAAGTTAGGGAGCAAAGCAGAACAGCCTGCAACGTTTTGGATTCCGAAAACTGTAAGAAATCCAAACGATAACTCAGCCAAGGGAAGTCGTTCTCGTAACTACAAGAGGAAACCAAGAGGCCCGCTGGGACTGATAAAGATCGAATCTCGCTTCCCCAACCAATTATCATCTCAACCTACACTGTCAGGAGCTTATACCAATCCTACTTCGGTAGCCTAAATCCGGCCTTGACATCACTGATGTGCAAGAACAACGCCTTATGTCATCCACTCCGATAAAGGAACTGTGGTCTGGCAACAAGAACTTGTTGTTCATTCAAAATTCTGCTTCCAGATTTCGACAAGGAGGTTTGGGCTTCCTTGTAGCCTGAGTATCAGGCGTTTCTGGGGGAAAAGAGGAAAGATGGAAGCAAAAATGGGGAGAGCTTCTCCCCCCTCCCCACTCCCCCATCTAAAATCTCCTCTCCCCTAGTCCTTTAAGAAGGCCTGATACTCAGGCTAGCTTCCTTGTTTCAAAAAGGCTTAGTCAAAAGCATCACCGGTAAAAGTTACATCTTAGACCGCATCATCACCCATATATCTGACAACATCAAGCGTCATAATGTTTATCTCGTTATCGGAGATCTCAACGCTAGACTAGCATAGGCCAAGACATTTATCAAGAAGCTCCAAGAGAAGCCACTCCCTAACTTCTACATGACACCACTAACAAAACAGGCGAGAGACTCTGGCTTCTTTGCTTTTGCCTTGAACTAACCTTCGACAAGTTCAATCCCAGTTTCCTCACCCCAGGTCTGGGCAGTGCACATTTCCCCACTGGGCTTTCCTGCTCAACTTGACAAGATCCTAGTCAGTGCTTAGTTAGCCAACCTAAGGGACTGTCGAGCCTACAATAGCGGACGCCGGTCACGGCATCCTAAGTACCATTTTTCTTAAGTGAGTATTAGAACTAAATAAGGCAAACCTGTTAACTGCAAAAAGTACAATTGGCAGAGACTCGCAAATCTTGTGATGAAAACATCATTTCAGCTAAAACTTTCGAACCCTTTCGCCTCACCCCCAGTTGTTAAGCCAATCACCACCAGGTACAATACAATCAATTCGAAAGAATTACGACTAGCACTACCAAAGAGGTTGTTGGCAAGTGTTTCAAGCGACTCACCAAACTGGCTCTCCAAAGATCAGAAACAGAAGCCCTCTGAAAGCTCGAGATGACGAAGCCGAGAGCAAACACCTATCCTTAAGGCAGCTACCTCCAGAAAGGTTTAAGGATTTTAAAAACATACTTAATGCATCCTACCAGGTAGATCAGGCCAAGGATCTAAAAGATAAGGTAGAGATCTTAGCAAACGCGGACGAAAAGGGAGAGACAAATAAAACCTTAGGCATCCATACACATTATGTGTGGTATTAAGAACAGAAAGAGTTCTGTCGCGGTAAAAAGGAGGTACCGTAGTGACCCAAACAGTCAGCAGACAGAATCCGCACATTTGCCATTTTCACCGCTATACGACAATGGCCTTTTTTATACTAGAGGACCCATTATCCGTCCAGACGGATATGCTTCTATGGCCGTTTTTATACTAAGGACTCATTATCCGACTGGACGAACTTGGGCAAACATTTGTAGTTCTTCTGGTTATGCGTCTCAAGTATAAAGACGGGCACAAGACGCATTATGCGTCTGGACGAACTTTCCTTCGAAATACGTCTTGAACGACGCACTACGAAAGGTAGTTCGTCTGGACGCATAATGCGTCTTGTGCCCGTCTTTATACTAGAGACGCATAACCCAGACGGACTACAAAATGTTTGCCCAAGTTCGTCCAGACTGATAATGCCTCCTTAGTATAAGAACGGCCAATGATAAGTCGGATGAATCGGACCTCCTCACTAAAATGACCCCACACACAACGGAAAAGGCAAATACGGCTATGAAGTCTCTCAGGGGTCTGCATTCTGGACCCCCGACAAGATTTAGTGCTCTCAGTCAATACCTTTGGTCCTAAAACTGGGCTTCTTGAGAGCAACCTGTTTTATCCGTTTTACTGTATGGCAGCGAAACGTGGATCGTCACCAAAGATTTGGGTGAGAGACTAAATACTTTCGCCACCTCATGTAATAGGAACATGTTGACCATCAAAGGTCTGGAAAATGTCTTAAAAGACAGAATTTCAACAGCTCTGTGCTGTCGACGTTCATCTTACGACAGCTTAACTTCCTTGGTCGCATTTTGCGCGTGGAGAAGGACGAACGCAGCAATGTCCACTACACGCTTTCTATTAAACCGCCCATGGGAGAATACCCCAGGAAGACCACAGAAGTCCTTTTCCCACCAAGTCAAGGGATGGACTGACCCCAACAAGCACTTCTCAAAGGTTGACATTCTGCGCACTGGCCAATACCAAGCTAGCTGGAGACGCTTTAGAGTCGACTCCTCTCCAGCCGACCGATCAGCGATATCAGCTCTACAAGTTGAGATGGAATATAAGCAACTGTGACGTCATTCGACTCTCGCCACCATTTTTCTGTTTTTCTGATCATCTAGCTACATCCAAATCACGAAGTAGAAATTGAATCAAACTAATCACTTTATAGAATTAAAAATTTTGCTGGTTTCTATGATGTCTTATATATATTTAAAAAAAACCTGTTTTTGTAATAATTGAACTATTCTCGCGGGCTGATCGACTAATTTTTAAGTTGTTGTTGATAAGAGTAGAGAGTGACATGAATTCTTATTCATGCGAGATGTTTATTTGCCAGACTTTAACTTCAGTTTCTTCACTGTGTACGCTTCCTCAATGAGTAACAGCTACAATGCTCGCCAGTATTAAAACCTCACACCTACATTTTCATCAATTTGAGAAAAGGTATTAAAGCTGTATTCGAAGAGGGAAATGCAGTTTTAAAAGAACGGTTTGGAAAATACAAATAATTTATAAAGCAGCTGCTATTATTGCGTATTGATCAAATTTGATTAAAAACAATAATAAAGGAAACATAAAAGAAAAATGGGTTGAATTATTGTCTTTAGATCTGATAAAATACGGATTAGCTTTTTTTAGCTCCGAGGGGTAATAAGAAACTCATGATTACTCAAAAAAATGTTAATATGTAGAGAAAGGTTTCTGAGGTCGTTTAATAAACTCGCATTTGGTGTTTTATTCGACTAATGACACTAGCCTGACAGCGCCTTATGTGTCAAAAGTGATGAACACTTGAATGTTTTATTACTGTCGAAAAGTATTAAGGTCACTTGTCCTTAGTATAGGTATTAGGGAGCTTTAGCATCGACGACGGCAACGGCAGCGAAAATGTCAGTTGGAAAATGAATTCGCGTTTTTTCAATCTTTGTCGCGTTTATTCCAATTTGCTGAAAATGGCAAGTGTAGGCGAATTTCCCTGAAGCTGATTTCTTGAGGACCGCACTCAAGTTTAGAGAGAGAAAAAGAGATTCGTCGTCGCTTGTTTACGTCCTCTATAAATCTTGCGATTAGGCATTTTCACGTCGTAGTCGTGCAAGGACGGAAAAGAAATGTACAAAAAAAGCGTGATGCACGTGCAAAGTTGTTGTTTTGCGTAATAAACCCATTGCTCTTTTTGACGTCCTCGTTGCCGTCGCCGTCGTCGTTGCTAAAGCTCCCTAATAAAATCGCGAAAGGGGAGAGGGGTTACTTGGGTTAATTTTTGTTGGGTATGTGCCACTGGTCTCTCAGAACCTCTACCCCATTATAGTCTATATTCTGTGGCCAAATGTAGACCCCACCTTAGTCACTTTTAGGAAAATATAATTTTCGCGATCCCAACTTAGTAACTTTCTGTTTATGCATCTACTTTATAAAGCCATTTAGCTAGGTCCTCCTGAAATGAATCTTCCCATTTTCCATTTCCCTACCATTTCCCTACCTACCGGAATTTTCTGATCCCCCAAATCCCAAAAACTTGCGATCTCATTCTAGTAACTCTAATTAAAATGAAACCCGGCCCAGACGTGAAATGCGTTTCTATCTATCGGCACATCCGGATTATCCTATTGCTAGGACGTAACTCCTGGAGATAAAATATTGTTTCACTACCTTTCATTTACAAGTAAATGGAATAACTCGTATCCCATTGACCCTTTACTGAGTCACATTTGTTGCATTTAATACTTATGTAAGAAAAAGTCATTATGATATAGCCAAAAATTAGTGCTCCACTTACTAACAACTCCTCTTATCTAGTACATCATGTATTAAATATATTGTGTACGTATATGTACGACTAATCAAACTGGGTCGACTATGTTCAATCCAATTACGTTTCAGGGGCGTTTTTAGACATTTTCTGGCTGTAAGCCTTGATTGTTGTGAGTGCCAGTACCAATACGTAGAAGGCACACTCATCTAGGGGGTCTTTTAAGGTGTATTGTAGTTTTCATTCTTAAGCCAACGGTTTTTGCGGGGAATTGAGAACACTTTGATTTACACCTTTAGAGTAATTTTGAATTTCAGTGGACAAAAATCTTGTGCCAAAATAATTTAAAGCATATTGCATTCTTTCTTGCATTTTTCAAGGGCTAAAGATGTAATAAATCAGTGTAGTAACACCAAAAAAATTTCTTATGGGAGCCCGAGAAAATGAATGTCAAATTTCACAAAATTACATCTTACACATGAAATTAATTTTCAGAATTTTACCTATGTAATCACAATTCTTGTGAAATTTGACATTCATTTTCTCAGACTTCCATGAGAAATTTTGTTTGGTGTTACTACAGATGATTTATTACATCTTTAGTCCTTGAAAAATGTAGAAATGAATGCAATAGTGTTTGAATTATTCTGGTACAAGGTTTTTGTCCACTGAAAATTAAAATTACTCCATTCCCACTTCATGGTCACACTGTAGTAATCTTTCTTCTCTAAATTTTCCCTACAAGCGATCATCCTTTCAGACTTAGTCAATCGTTCTTGGCTAAAGAAACTTACTTGTAATCAAAAAAAGAAATTACACAGACTATTCAGCTCCGTTTGAAAGCGACTCGTTTACTGCTCTCCATTTTTTTACCTCTACTCTCTTGGAAAAAGTAGAAGGAGAATGACTTTCTTAAAGGCAGTTACGTGCTTGTGTTTGTTAAATCATTTACGTGTACACAACTACAGGTTTATGTGTACGAAAGAAGTGTTAGAGAGATTTCACTGCCCAAACGTGGTTGATTCTAAACCATCAAAGTCTTTTAATTTCTTACAGAACTTAACTCCAAAGTCAGTCATATTTATTTCTACTTCATAAAAGAAAAGGATGGAGACGTGCAAAGAGGGAGACGAATACAGTGCGCCTTCTATTCTGTTCATAGACCTTCTATATCTTTATAGATCTCTAGAAATCACCGGGCGGGCGCACGAAATAGAAACCACGGAGACCGCTAGCGCAAGGGGGTAGGCGTTCTTGTTTAGTTTACTTCGGGAAATTTTTTAAGAGGCACTATGTGGCCACTAAATCGTAGCTCTTTTCGTAACTTTGCCAGTCTCGCTAGGGTAGGCTTTACTGTACAGCCAATCTCACTTATGATGCCCTAATGTCACTCTCTCTCATTTTTTTCAAGTAAACGGACAACGATGCGCTTATGTCTGGCCGAATTAAGACAGCGTAATACAGTCGTTGCAAATTAAAGAAAAACAAAAAGGTACTACACTTACCTTCTTGTCCCAGGCTTTGCTTTTTTGTAGAAGACCAAACAATGAACATAAAAACAAGCATCGAAGAAGAAACGGAACGACTTATTATAGCCATCTCGCGTCTATTAGAATCCCCTCCGTCAGTCCAGTAGTTACGTGCGGTTCAACGTTTCGGACTGTATTAGTTCAATACATTGTTATGTCAGTTTTTCTTTAAAGCCCTTGGAGGTACGTTAATGTGATGCAAATATGACTCCGATTCAATAGAGAAAGATTAATCAGTCGCAGCACTGTTACGTAAACTGTTTGAATACAGCTCAAGGTGCAATTCTTAATGTAATATTTAGCAACTGCAAGAGGGAGTGTTTTATCAAATCACTATTCTCAGCTTTTGTTTATAAATTATTTTTCCAAAAAAATTAGAGCTAGATTTTCAGCAGCGGATTTTTAAAACACTCATCAAATTTTTATTTTTTCCAGAATTATTATTGAGTTTTTTAAATCACCATCTTTGCTTGTATTATTTATATTTTTCGTTTTAATTTATTTGAAATAGAGGACGAAGTCATTAGGTTTTTATGACTCTCATTTTTCCAGCCTTTATGTCATAATGACATGCGTCTACAAATAAAGCGACCAAATAATATTCGGTCCGTACCGTAAATTGTGATGTAAACAATATCTAATTAAAAAACGGAACGGTTCTGGCTTGCCTGATGATGCTTTCACAACCATTTCCTGTTCTTTGTCCTCTCTGCGTATGTTTTCGCATAGTGTCCAAAATGAATTAGAATACTGACTATATAGCTCAGACAAATATTTGGTTTTATCAACTGATGAGTCGTGATAAGGAAGATTGCATTGCCACCGTGGGTAGATAGAGAAGCTTTTGTTTTATGCGCCAGCACAGCATCAGAGTGAATCACGAAGCGAACGAATCTCGTCACGCTCAGACAAAGAGCTTAACAACCGGTTGTAAAAAACTCCAAGGAAAAACCGACCTTAATTACTTCAAATCACTGCTAGTCACACGTCTGTAAGATATAATACTCACCTCCCTCCTCCCTTCCATTCAAAGTTGTTCCTCCAAGTTTTGAGCATGGTCTTGTATTGCTAGCAACTTGGATAAGGGGTGAGGGGGGATCACGAACACAAGATGATGGGCAGGCCAAACGAAATGTACAGATTCTCAAGTATTTTTGTCACCGGTCTTAGCGCTTGAAACTTCAGCTTTTCTATCTTCTTACGTATCTGGCGGCCAATATACCTTATCAACTCAGTTGATAAAACGAAATCTTTGCATTTCACTCCAACACCGACGCAAATACCGCTCTCATTCACAGTTTCCTTAAATAGCAGTCAGTTTGCTTAGAAGTGAACGCTTAGAGCTCATCCACTTGTCCGAACATGTTAGAAATCCTAAAAATCATTCTCCCTATACTGCTGATTTCTATCTTTGGTTTTTGCCTTTTTGACAGTTGAGAGTTTTAGACATTAAGTGAAAAAGCTTGAACCATGCTCGTTTAACCCTCCAGATTGACGCACTATATTTGTGTCCAGTTACTCGACTTTTTCTCACAGGTGTGTGTTCTCAACCTCCAGTGATACAGCTTGGCTCATGCCTGCCAATTCCTCCACATTTGAATACAGGCTCGGTTGATACTTGGTCATATCCAGTTCAAAGTAATGCTGACAAAAAAGAAAGATGAAAGTGGGCAATGGAAAATATAAGTTACAATAGATGTTCTTATATACTAATCTCTCAAAATAAACTTCCGTCCTAACCTTCCAGACGCAGTTTTAACGGCCCTTGTCTCGTCAATATACTACTTATAGTAATTTCAGATATTTTATTACGAATGAGACAAAGGTCCGGTAAGTTCTCGTATCCTCAAACTGGATGCATTAAAGGAAACGTAACTACTTGTACTGAATATTCCATTAATACAATTTGAAAACTTTTTTTATTCTGATAACGGGGGGAGAGGGGATCATTCCGTTTCCCGCCTTTCCCTCTCCGTTTTTTCTACAGCTTTAAAGTTATCGAAAATAAACTTCGAGTGTCAGGTTGTAATAAATAGAGGATATTACACGGTGGCGCGAAGATATGAATTTTATTTTCGAGTGGCAAAACAATATTTTAGGAACGAGCGCAGCGATTCTATATAATAAAAAGAACATTACACGGCGGCTTCAAGATATGAATTTTATTTTCGAGTGGCAAAACAATATTTTACGAACGAGCGCAGCGAGTGAGTAAAATATTGTTTTTGCCACGAGAAAATAAAATTCATATCTTCAAGCCGGCGTGTAATGTTCTTTTTATTATATAGACAAAAAGACATCGATAAAATAATAGAGGGAAATTACCGAAATTATGTCATCGATAAACTCACGTGTGAGATTATGGAAAATAAACCACTCAGGTCCCGGATGTAGTTTTTATAAATTTTACGAGTGGTATATTTTCCAGTAAAACACTTGTGCCTATATAATAAAATCGGTTAAACGCTTTCTTTTTCGTTCTAGCACGTCTCCTTTGAATCAAAATCTTGTCTAGATTTCATTCGATCTGAGATGGCTTTAATTAGATAGGCCTTCTTTACAGGTTTTAATACTTTCGTCATGTTTCTGAAAAAAATTAAAATGGGGCTGTTAAAAATTATGGAAAAGAGAAAAAAGATTTAAATATTGACAATTACTATTTAAGGCGAATAGTTAGTAAACAAAACTCTGGTTTTGTGTATACTCTTCTTTTTATTTGTGAAAGGTGTGAACGTAGAAGTCATTTCATAAGTAGATTGAGTAGGATCGTCCGTGAGATCGTAGTCCTGTAAAGGACTGTTGTTGGCGGTGACTGACGTTTTGGCTACCTGTTTGATAGTCATTTTCAGACTCAAAGTGAGTTGTATCACGTCAGTTGATGGTATTAATCTCCGGTTACTTACCTGATTGGTCAATTAAGTCGGGATGTTATTGGTCGTCTGTCGTCAGTTGAGCTGTGATGTTATTGGCTATGAAGACTTGTAATGTCGTTGGTGTGTTTGGATATGTCTATTGTCAGAGTTTAACAGTCGTTTATTGTTAGTCAAATTGTCGGTTGTCCAGTCATTTTCTCGTAGTCAGTTTTGCTTGAGTCTGTCAATAAGTCGTTTGCACGGTGTCGTAACTCTTCTTTTTATCTTATTTTTCTTTCATATTCAATTCAAAGAGGCCCCAGTCCGATAAATTTCAACCAATACCCTCTTAAAACAAATCAAATAATCGCTTAAATGGGTAGAGTTAAACACGCTTAATCACGAAATTTTGGATGGCTACGCCTATTTTAGTAGACAAAGTATAGGGCGCACCGGTTTGGCCTCTTTTATGGGCAGGAATTTCATTAAAAATTAACGCATTAACGCCGATGACGTCATAGCCTTTTGTCCCTGTCTCGGAGGAAACTCATTAGATATGGTCGTGTGCTATTTTTAGGTGGCTTAACCGGTTTGACAGGTTTTAGATCGGTAAATATCTTGCTTCTGGAATGGCGGATTAAAAAAAACTAAGAAAAGTATTCATTGGTTGATTCGTCCTGTCGAAGGAATAAGCACTGACTCGCCCGTGGCTTAAAATCACTGAATCGTAACGTAATTATGTATTAAGTTCTTTTTCCTCCCGCTTTCATTAACCATTGTAGGCAACCAATTATTCTAGTTGCGGTTCACTGATTCTTGGCGCGCAAATCGTGTACATCATGACGTCATAGGCGTTCAGGTATCCCTTCCCTCACTAATGAGATTCCTACCGAAAAAGAACTAATGGGTGCTTTTTTTACTACTTATTTTCGTTAACCACGAGCTTAAATAAACTGCAAATTAGTGAAAAAGAAGCTTTTGGTTAAAAAAAAAAATCGCCACAAATTAAATATAATTGAATCACAAGCGTGGTTTGTTCAGCCTCTGTATTTGGTTGAGTTTGTTGTTGGTTCTCTCCCTTGCTCAGAGAGGTTTTTCCCCGGGTACTCCGGCTTTCCCTCTCCTCAAAAACCAACAATTCCACTGATCTGAAACGCACGGACACGTTTGAACTAGTTCCTAAGAACTCTTAAGTGATTCGTGGGTAAACAAATAATTGCAAAATGACGATTTAATTAGGCCAATCAATAAGTTTTTTAAGCTCAATGTATTCTTTAATTTTTTTCAATATGACAGACCGCAATAACCGTTACATTGATTAAAGATTGTCCTACCTCTTCTTGAATAAATTCTGTTGTTATTTCACGCAGTCGATTAAATGTTGGACGATTGTTGGGATCTTCATTCCAGCATTGTATCATTATCTGATATCTGTTGAAATAAATTAGCATTTTCTTGGGCACCATAATATTCATTCATTCATATAGAGACAACTACTTATTACAATTATTGGTTGTCTTTACACTAGGCTGTTAAAAAAGACTTAAGAGCTGCTAAGTCTTACTTAACCAAAAATGGTCTTTGAAGGCCTAAGTAAAATCTCAAGTAACTTTACTTTGCATCTCATTTAAGTCGGAAAGTTGAAACGATTCAAGAAAGTTTCAAGTGACTTGAAAACCATCTTTAAAACCGACTTAGCGCACTTGCGGTTTCTAAGCTTTGAGGTGGGCGAAGCATGTCAATCAATCTTAATTATCTTGCGTGGGAAAATAGGCTAAAGTAAACCTGAAATAAAAAAGATAGGTTGTTTGTGAAGCTTTTCTTTACTTGAAGAATTTAAAATTTACTTGTCTTGAAACATTTCTTAGCTTATTTAGGCTCTAGTGTAAAGACTACCATTGTTATCGTAAATTAAGATGCACATCTTATTTTTGGCACAAACTCACGCAATGTTCACACCATAACGGATAGATTTTCGTGTTTTCGGTATAGTATAACAGTAAATGCCTTGCCACAAACTGGAAAAACCTGTTCACTCACATCTGACGTCGCATCGGAGCGGTTTGCCAAGAGGGTTTGGTGGACCAAATCCTAGTCCTAGCCCCTGAAAATTATTTACTTACGTCTTAGTAGATTCCAGTTCACGTTCCCATTCATATTTTTATTGACTTCAAGAGCCTGTTCACACTGCACCAAAGTGTGGCACAGATCCTATCCGACATGTGACGCGCCACTTTCGAGATCGGCGCGGCGTAGCTTCGCTCCATGTTCGGAACTGAAATTTTATATTCTGTTAGATTGTTCGGACGGGTGGGAACTAGGCCCTAATTTAGTCTTCAGGGTCTCGGACCCCCCTTTAGTTTTTTGGACATGTGTTTTTTTCGCTTGCGTTGTAAATTCTTGCAGTTTGTTCATCATGTTTATCTTTCGTAAATACAGTTGATTTATGCAAGAAATCGTTTTATTCATGGTCCTTCAGTAGCCGGATCTACAGTGTCGGCGAGTCATTGAAGATACCAGCGGAGAATTGAAATTGGACCTCCGTTTGTGGTGAAGAATTTGGTCAAGTTGGTCTTGGCAGTGCGGCGATTGGCGCCATTATCTCTTGTAACTTTGCAGAAATTTTGGAGTGTTTTAAGGAACGAAACTGTCATTCAAGGTTAGTGGAGATTGTGTATGGAAATGGTGAATGACCTGGAGGCTATTAACAAGAAAAGACGTTTTCTTAGAAAGTCCGTGACGGATACCTTGAAGTCTATCGACGAAGCTCTGTCAATCCCCGATAACCATGCTAGAATTCAGGTTTTGAAAGATAACATTGCAAATAAATGGAACGATCTTCAAGAAGTTCAGACCTCAATGTGTACTCTATTGGAAGAGAAAGAGATTGACGAAGAATGTGAGAGTCATAACGAGTACGAATTGCGTGTCATTAAATACATGGCGAAAATGATGCATTACTTAGAAAGTAAACATGTCGGTAAGGAAAGCGCGGGAAGTAATTCAACTGCGGCCCAAGCGCCGTTGTCGTTAGGCCCCAAGGTACAAGTGAAGCTTCCAAAGATTGATCTGCCTACATTTGATGGGGATGTTTTAAGCTGGCAGTCTTATTATCTGTCAATTAAAGTCTCACTCGTGGATAATCCATCTTTAGCTGATGTTCAGAAATTAGAATACCTAATGAGATCATTCAAAGGTTCAGCTGCCGAAGCGATTAAAGGGTTTGCAGTCATACAAGAGAATTATCAGCCAGTATTAGAGTCTCTGAAGGAACGGGTTCGCCATCCGCGGTTGATTCTTGACGCACACATAAGGTCCCTAATTTATTTGCCACAGTTGAATTCTGAAGATGCATTGTCCATGCGTAAATTTTATGATCAAGTAGTTGGTCATGTTCGTTCTGTTGAATCAATGGGAGAGAAGTTCCGTTCCGAGACCTTAGCGCCTGTTCTCGTGCCTTTAATTGTTGACAAGTTACCTAAAAAGATTGTGGAGAAGTGGGAATTAGAAACTGGTGGCCATAAAGAGGACTATGTGAAAGTGAAAACATTGTTTGCCTTCTTAGAACAGTTAATAAGAGCTAAGGAGTTCTCCCAGCCTCCCTGGCTTCAATCGAAGTCCCCTGCACAGGAAAACAGTTGGAATCATGGAGCCCATTCCAAGTCTAACTCTTCACGAAAGTACTCTACCTCTGCCTTGTGCACGACAACTCAAGGGCGTGCGTGCATCATTTGTGGTAAAAACCATTGGGTGTGGTCGTGCATCAGTTTCCTGTCATTGCCAGTCAAAGAAAGATTTAGAAAAGCGGTATCCAAAGGTCTGTGTTTTCAGTGCCTTGAATCTGGTCACAGAGCTGAAGTTTGTCAAAAACCACTCTGTAAATACTGCCGTGGTAAACATCACAGTCTCCTGCACTTGGAACCAGTCAAGTCTCAAACAGAAGAAGCCAATTCAAAGTCCTCTGAACCACCATCCTCATCTGCAACTCCTCCCTCGTCGTCTTCCATAGTAGCAAGTTCCATTGCAGTTAATTCAGGTGGGAAGTTGATCCTGCAGACTATTCCTGCTGTCCTTTGTGGATCCAATGGTTGTAAAAAGGTTGTCAGATGTTTCTTTGATCCCGGCTCCAAAACGTCCTTTGTCCAACAGAGTGTGGTTGAAGAGCTTGGTCTTGATGGGGAGACCGTGAGAATCGCAGTCTCGGGTTTTGGAAGAAAATCTGCTAGGGACACTTTGCGAAAGAGAATTTCCTTTACGCTAGCACCGGTCAGTGATCCTGGAAAGCCGCAAGGTGTTGAAGCACTAACTGCTCCAGTTATATGCCGTCCAGCTGATGCTGTGGATGTTTATCCTTCCAAGTGGCCTCATCTTCAAGCTATAAAGTTTCCAGAGAAATTCCCCCGAAACGAGCAAGAGATTGATGTTCTCATTGGCTTGGATTTCTATTATTCCTTTGTATCCAGAGATGTTGTGAGAGGTGGTCCTAATCAACCAGTGGCACTTCGTACATCCTTAGGTTGGGTCTTCTGTGGACCAACGGGTGGTCATGGCCAAGATTACACGGTGTCTATGAGCGTTCAAGTTTGTGCTAACCAAGAACTAAATGATACACTTCAGAAGTTCTGGAACTTGGCGTTCATTGGTATTACACCTGTTGAAATGTCAGTTTCCACCAGCCAAAGTGAAAGTACAGTCTTAAAGAAGTTTAAAGAGACATTAGCATACAAGAATGGTCGGTATGAAGTCTCATTGCCATGGAAAGATGAGCAAGTTGTACTGAAAGATAATTACAAGCAAGCAAGAAGTAGGCTGTATAATTTGGAGAGGAATCTGCTCCAAGATTCATCCAAAGCCAAGGCCTACCAAGAGGCCATTAATAAGTATGTGGAGGACGGAGTAGCAGAAGAAGTACCCTATGAGCAGTATGCACCAGCAGATGGGCGTCCTGTGTTTTACCTTCCACATCATGCTGTTATCCGAGAAGATAAGCAAACAACTAAGACGAGGGTTGTATTTGATGCATCTGCGAGAGATTTAAATGGTGTGTCTCTAAATAGCTGCTTAGAAGCGGGCCCTGCATTGCACCCTGATTTGGTTGGAATTCTTCTGCGCTTCAGAAAGAATCAGGTGGGGGTCATGGGCGATGTTGAAAAGATGTTCTTGCAGATTGGCTTGAAAGAAGACGATAGGGATTCACATCGTTTCCTGTGGAGAGAGTTGGACCCTGATGCCACGCCTAAGATTTATCGAATGACAAGAATTACGTTTGGAGTTATTTCTAGTCCATTCCTTGCCATCTGCACTACTCAAGAGCACGCAAGGAGATGTAAAGAAACATTCCCTGAAGCATCAGATGAAATCCTGAGGAACACTTATGATGACGACTTTGCCTCGGGGAAAGATACTGTACGTGAAGCCATGAGGTTACAGCAAAGTTCAAAACAGCTCATGGAGCAAGCAGCTTTCAATTTGACAAGATGGTCCAGCAATTCGCCTGAGGTTATGCAAGCCATTCCTGAGAAAGATAGAGCATCAGATAGTTTGATCAGATTGGAGAGTGAACTACCGGGAATGCATCCAGTTACGAAAGCTTTAGGTCTAAAGTGGAATACGAGAACAGACAGCCTTATCTTTATGATTGAATTGGACTCTCTGAAATCGAAATCAGAGACATTGTACACTAAGAGAGAACTAGCTTCTTTAGCAGCGAAGATCTTCGATCCGATCGGTCTCATCTCGCCTTTTACAGTAAGGTCAAAACTTTTGCTTCAGAGTCTGTGGACCCAGGGTGTTGGTTGGGATGATGAGTTACCGGAAGAAACCTCTAGGAAGTGGGTTCAGTGGGTTCAAGAGCTTTCAGGGCTTGAACAGCTTCACATTCCAAGAAGTTACATTGATTGGCCTTTAAGCCAGCATGCAAAGGTGGAGTTACACGCATTTGGTGATGCATCAGAAGTTGCGTATGCCACCGCCATCTATATCAGAGTTGTTCCTAAAGAAGGGAAGGCGTCTACAACCTTGTGATGTCTAAGACAAGAGTTGCTCCTGTGCGAAAAATTAGTCTCCCTCGCTTGGAGCTAATGGCTGCAGTGATAACTGCTCGACTGTGTATCTATGTTAAAGATTCAATTGACTGTCCTATTAGCCGCATTGTCTGTTGGACGGACAATTCTTCCACCTTACACTGGATCAGAGGTTCAGCCTCACAGTGGAAACCATTTGTTACAAACCGTGTAATGGAGATTCAGTCGCTGTTGGATACTAGCGTTTGGAGATATTGCCCAGGGTCACATAATCCAGCAGATCTACCTAGCCGGGGCTTATCTGTCAGCCAGCTTAGAGAGAGTCAGTTGGGGTGGAAGGGGCCCTCTTGGTTGCAAGAGTTAGAAAAGGATTGGCCAGAGGATTTAAGATCCAAGTCTCCAAATGAAGCAGTACAAGTGGAGAGGAAGAGTAAAGCTATTGGCAGCTGTGTTGTCCAAACTAGAGAACCTTTTATTGACTATGCCAGGTTCAGCAGGTGCAGTCGATTGTTAAGAACTGTTGCATGGATCAGAAGATTCATTCGCAACTCGAAGTTGAAAGAAGAAGAGAGACTTTCAACTCCTTTAACTGGACTAGAGATACGAAAGGTAGAAGAATGGCTGATAGCCCATGTACAGAAAACAAGTTTTGACGAAGTAGCTTCGTTGGCTAAACATGGTGGTCACTTGAAGGACAGTAAGCTAGTAAATTTAAATCCATTTCTGTGCGCTACTAGTGGCTTACTTCGCGTTTGAGGAAGAATTCATAAGTCTTCATTACCGGAAGAGGAGAAGCATCCCATTATCTTGCCTTCCAACCATCCTGTTGTGAAGCTCCTGATTGAAGATGTTCACTGCCGTGAACTCCATGCTGGTGTTGAGTGTACTTTATCAGTCCTGCGACAGAAATTTTGGTTGATCAAAGGAAGATCAACAGTCCGCCAGACAGTAAAGAACTGCCTAGTTTGTCGCCATTACCATACAAAGACGTTTATGCAGAAGATGGCACCACTTCCTGAAGACAGGATCAAACCTGCACCGCCATTTACTAATGTTGGTTTGGACTTTGCTGGTCCATTGTTTTTAAAAGACAGTGGCGAAAAGGCTTACATCTGTCTATTTACCTGTGCAGTTACCCGTGCAATACACTTAGAGTTAGTGAGCAACATGACTGCGGAACGGTTTCTCCTTGCCTTGAGGCGAATGGTGGCAAGAAGAGGCATGTGCAGTATTATTTGGTCAGATAATGCCAAAACATTCAAGAGTGCTAATAAATATTTGCAGCAATGCTGGAGAGTACTTGAAGCTGACAAAACTCAAGTCGCATTGTCTGAAAGGAAGATTCAGTGGAAGCATATCGTGGAGAGATCCCCATGGTGGGGTGGGTTTTATGAACGTCTTGTGAAGAGTGTAAAGACACCTCTGAAGAAAATCTTTGCCAAAGCAATGTTGGATGCTGAACAGCTGACCACCATTTTAGCTGAAATTGAGGCGCAGCTGAACAGTCGTCCTCTTACTTACCTTAGTGCAGACCCTGAGGACTACAGCGTGATTACCCCTGCTCAGATTCTCATTGGGAGAAATCTTCAAGCGTCTCCAGCTAAGGACACCCGTGTTTCCGAACACACTTCTAGAGCCATCACTAAACGTTTTCAGTACCATCAAAAACTTGTCAATGGATTTTGGAAGCGTTGGCATGCTGAGTATCTGAGATCTTTGATACCCCTCAAGAAATGGTTTACAGTTGGTCGCGAGATACATAAAGGTGACTTGGTCCTTGTTAGCGAAGATAACTTAGCTCTAGGTCAGTGGAAACGTGCACGCGTGGAAGCCACCCATCCTGGTCGTGATGGTCTTATCCGATCAGTTACCTTGCGATTGACATCTGGAAGTGTTACCCGTCGTCCAGTGCAACTGCTACACCTTTTTGAAGCCTGTGATGCTGATCTAGCTGCTGAACTTGATTGAACTGACAAAGTAACGTTGACAAGTATTGAACTTGATGAGAACATTATTGATCAGTTTGAAGATGCACTCCCTGCATCGGGCGGGAGGATGTTCGGAACTGAAATTTTATATTCTGTTAGATTGTTCGGAAGCGTGGGAACTAGGCCCTAAGTTAGTCTTGAGGAGCTCGGACCCCCCTTTAGTTTTTCGGACATGTGTTTTTTTCGCTTGTGTTGTAAATTCTTGTAGTTTGTTCATCATGTTTATCTTTCGTAAATACAGTTGATTTATGCAAGAAATCGTTTTATTCACTCCATGCAGAAATCGCGCCAAAATCAGCGTTCTTATGTGTGAACAAAAGCTCTATACAGGGTGGTTTTTGTGCCGACGCAAAAGCTGTCCGGATCCCGTATAGTGTAAGCATCGTTCTGAGTCGTGTATAACTTTTATATAGTTTGTCTATCTATTTCATCAATATTTTATTCACGTGAATTTTTTGAAATAACTTCGGGTTCGAGTAATAGAGCTTTTCCTTTAACACGGGATGAAGGTAATTATTTTTTACAACGAAAGGAGTGCCTTACGGCAAGCAAGCATAGTGGAAGGTAAGGAAAGCATGATCTGAAAAGGGAAAAAACAAGGTTTCAGAACACTGTAATTTGGGTGGTTAAAACGTCATTTGATCAGGGTATCCCTGTTTACTCTTGAAAAATGTAAAAATTGAAACCAAGTGGGTTTAGGTAAACACTTACAGCTCATCACTGACGTGTTCTGGCTGACTCATTCGATATTTGTTCACCTTCAGTTCATACACAACTTTCCATTCATTCCATCCGGGGTATGGCATTCCACCTAAAAAAAGCAAAGAAACGAGCGACTTGCGTAAACGAAAGCCCTTAACGGAACCATGGGATGACACCGACGTTCACTTTCTTTTCAAGCCTTAAATTTCCATCCTATCCTAACAAAATTTCCATGCAAAAATAATACAGTACCAGCAGCCGCCACTTTGGATCACGCTGAGCAGCCTGGCCTCTATGCTTTACACATATTCATGGGTGCCTTTTACAGCTTCCTCCGCTCTGGATAAATTTAAAACCGTTCAAGCTAAGACCCCTAAACTGAGCGGCTTTTCATAAAATTATCTGGGGACATCTTAAAGTCATTGTGACGTGAACGTCAACCTTGACGTTCCCATGGACAACCAAATTTTGACGGCCATGTTTTTCAAACTTTGCATTTTTTTTTTTCCATCGAATTACTATATTACACTTAATTTACTATTATTATATCAAATTTATGATAACTGTTAATGCATGTAATACAGGCTTTTTAGCGACTAATTTAAGAAAAAAATAACACGAATTGAAAATGATCATGACCAAATGGCAGATGCTGGTTTCAGTTTCCAACAGTTTTTATTTATTTCGGAATTTCAGAAGTTACAGATTAGTTTGCTTCTTAAGCGTCCTTTTATGCACAGAGGAAATTTCCTATCACGATTTCCAAGACTTACACGAGTTATAAATAAAATGGAATACATTTAATTGACTCAAAATGTTGGATCCAAGATGGTGGATGGTTTCAGTTCCTTCTTTAATAACAAATGACTTCGTCATGACATCATTGCTATTGTTAAAGATCATTGTGTTGGTTAATAGTCCTTGATGTTACTGCAGACACCTTTTTTTAACGTTATTTCGCTTTATGGCTACTTTGAGGGGAATTTTGATTTTGCCCTTAAATTCAGCAATATGACGTCAAAATGACGTCAAATTAGGTTATTGTGTTAATCAAGTCAATTAGTTATGTCTAGATGATGGAAATGATGAGTGCATTATCCTGTGCAATTTTGTTGGCCGTGACTGAAGCGTGCCCTCCGAAGCCCCTCACGTCGGTCGCTGGAAGCAAAAAAAAGCCCGGATGAATAGGGTTAAGTCATCGTGTCCAAGATAAAATTGATAGGCGGAAAGCTGCTACGATAAGCTTAGTAAACAGTCGCTCGACCAGCTTTGGTCATGCCAAGAGAGAATTCCCGGCTCCCTTTTTCTATCTTTTTTTTTTTTTTCTCACAATCTTTAAAGAAGAGTTATGTTAGGACCGGATAGACATTCAAGGGTCAGAAATCGGTGATCAAACTAAACACAATGTTATATTTTTATTTGTCTTTGGAAAGATATTACAAGTCCTCTCCGGAGTAACCTTTTTTATTACAAAACAGAAAGCTCGTCGACGTCACCTTGGTGAATGATAGCTGACGACTTACCTAAAGTAAAGATCTCATAAAGAACAACACCATAGGACCACCTGAAAAAGTAATTAGAAACTGGAAAAGTGAATAGCAATGAATAGCAATGATAGATCTCTCACAAGGAATATTACTATGATTTTCAAAGCAGCTTCAGCTTTGTTTACTGCGAACCCCAGTCTGTCTGAAATGGAAACATAATCTGATCCGCCCATTGCATTAACAGTTACCGTGACTCTTTATGAATTCACTGGGAAAAGGAGAGAAATAATAGCTTAAATCGATTGGCTAATTTCCTTCGAGGAGTGCTTTGGTTTCGACAGACTGGACAGTCTTCGCTCATGAATGATTCTTCGAAACATCTTTAGCCTTATCCAATAGTAGGCCCTTTGAAGCTGGTCGTTCACGTAGAACAAAACAGCGATGCTGAGAGTAAAGGACGCATTGGGACACGACAAGCAAAGAGCTCACATCATATAAAATGGTAATTCTCTTTGTCTTCTCCCAGTGCGTCTGCTCTTCTCCAATATGGCGGTTTTGTACCACGTGACTGACCAGCAGTAAAGGGGCTATTATCTCAAACGTACACATCGCTTTTTTCTGACACTCTCATGTCCTGGTCCTGTGAGTCATTAAATAAATGTTCTGGGGCAGTCCATTTGATTGGCAATCGGCCCTGTCAAATAAATCAAGAGGCGAAAACAAATAAGAAACAGTCTAACCGAATAAAATAAATATGCCAGTACTATGTTAATTTACTATATAGAGCCCTAATTTAATGTATAACTTCCTTTTCAAGATGTTTTGCAAAGAACACCCACACACAAATCTCTATGAGTACGATTACTGTCCTCTGACAATGTCGGATGCCTACCTTTCGCAGCGCCGTGCAGTAGAGATACTGATATTTATCCCTGATAAGAGCCAGTCCAAAGTCTGCGATTTTACAAATCATACCTTTGCCAACAAGCACATTTCGGGCAGCCAAATCACGGTGAAGAATCTATTGGTCGCAAAACACAAGACAACGCTTACAACCATAATACGTTTGCCGAGCGTGCAAATGACCCCTAGAGGTCAGATAGGTGTGTGCAGCTCAGGGTCTGAAACCCTGGCCCTATTTAAAGGTTGGGACAAACAAGCGTGTTGGGATGATCTATTTAAAGGCCAAACCTAAAAAATGAGACCCAGTTTAAGCAATGTCAAGGAAAAATAGAACTAAGAGTCTAAAGAAAACACACAAATCTTTCTTTAAAAGCTTTCATAATACTGTAACAAGAAGATGATGATTTGTTTATCGCGTAGCTGTGCATTTACGCACTCAAATTGTAGCTGATATTATAATAATAACGGTACCCTATCTAAGGATCACACCGGGAACACAAAACTGACAAGGGTAAAATTGATACCCTATTTAAGGATGGAGACCGTCAAAAACAGTACTCTATCAGGGGGCACATGCCTTTCTAGCCGATATATGAAAATACCCCCTCCCCCCCCCGCCCTAGTTTGGTCACAAACCTAGACTAGCAGACGTAGCTTAGAAAAAATTAATCAAAAAACCTAAGGAAATCATAGCTCTGAAACACGTACGTTTTTAGATGCTAGGAAGCTCATGCCAGATGCAATCTGTTGCGCGAAAGAGAGCAAATCGTATGACGTCACTTCCTTCTGGCAGCACTCTGGACTATTGTAGTACTTGTCCTCCATTCCTCGGCTATTCCTTAGATAACCAAGTAAATCTCCGTATGGTACGTACTCAAGAATTAACATCATTGGACCTTAAAATAAGATACTTATACTACTAGATGAGAAATTTCTGCAATTTGATTGGCTTAGAGCAGTAGTATTTCAGCCTAATTTGAAATACCTACATGTGAAAATTACAACCCTTTTGTGGGTAGTAGTATAAACAAATAATAGAATGATTTGTACGTGATATTTGACATAAATACCACTTGTGATATTTCAAAATTGTCTCAAATTTCACGAGCCGTTAGCAATATCACTCGTGGTATTTATGCCAAATACCACTACAAATCATGCTATTACCTATACATATAGAGATTGCAGAGTCATTGGTGAATTAAGGTTAACTTAGATTTTAAGCTTCAGGTCTCTTGGACTGCAATTGTCGCCTTTTTCAATACTGAATTACTCCCGGGGGGTACTTGGGTTAATGTTTGCTGGGTATGTGCCGCTGGCCTCTCAGAGCCCCTCCCCCATTTTAGTCTATTTTTTGGCCAATTATAGACCCCATCTTAGTCACTTTTTGGAAAATGTAATTTTCGCGGTCCCAACGTAGTCACTTTCTATTTATGCATCTACCTTATCAATGTTGTTTTAAGCGGTGAAATGTAACGCGGTCAATGCGAGCTTATTGTTAAATTTAATAAACAACAACTTTCTGATTTTTTAACCGAGAATCTTCCCATTTTGACTCCCTACTTATCCCCAAAATCCGAAAATTTGCGAACCCATTCTAGTAAATCTTTTGAAAATGCGACCCCATTATAGTCACTCCAGTCTTGAAAATGCGACCCCATCCCTATTAGCCTGTTGTAAGGGAGTACCCCCTCCGGAAATTACTCCGAAATTATGGAAGATTTTCAGCATGTATTTACGTTGTATTTGCCAAATAACTCTTTTTTGGAGTTAAGTGTTATGACATAGTACTAGTGATACATTTTTGGACATAACATAGCTTATATAATATGGTCGAAAATACACCAAGAAGTATCGATCCGGGAACCTTTTGATAGCCTTCATCAAAGGATAAACGAAGTCTTAATTGTAAAATCTAACAAAGTTGCTTGAATCAGCTTTGTAAACTGTAAATTAAGTAGGAAAATGAAATTTTAGTAAGTATGCCAAACGGCCGGCTACCATAAACAAGCCTTCAAAAATAGAGATGTAAAGGAAACAGAACAGCACATTGGAATGTCATTTTTATTTTATCCCAGTTCCATGGGGTCATTTAATAAAAGCCATCATATCAAGTGACAAACTCTTCACGATAATTTTCTTACCGAAATTTGACACATGTCCCAGAAAGTTGACAATGTTCGGATGCCTATCTCCTCCCAACGATATTCCCAGCTCGATTTCTTTCTCCAATGATTCTCTCTCTGTGCCAGAACTGTTATCTGAAATTAAATGACACGATATTAATATAACATGACAATGATAACGATAATGATAACATTATGATAATAATAATGATAATGATGATAAAACGGGCAAAAGTGATTTCTGCCTGCATCTGGCAACAGCTTTTTTCCCACATACTCTCAGTATGTTTAGAGGTCTCTCTGAATGATGAAACCTGATAAATCAAGAAAGATGGGTCATGGAATATTACCTACAAAATTACAAAATGGGGATTTTTTTTTTGTTTTTGATGATCGACCAGTTCTTTCGAGAATATGGAATTACATGTGGCCCAGAAATAGTAAAAAGTTTAAGACAGGATTAGACTCAAATTCGTCCCCAGGCTTAGACTAGTACTGCATAGTTTTTCTCTATGAAAGACTTAGCGGTACGTTTTTTAACTTGACAAACAAAATGACAGATTCACTAGAAATAAAAAACCTTTATGATTCTTTGTTGCGTTTTATCAGCCTCCTCCTCAGGCACTTCGTTTTTCGCATAGTAGAGGCGAGCTGGAAACGCGAGTGACTGGTGATGAACCGCAAGGGACCGTGGGAAGGGTAAAGACGGCAGGCGAAGCCCCAGACGTCTCGCCCGTTGTCTCCTTCCCGACTGCCTTAGCGCTCACATTTTTAACGATAGAGAGACGTCTGGGTACGAGGCAGGCGTTTTATTGTGTGAAGTGCTCTTCTAAAAACTGAACTAAATTCCACAGAAGACAGATTGCAAATAATGTCTTACGTTTTAATTTCTTTACAGCCACTGTTGTCGCGCCCGGGATTCTTTTTAATCCAGTAGCCCTGGCTTTCCACACTTCACCGAATGAACCACTTCCAAGAATGTTTTGTAGATCAATTTGCTTTGAGGACACTTCCCAACGCGATGGAGTCACCGAGAGGTATCTATTAGTATTGTTTGAGCCATTTACCGTGCTAAGGAAAAACAAAAAATTAATTGTTGGTTTTCACATGACGTCACTAAAATTCAAACTACAAAACTATCGATCGTACTGAGATTTTACTTTCATGGTGTATTAAAGCAGCTGAAAACGAATTTTCAAACAAATTTTCGCTTCAAGAGGATTCTTGGTTTTGTAATAGAGTACGCTTGAATTTCTAAGCTTTTGCGTGACGCAGCATTTACATGACGGCCGAGAGAGCTGTCATTTAGGTTTTAAAAGTGACTTTTTTCGAGGAATCTTGCTATCTAAACAGTTCAATGCATTAGAAAAAGTATTACTTTAATGTTTATGAGTTCCTCTAGGAGTAAATTCAGGCTTTTATAGCAAAACTCGGTAACAGATATTTATGTTGGTTTCCGTCCGCCATGTTGGAGCTCATCCGGATGAACTCCAGCATGGCGTCCCTACACAAAGCTCTATAAATTTGGGTAAAACGTTTCCACGGGTATCTTGTATGCGAATTATTCCTTCGACCCAAATCTTGGCGAGGGTCTTTGTATATTTACCTCCTTTCAGTTCTCAGATTCTGGACTTTATCTGTCGAATGGTTTTGATTTTTGTTTTGATCTATTTTGAATGGCGTGACACTGAAAACCAGCAATAAGCAACAACAATGACCAAGTAGTAAAATAATCTCCTCAGTGATTGTTACCTCACTACTGGCTGATCCCCAGTCGTCTCTCGTACCCTCTTCCTAGTGGCGCAGGGGTGTGATGGGAAGGAGAAAAGCGAGGGAGAGTGTCTTTCTCTCCTCTCCCTTCCCATTACCCCCTGCTCCCGCCGTGCGCGTTACACGAAGACGACTGGGGACGAATCAGACCTTCTTATTAAATGTCCAGCTGCTTCAAATAGAAAAGTATAGTATACATTTTAGCAAAGACAGAAGGCAAGAAAAAGGCTAAATAGAACTCGACAGCATATTGTTAAGATAGTTGATCGTTATTACTTAATAACCCAGCTCTTTATTTGCAGTAGTTCGGAATTAGTCGAGTTCATCATGATAGGGACTATACCTGAATGGTTTCTATCAGCTGAATTTAACATCAAATACCGACAAAGGTTCTCTTTGACCCTGAATGCATGTTTTACATATCTTTTGTTTCTGAAGTTTATTTATCCAGCAGAACGGCGGTCTGATATTTCAAGGTTTGTTTCGTTTTCATGACAACCATCTTTAGTTTGATATACATTGATCTTTACGACGGCATTTAGCTGAAGTCCAGTTATAACTTTCACACCACATAAACTCCACATATTCGCGCCAACTACCTAAGCGCGTCAGATTATTTTAACGACCTTTTAAGTCTCAAAATTTCAGGTTCTCAAGATTTTGGCTTCCGTGCTAACGGAGAAACTTGGAAAGAGGGTAAAATTCCACCTTCGCTGTTCCACAACTACAAAAGCTCAGCCTCGCTCCAGTCTTTTTGGCAATGGTTTGAGTGTGATGTCACCCATCAAATTTATTGGGAAATTTTCGGGCTTGGTGCCAGGCCTCCTCCGCTCACTCTCATCCCGGGAATTGGCCTAGGAAGAGGTTAGCAGTAATCTTTTCAAGTTTAGAGAAAATCCTTTTTGGACTATGCTTACCTTTCAAGTTGAAGGTTGTCTGGAAGTCCTCGTAAGCCGCCGTTAGCTTGAGCTTTTAAATGGATCATAGACACAATACTTAAGTACAATGGCAGTGAAAAAGATATTCAAGATTTTTATGAAGGCGTTCGAGGGCAAAGCCTAGACGAAATTTATAGATGTTATTGCAAAAATTGCAACTGTTGCCTTAAGGTTACGCCCAATGGTATCCCTGTTTTAGATTGTAGGATTTGGAGACAAGCAAGCGCCAAAGGATATTCAAAATTTTATGAAGACGGTCGAGGGCAAAGCTTGGACAAAATTTATAGCTGTCATTGCAACAATTGTAACAGTTGCCCTTAAGGTTCCACCCAATGGTATCCCTTCTTTAGATTGAAGGAGTTGGAGTTGGAGACGATCAAGCGCCAAACGCGTAACAACAACAACAATTTTCATTGTGCTCTTGATACAAAAAGTGTAAAGACATTAAAAGGAAATAATTGTGAAAAAAAGAGATCACCGCCACTCAGAAATAGCAAAAGCTAATCACGCTGAGTGGCTGGGCGATGCGGAGAAGTAACTAGATATCAAAGTTGTTCTAAATAAACAAATGCACGCAAAGAAGAAATATATAAGCTGTAATAAATAAACAAATACATAAACGAATAAACAAAGAATCAAGACAAAACAACGGCTTTGCACACAATTAGCTGCATATAAAGTTAAAAGCTTTTTAAAGCGAATTTGAGATCTTCTTTAATAGCATTTCAGAGTTTAGCCCCACTGAAACGGATATTAAATTTTGCATAATTTGTCCTAACTTTCGGTAAGTAATAGAGCGTTTTCACATGACGTCACGGCGGCCATATTGGTGTCCCAAAACAATGAAACGGCGGCCATGTTGGTGTCCCAAACCAATCCTCTGGGAGCTGTACTCTTTTCTTATGCAAAGGCTTTCTTTTGTTCCAATAAATTTGCATAGATGCTGGCCACGTGAGTGAAAACACTCTATAACTAAAGACTTATTAGAGTCCAGTATGGAGGCATATTGATGTACTTTACTAATGCATTTAATCTTAAGTAGTTGTTCAATTTAGTACCTTAAAGTGCGATTTGCACAATTCATACCATTCTGTCAATTGTGTATGCACACATGAAAACGTACCTGCAACCCGTCTCTTGTGAATGTGGTAAAGCAGTAATGTTACCAAACAGAGGATTAAGACTGCTGCTACAACACCCAGTGATATAGTTACGGCTGTTTTATTGGAGCTTTCGTCTTTACTTTCTTCATTACTGTTGCTATCGAAGGATATATCTGCAAGCGTAACAACGATCGCACTTTAATTACAAAACTAGTCTGAGTTTGAATAGCATGATTAGTACTAACTGAATTAAAAATCAGCATTACTTTTGTCGACTTTTGTTATTGCTTAATGTTCTTTTGAAATATGGCTACGCTTTTCAAGGCGTCTTTTGTCGGGGACTGATTCTTCGGAAGTGAGAATAACCAACCAGTGATAAATCACGAGCTCTGAGTGCTTTCAACAGTTTTAAAAACATCTCCGGAGTATTTCATCTTAAAAATGCATTTTTCGCTTTAAAACGTTTTGATTGACAAAGTCAAACAAAAACAGCACTAAAAAACAATTGTTAGGCTCAAATACTTATTAAAGCAAATGTATTATGCAACTGAAGTAAACAGCTTAACAGTGAGTTTAAGGGTCTACTTGCCTTCGCAATACGGTTATCCAAATGAAAGAATTTTACAGCTAACCCGCTGAACAAGAGGGGAAAATTGCTCAAATAGAGTGTCGCTAAATCTAAGTGCAGCGCTGCGTAATGAACGATGATAATTTTTACGGAATTGCAAACTAGTATGGTAAGTATTAAATTTTGTTTAGTTGTGACTCATTTCGCCCAGTCCTTCTTGTGAAATGGTCACATGGACCGCGGTTTGGTCCTTTTTTTGATTAGAAAAATTCCTATTTCGTTTTATAATAAGTTCTTCCCTGTCAACGGTTTTTTGCTCGGTTAAAAATGACTTCTTTTTTTTAATTTTTTCTTAAAGACAAATTTTGTCATATTTTTTTCTTTTTATTTATTTGATAATTAGAAGGACCGTCAATATAAAATTTCATGTTTATTAGTATTCTTTCTGTTAAATGTTCATCCTAATCAGGTTACCATTGTGCAGTCATTCAACCTCGTATTTCCCCTGAGGCTGAATTCAAAGACCTCCCCTGCCGTTTCAGTTTCAGAGATTTATAGCGTATAAAGGTCACGTGATTAAATCTGTCAATTGGACTATATGCCTACTGAATATTAATGGCTTTACATTTGCCATAACGAACGGCCTCAGAAGCTGGTTACCTTTTGTTTCGCACAAATGACCTGTGAATCCCTTGAAACACTGGCACGTCTCATTAAGACATTTTCCTCCGTTTGCGCAATGGACGTTGAAACAGGCGGAGTCCACACCTACCAAATCAAAATTTGGTTAACATGAGAGAAAAGCGTTTAATCGTCTCTTTTGAGAACCACAGATTTTGGCCAGAAATTTGCGTTATTGACTTATAAACTCGGGACGCGTCGAACCATCCAACTGAATCAGACCAAAAAGCTAGCAATTTTAACAAATTTTCCCCGAATGAGGTTAAATCAGTACACATTATCATACAAATTTTAAAATTATTCTTTTAGTTCGTCGAATGTGAGGATCGACGTTTGCCCCGGAGACGACCATCAGGCGTTCTATCTGTCTGAAAAAGACGGAAAGAACGTGTTGGACGATCCAAACTCTTTCAGACGAACTTAACCGAGCCAGACGTCGAACTTTTTATGAACCTAACTCACTAAGTTTGCTTTGTCACATGAAAAGTTCGTCGTCAGGTCCAGTCTTTAGCAGTCCTTTGTAAAGAGCGCGGTACGCGCCTATGACAGTGCTTATGTTCGCTTTATCACACCTCTGATGTCCCGCATATGCAAAGTTAAAAAACCTGGGCACTGTAAGTATACGTAATAGGCAAGGTTGGATACGAAACTTAAAGAAATTAAGATTTAAAAAACAGTGATTAAGGGAAAAATTTTGGAAAGCATCTAGGTTTGTGGAAAATCTGACAGTGACTGCATGGAGGTAAGCGACAAGAGAGATCATTCTTGTGAATGCTAAATATTAAAGAACTGATTTTCGCCCTTACTTCAGGCTAGAATCACTTGCTAGAATCAAACTAAGCTCGGATCAAATTAGTTTTCTCATTTTGATTAAGCGTTCTAAATTTCTGAAGGAATGTCTGAGATTCATTCATTCATTCATTCATTCATTCTTTCATTCTTTCTTTCAGCGCTACCTCATTAATACATAAAGTACTCACTGGATGAGGATTTATCTTTGCATATAACAAAGGCTTTCTTGTCGTTGCAGGTTGGTAAGATCGTCAGGTTATAACAGTCCATCTTGTTAGCATCTTCATTCTCGGAACACTTGTCACGATCACTTCCCTCTGAGTCAAGGACTTCGCGAAAACCATTGACGCGGCATACTTCGTGAGCAAGTTTATTATCCCATGTTGGGTGGCAAAATGGTCTCCATCCATTTGACGTGTTAACTTTAAGGGACAATTTGGTACCGGAAGGATTATTTTCACGAAGACTTTTGATGCTGTAGCCTTGAAAAGGAAAACCCAGTTATGATAAACAAGGGTCACTCAGGCCACTTAAAGGCATGACTACCTAATTGAATATGCATCATATTTGTTTGCTTTCATCAGTGATCCTGAAAAGTGAACTACAAATGTGGCTCAACGAAAAAAACAGGTGAAACGTGATTTAGAACAACACGTGACATTGCTTCGTCAACGGCGTCACAAAACACATTTTCCTTAATGGAGAAGGGGTGCAAACCTTAATCTTAGGAATTTTCACAACCAAAATGTTACATGAACAGTGTAAATCGTAAATCTTCCTTGAATGATTGGAAATGTTATTTATCCTATTAGCTATTAAACTAATTAATAAGTCACGTGACCCTGTTCCCTTTTAACGATTTAACGATTTAACGATTCCTATACAAGGCAATCACACATACAAGGCGAATTTTTCAGAATATTTTAAAAGCCTCTGAAATGTACCTAAAAGAACTTGTTGCTCTTTCATTATCCTTTCCCCATTTTAGAGTAAATATTTTGACCGTTAATTCTCAATTATCAGTCACGTGACGAGAATTTGAGCCTCTAAAATGCGGTCTCATATTGCTAAGGCCATTATGCAACTTTAGAAGTTCAATTTTCAGGATCATTGATAGAAGCAAACCGTTCTAAATAGCATTTTATCAATATATGCATATTTAATTAGATATTCATGCCTTAGGTGGCCTTTCAATTTTATACTACTACAGGAGAAATTACTGCAGTTTGATCGGCTTAGAGTAGTGGTATTTCAGCTTAATACTTATGTGTGAAAATTACAAAACTTTTGCTGGTAGTGGTCGAAACAAATAATAGCATGATTTGTATGTGCTATTGGGCATAAATACTACTCGTGATATTTCAAAATTGTCTCAAATTTCACTCACTTAACGGCTCGTGAAATCACGTAAAACAATTTCGAAATATCACCACAAATTATGCTATTACCTTTACAAATTCGCTAGCTTTCAGCACCCCAGCCGTTTACCCCTTTGTGTAACACTTCCTTTGTCCACCTTTAAAGTGTATATGACAAGAAAACTTTTTAAATTGATCTTTGTCTTTAGTTAAGTTTAATTAACAACTGTGAACTTCAACAATATGTCGCCCAAAGAAATTTCCTGAATTGTGGTCATCTAAACACTCCTTTTTTTCCCTTCTAAAAATGTCCCAGAGACTGGGAACGAGTAAAGGATTAAAGAAAGACAGATGACGTCATGTGACTTCAGTTAGTCTACTCAGCCTCTTTCTCTTCCGATTCTGGTCATTGCTTGAGCTTCGTGTTTTATGGAGTTAAGTTATACTGACACTCGATGGTTGTCAAAAAATGTTGGAGATACTATACAACCGTGCAGTGGTTAGCAGAGGAGACTGGTTATGAAAGGTGGCAAACACCAAAGAGAAAACCGAAGGTGCAAGAGTTTATGTTGGGAACTCCCTGAAGGTGTAAGATGAAAATTATAGGAATGCTATAGAACAATGTGCAGCGTCAAGACCACAAGAAACATATTCAGCGTTTTCGCGTACGTGGCCAGCATTTATGCTTATTTATTGGGACAAAAGAAAGCTTTTACATAAGAAAAGAGTTCAACTTCCTCAGGGCTGTCTTGGTACACCAACATGGCCGCCGTTTCATTGTTTTGGAACACCAATACTGCCGCCGTGACGTCATTTGAAAACGCTTCGATAACAATCTTACGGTATGCACCTGACGGTGATAGTTGTTTTAAAGTACAAACTAGATTGGATAAAAATTCCATTTTTTTAATGGGTTTACAGTTTTGTATCTCACTCCTTGATGTTGTTTTTGCCACTTGATATGTATTCTTCATATCTTCGCACCACCGTGTAATATTCTCTATTTACGGTCAAGTCAATCAAAACTCGCGAACATTTCTTTCGACTGACTTGGTAAATACTAAATCGAGAATAATTCATGGGGCGTGAAGATATGAAATTTATCTTCTAGTGTTCAACTCGTTCGCTGCGCTCACTCGTGAGATCGATATAGAGGCGGAACACGAGAAGATATATTTCATATCTCCAAGCTCCCGTGTATTATTCTATTTATTATGTATATTAGATCAATTATCTCAAAAGGTAAATATTCCAATAGATATCAGAACACACGTGTTCTCGTACGATATTTCTTAGTAGCCAAAATCCCTATAACACACTGTAGTTTATACAATAAATATCGATACTTCACTTGAAGATCATAATAGGTCACTCACTCCTGCAGTAATTATAGCCATCGCCAACTGGACATGCTCTCATCTCTAGTTTTTTTTCCTCGCACCTATCTTCACACTTCCTTATTTGAAACTTGACGTTGCATTTACCAAGACACTGGCTCCAGTTTCCCCACCGCGGGTGGGCTGCAAATATAGGAGGTAAAAACAACCCAGCTATCATCAGCGACCACCCCTTACATCTACTCAAGACACTTAATTTTTTTTTCATTCACAGCATTATTAAGATTGGAAAATCTTAATCAGTAGAGTAAGGTAAGGTAAGGTAAGGCCTTTATTTAAAGAGGGTAAACACGTGACAGTTACGATAAAACTGATAAATTTGTGGCCCTCTATAAAACGTAAAATCAAAATTAATATCAAAGTAATTTTACAGTGTCATAAACACTGTCATAAAGATTAACTTTTATAGATACAATTTAAAAAACAAGCCCCATGTGCGACCACCATGTGCGATCACCTATCATAAGGGAGCACCTCCAATAAGCAAGCACTTATCCAAAACAAAAAACTTTCCTAGTCAAAGCAATATAGTACAAACCTATGGTAAGCGATCGCTACCACTTTTGGGGGCTTACGGGTATATATTTTTCAATTATTTATAACCTCTTGTAAGCGACCGCTTAACTCATAGTCAATGTGTGTACTACACTACTCAGAGTATACGAAGACCCATGGCACTGCACATATTGTAGTGTCAGCTTGTTTCATTGTTTTAACACCTTTTGGGGGCAAATAATCAATAATAAAGAAAGAATTATAAAACAGATATATGATCATAGTAATAATAATGATAATAATAATAATAATAATGATGATGATGATGATGATGATGATGATAATGATGATGATGATGATGATGATGATTTCATAATAATAATTACAGAAAAATTGCGAAACCCGCAAAAGGGCAAGTGCAAAAGGGACCCTAGACCCATGCAAACAACCGCCCTGATATTGAATAACTTATTGTTTACTCTAGAAGAAAATAGAATTGAATTCCTAGAGGAGAGAATACAACTCTCGTAATGTCAACTTCTCCACAAATCTTGGCTTTTGGGGTGGTTGCCTACGAGATCAGTGTTTCTATTTATTTGATACGATAGATAATGTACGTACATTTAACTATTTTGAAAAGCATGTTACAGTCGCATTATTTTAATGACGATAAATTCTCTACCTGTTAATTAAGTCCATGTAGCTTATGATCATTATTATCGTGTCTTCTTTTAGGGCACGCCGATCGGCTTTAACATACTCATGGACAGCTTCTACGAGTTTCGTGCATTATTTTACCCACCAACCGTTAATTATACACCGATATCAAGAGAGAATGAGGTATTCTCTCTTGTCGATTTGAAGCAGGTGATTTTTCACATCATGGTTATTAAGCTCTGTATAAATGCAACAGCAGATAAGGCTCTCCACAGATTTTAAGCTATACGTTAGTAAATAATTTTAAAGAATCAAATGCACTTTTACGCTGTCCTTCTGCCTCTGGAAGACGTAGCATAACCTGGGCCATTTTTCAGATTTTACCGGCCACAACCATGTCAAAGAAGAGGTGAATTTAACTTTCTTTGCTACCATTGTTCATAAATTAGAGAGATTAAGCACCCTTTTTTTCCCGCGAACGGCAGAGAGGGCCAGGTTAACTGACTTTTCCCGCATCTGATGTTTGGTACCCTGCAAGCAGAGGCCCTTCGATCTACGCAGGGTAGCTGTTTGCCAGCCCCTGTTTCAACGCAAGGTGCAAATTGTTGCCGTTCGGATGAAACGCGAAAACGTGAGTATTTCTGAAGCCTACTTGTACCGATTTCTACAATTTGATCGCTTGTTTTGATAGCTATATATGCATCTTTCATCATTTTCCCTCTACAGTCAGGTAAACCGTTTTTAAGCTATTTGTAAATAGTTTCAAATTCAAGCGAAAAAAGATAGCAACCTTCTATATAAGCTTATCTTGTCCCGCCATAGTGAATGGCGATCGAGAACACTTGCCGTGTATCATACGTATTTCACTTAGCTTAAAAGAAAAGTTAAGAAATAAGGAAACATTTAGTTAATTCCAACAGCCATGGTTAGTACCTAGTTAATTTTCAAATATTCGAGACTATCGTAGTACATATTGCCACTAGTTTCCAGTTCTGCCGTTTCAACGGGAAGCTTAAACTAACAAACACCGCGGCGGATGGAACGGCAAACGACACTGTGACGGCTAGCGGATCTTCGGCTTACGCAGTTAGTGCGGAACTTAATCTAACTCTTGTCTGATGTCTGCACAGCTAAGCACAAAATTTTTGCGTCGATTGGCGACTGGGACTAGCAGGTCCTAGTTTTTTTTGTTTGTTCGCTTGTTTTATAAAGAATTCGAGGCACTTTAATACTTCGAGACGAAAAGTATACTGCTGCTTCGAAAACAAGCCAACTAAACAAGAGGCCATTGATGCCATACATGTGTATACCTGCTTGGATCGTGGTCGGTGTCGATGAAGCCGCCGTTTGTCCATGAACGATCGAAAAACCAGCAGAAAGCATAAGCACACGAAGTGAAAGTCTCCAAAACATTTGTGTCTGCACATGTAAAATCTTCAAGCCTGTTAGTCCGTTGTTCATGATACGCATGCAAGCAACATTAAAAGTGCCTGCTTTCAAGTTTCGGCAAACTCGAAAAAGTCTACAATGGGCATTGTTTGAAAACCAAAGGAAAATCAAAACAATAATGAAAAAGGGGCGTCAAATAAACAAACCTAATAAATAACTTCAAGTTCTTATCAATTATTTATAATCATTATTTATTTTATTTTATTCTGGTTTTTTTTTAGAAAAATTTTGTTTTCTTGCTTCCGAACGGAGTAAGATGTACTTAAGCTCACTTTTTGCAAACGACGCACCGATCTTAAATACACTTTTTTTCAGCTTTTCATGATCAGATATCAACACTGTTTGATTCTTTTATTAGTTAAAAATAATAATACAAACACCTGGGTAAAAAATTAATTTTACGAAAAAGTCGTTAACTAAATAAATCATGAGACACCCCAAGGAAATTAGAAACAACCTGTATTTACAATAATACAGTTAGGAAGACTAGATTAGTAAAATGAAATTACATGTACATATATAAGATAGAAACTCCCAATAATACACTTAGGAAGACTACATTATGAAATGAAATTACATTTAAGATAGACAGACTGCAAAGGTCTTTATAAATTAATGTTTTCACTACATGACTGTTTTTTAATGAAAATTTTTATTACATTCTCACGAAAGGTTTTATATAAAATTTATTTACTTAAATAAAAATCTGAGAAACTGCTTTACTTCGTATGTCACAAATGTTATTGTCCTATCGATAAGCTAGAGATGACAAATATCATTAATCATTAAAGTTTAAAAGATGTGGTTACTAAATTGGAAATCGCTATGTTTAGGTCTCTTGTGTATATCAATGTAGTTTTTCATATCCTAAAAACCAAGAGAGGATAAAGGGGACAGAGAAGGCATCCTCCACACACACCCTATTCCATAGGTAATTCGTCTCGAGTTATTTTTAAGACCACAGATCCCAAGGGGGATTAGACAACAGCCAATCACATAGCGCGAATGTGTTCCGCGTGGATGACCCACGCTCAGAGCCACGCGTCCTTCACGAAGGCAAAAAAAAATGGCGGAAGACGCGGAGAGCAATATTGCTTTTCGTTTTGTCGACGAAAACGACCAAAGAGAGATTTCTGCTAAAGCTGTGTCAGCGAAACGGAAATTAAAAAAGAATCGCCCTTCCTCTCTTGTATAGAGCTAACAGTACAGCAGGGAAATCCTTTACACGGTGAATATTCTCTAAGGATCATTTATAATTTACAGTTTGGAGAGAGCAATTTCTGGTTTGATATTCATTCTTTTATTAGTCTTTTATTATTCACCAAAAATAACACTTGGCCTCCTATAATAATAATGATAATAATTTAATAACTTCTAGAGCGCTATTTACATTCACTGATCAACAGCGCTTAACAACTTAAAAAAACTACAATAAAATTCAAATTTGTAAAACTAATTACATGTACATGAATATTACTTGCTACTTGCTTTATTGTACAAACGACCGGTTTCAATAGACCGGCGAAATTTCTCATTTTATTAAAGCACTGAGGTTACGATAACTTAAAAGAAAAGTTAAGAAAGAAGGAAACATTTAGTTAATTCCAACAGCCATGGTTAATACCTAGTTGATTTTCAAATATTTTAGACTATCGTAGTACATATTGCCACTAGTTTCCAGTTCTGCCGTGTCAACGGGAAGCTTAAACGAACAAACAACGTGGCGGATGAAACCGCAAACGACAAACGGCTAGCGGACCTTCGGCTTACGCAGTTAGTGCGGAACTTAATCTAACTGTTGTCTGATGTCTGCACAGCTAAGCACAAAATGTTTGCGTCGATTGGCGACGGTGACTAGCAGGTCCTAGTTTTCTTGTTTGTTCGCTTGTTTTATAAAGAATTCGAGGCACTTTAATACTTCGAGACGAAAAGTATACTGCTGCTTCGAAAACAAGCCAACTAAACAAGAGGCCACTGGTGCCATACATGTGTATACCTGCTTGGATCGTGGTCGGTGTCGATGAATGTTCTGCCAGTTGTCCAATTTTGTAAAACTAATTACATGTACATGAATATTACTTGCTACTTGCTTTATTGTACAAACGACCGGTTTCAATAGACCGGCGAAATTTCTCATTTTATTAAAGCACTGAGGCTACGATAACTTCGAGTTAAACTGATTTCACGGGTTGTCAAAGAGTCGAGCGATTCCCTTTTCCCAGGTTAGCGCCGACTCATTTTGCTTCAATTCAGAAATGCTCTCGATCTCTCTACGCTTTCATTGCCTTTCGCCCGACATGTTTTGCATGGCGTTTAGTCATGCGAAACCCCCACGAAACATCCACGCAGCGCGCGAGGTAACTTTATCCCGATTCTAAAAATAACTCGAGACGAATTACCTATGGAATAGGGTGTGTATGGGGGATGCCTTCTCTGTCCTCTTTATCCTCTCTTGCTAAAAACTATATATGTTCTCAATGATGATGTTATAGCCAGTTTTACTTTTGACATCGCCATTGTTGTATTTTGATGGCCTTTAACTGATCTTTCATTCAAAATATTTCCCCGATTCTGACTGGCTAAAAGCACAAGCATAATTCACCATAAACAGCTACTGATGACCAAATTTGGAAGAATTTTGCGTTTAATGAACCGATGACGCCAAAATTTCAGCCTTCTTGCAGGTTAATGCACCGTTAACCGAGAAGACCTGGGGACGAGGCTGAGTTGTTTTGGTTGTAAAAACAAAAATGGCGGACATTTCACTCATTTCAAGAGTAAGAACTAGGCGAAATAATAGCTGAAAACATGGAAAGAACAGCAAGAAGAAATCTCGAACGGCGATATCTAGTATTTACAGAATATTTACGGAGCTGAAAAACCCTGAATGTGCACTATCGAAGATGAACATAACATCGATGGAGGCAAGCATGTTTTAGCTATGTTTTTAAACTAGGAATTATTTTAAATAAATAATAAAACAATTGTTGAATTCGGCTTTCGTTTCATGTGAAGAATTATGGAGATCTCGGAGGGTGTTATCTGCCTCAGCCTTCGGCCTCGAAGGGTAACACCCTCCTTGATCTCCATAATTCTTCATAAGTCAGCCTCATTCATTAATTGTTATTATTATTCATGCAAAATATTTCCCCAATTCTGATTGGCTAAAAGCACACGCATAATTCACCATAAGCAGTTACTGATGACCAAATTTGGAAGAATTTTGTGTTTAACGATGAAATGAAGTCAAAAATGCAGCCCGCTACAGGTAAAGGCACCGTTACCAAGAAGACCTGGGGACGAAGTTGAGTTGTTTTGGTTGTGAAAACAAAAAATGGCAGACACTTCACTCGTTTCAAGAGTAAGAACTACAGCTGGAACTAGGCGAAATAATAGCTAAAAACATAGCAAGAACACAACTCGGAGGGCGACATATGCTGTGTGGAGGCTGGACAAACCTAAACGTACACTATCAAAGATGAACTTAATATCGATGCAGGTAAGCATGTTTTTGCTATGTTTTTGAACTAGGAATGATTTTGAATGAATAATAAAGTAATTAATGAATTCGGCTTTCGTAGGGTATGAAGAATCAAGCAGACCTCGGAGGGAGTTATCCACCTCGGATAACACCCTCCTCGATCTGCCTAATTCTTCATACCCTACTAAGCCTCTTTCATTAATTGCTAAATTAACTCTTCCTATCTCTTTAACGATAATGCAAAGGTTAATTGTTGTTTTGACAACATGACAACCCTTCTTTAGCTTTCATCAACACTTTTTTTTGATATTTTGCTTTTCATTTTTCATATTTATTATTTTTTCTCCCATTGTCAAGTTTATAAAAGTTAAAACCAATCCCTAACGTCCAATTAAGCAATAGAAAACGTTTTCCGTGTTTGCATAGCCTGATATATACACGAGAGGGGTTAGGAGAATTCGAGACGGTTATGCAAACCGGAAGTCGAGGGTTTGCATAAATGTCGAGAATTCTCCCAGTCCCTCGAGTGTTTATATCAGGATATACAAACACAGGGAAAAAGTTTTCTATTGCTTTTATAGAATAACTTTCTCTTTTGTTTAGAGCACTGATTGAAAGAGAAATTCTTACCAGTCGCGAAGTCTTGTACACGAGGTTGTACGCGTAATCAGTCCCTGTTTTGCAAAAAAGATGCTTTCCAAAATACGGGTTTTTCTCGCTAAAAATGTCAGCTCAAGCGAAAAACAATTGACACAGCATGTTCCTAAAGATTTTCCAAGTTTCAGCCGACGAGGAAATGGGTAAACAAAATAAACTTGTCAAGTTTTTTTAACTCATAACCTTTATCAAATTCGTGCTTGCGTGATTAGCGCGCGAAAAGCAAAACGTCTTGACGTCACCACCATGTTTACATACTCTCATGCAAACACGCCTCTCGGCCAATCAGAGCGCGCGCACTATCTAGGTAAAAAGTAAAAAGGTGTCCTCCTGATGTATCAACCTGTTACTGATTCTGACCTTATAATGAGGCATTGATGGAGTTGCCTAAAGAATGGTCAATATTTTAACTATCAGATGAGGCAGGCTAAAACTCCCGTTGTAAATAACCTCTTGATGACAACTGCCAGCATAATCCCTCGGGATTAACCGAACTAATGTCCCCTTAACAGAGGTGTCAGCCAGGAAAAGTTTGTTTTACAAGTAAATGAAATGATTGTGCCAGTATATGGAGCCCAAATTTCAACATGTTCACTGAATTACACTGGTAAGGTATTACTAAAAAACTGCTTATACTTGGGGAAAACTTTGGCAAAATACTCGAAATACTCCCTCTTGAACATGTATCGATTAATATATAATAATTGGTGTGGGTTAATAAATGCTAAAGGTAAGATAACGTGCATATCAGCAACACCAGAATTAATCCTTTGCTTTGTCGTTACTCAGGAGTGAAAAGGCTTAAAGGGGCTGCAAGAAATGAGAAAATTGTATCGTACTAAAGGGATATGGGTAGAAATGACAGGACTTAGACATGTTTTATGGAAACTGGATTCTCAGTTTTTAAAGTTAAAGTACAAGGTCATCTGAACTTGGATGCCGGCAGAGGTACTGAATTTTATACTGCAAAATGTAGGGGAATAAGTTGCTTTCTAACTAACTTTGTACTGGACAAGCCTCATTTTCTTTGTGTTATCTAAAAGTTAAAAGTTTTTGAACCCCGACAAAAGGGAGCCCTAGTTCTCCTGACCAGTGCCACAGACTGATTCAGAAGCCAATGATACAACTGTATCTCTTCCGTTGTTAAAAGAGTATTTCTTGACTTGTGAGTAGAACGCCTTGCGAGTATTTTGCTCGGGTTTGCAAAGAACCACGTAAATTTTCGGGCCAAACATACAGATCAGCAACCCATAAGAGCTCAAAACGGTTGTAGCACACTTTAGATTCGTTGCGTGCGACCCATCAAGACCAATGTCAACTGGGAAATAACCCACGCTAGACAGCAACAAAATGTACATGGAGAACACAATGTAACGTCCCTCGTTGAAGTTTTCCGGAAGGCTTCTTGCTTTAAAGGCATAAAATGTGCAAACTATTGCCAGAAATGACACGTAAACAATCATGGCGATCTGAAATATCTGTCCAATTTGTAAGTGATACAAAGAACACGACAAATGAATTATTCCTTCTACTGGTTTTATGATTCGTATTTGACTTGGAGGATCCAAGATAATCCACAGCAAAACTAGTATAAGCTGAACAGAAATCAGCGCCAGAACAAGTAGTGTCTGGCTTTTAGCCATCAAAATGAATTTCTTGAACCTCTCTGCGACCACGTTCACTCTGAATGCGCTGAGTATCTTCATTGTCTTAATTATTAGAATGGCGATAAATGTAGCTAACACAGACGAGCTGAAACACACTCCTATCGTACACGTGAAGTTGGTCCGCTTAGCAAGTGTAAAAACGGACATGGAAAAAGACAAGGCGATTGTGATCATCAGAATGCAACTCAATTCGCGATTGGCTGCTTTCACTATAGGTGTATTTCGATGCTTGTAAAGAATTGTGCTGCAAATGGTCACGACTGCAAGTCCAATAAATGCAAACAAGAGGACTAGGATATTAGCGAGCCTTGTCCAAACCACCTCAGCTTCAGGGAGATCAATGCAATTTGACCCTTTTTCATTGGGCTTCTGTCCTTCAGGACATTCCTTACAGATGGCACTGTTTCTTCTGGTGCTGATCATTCCAGTTGGACATTTTAAACATTCCCAGCAGCAAGGAGTTGTTAGGGACTGAAATGTTCCTGGCAGACAATCGTCACGGCAGAACGACTTCGGTATGGATTTTCCACTGGTCTTTGTATTCCAGTCAATGTCTGTGTCATTAAATAGCAGCTTCGGGTTCCTTCTCTTATCCCATGAGCCAATGACTGTCTTGAATGGTTGACTTTTTTCTGCTGATGCATGAAAATGAACAATGTCGTATGAGGACGATACTGGATCTCCTGAGGAATCAAAGCTAACCCTTCCAGTCAATCCTAGAAAGTCAACTTTGCGGAGGTAGCTCTCCACTTCCTGTGGGTTTACTAATGGTGAAGTATCTGGACAAACGACTTCTTTGGCTGTGTGAGGTTTTGAACAGTTTAACGCAAGATGCAAAGCATGTCCAACAGCAAACACGGCATCTACTACATAGGGGACATAAGTGTCGTAAATCAAGTGAAACAGAACTTCCTGGCAATGGGCTGCCAGACTTGACGAACAGTTAGTAGTAATTTGACTCTGCCAAAGCTCTTCCCACCAAGGAACTCTATTTCGTTTTGAAAAACCTGTTGTTTTTTCCATCACAAATTCCTCAAAATACTTGTGATCCAAATATCGAGGTTGAATTCCCAGAGATCCATGAAGAATCTTTTGATTAATGTTTTTCAGTTCCGGGAAAATATCGTCTTCAGATGCCAAAGCATCGCTCAGGATCCAAGTACGGTCATCCAGCTGCCATTTCTCTGCTTCGTTAAGAAAGCGCCGCCCGTAACTTCCGAAAAGCCACAACACGACTACTTTCGCGTTTGGGAAGTTTTTTATCCTGTTTACAGCTCTACGTAGTTTTGAGCTATACTCTTGACGTGGAATATATTCTGCGAAAGCAATACAAAAGGTCTTCCTTCGCTCGGCTTCCTTTTCTAACTCCCACGCTCCACCACGACCATAAGAATCATCCATTGCCACAACGGCAACATAGCTCCAGTTGAAATACTGTATAACATCCGCCATTGCATTTGCCTGTTGGCTATCTGGAGATGCAGTGCGGAAGAAATGACGGTAAAGGGGTGAGCTTAACTCATTGCTAGTTGCCGAGTGGCTAATGGCAGGAATTCCAGCTACTTCCAAAAGACTGCCCACAACAACTGCACTTCCTGAATCTGTGGGACCGATCACTGCTGCTATTGGATTACGTTCGTTTTCAGTCTGGTTTGTTCTATCAGCGCACGAGCAATGATCACTCTTGGGTTTGAAAGCAATTTCATTTCTTCGAACAAAATTGTACGTGTGTTTCATCGCCATGGCAGGGCTTTCACAGTGATCCCGGATGTCATAACCAAGAGTTATGTTAGGAAGTAGTTTTGGGTTATCGTTTATCTTGTTGATGGCGAATATCATTGCTTCCACATGACCAAGACCTATTGGGAAAAGTTCGCCACATTTACCATCTTCTGTTGTGTAATGTATGAGGAAAAGGCCTCCGAGTGTAATATCACCAGACTGGTAGGAACGTCTATCCTCTTTTGTATTTGAAAATGCAGCTACACTAAGGCCAACCGAAATGAAGAGCACTAGATATGTACACATTGCGTAAGGGTCCTTTGCACCTGGAAGGTAAGAAACATAGATCAGGTCTCCTAACATGATCAATACGATTCTCTGGTTACACACGCTTGTAGAAGATGGCCTTCAGAAATGGAATACATTAAGTGCAATAATTACATGCAATGGCACCTGTCTTGAATAATCACTATGGAAAGCAAAAACTAAAAAAAAGGATTTTGTGACTTTGTGTCTTCATGAAAATCCGTGTCGCAAGGGGATTTGAGTTTGACAAAATCCTTACTGGAATGCGCTCGGTTAGGATCGAACCTCGATTTAGGTTTTGAGGATGGATATTGAAATTTGTTCTGTTTAAAATTTGTTTTATTGTGTACTCAATGAAAAGCTGTACTGTAAACTTTCATACGCAAGGGAGCGAAGGATATTTTTTTTTTCACCCGTGAGAAAAATATTTCGTCTAATGAGAATCGTGAACAATGTTTTCCCACGTGAGACACAACATGGTCGCCCAGCTGAGGCTCTTTGCATGACTTGATCACGTGATCATTTTCGGTAAATACGAAAACACCTCAGTTTTGTTAGCACAAGCTGAAAGAGCATATTAAAATTAGGTAACCTGAAAATTTTTAGCCGTACGTCTCAAAAGTAGTGATTGCAACGGCCGCCGAAAGTTGGAAGCATTTGTATAGGAAAAATAACTTTGCCATCAAGTCACCCTTGCATGGATTTCAATACAAATCCTTGTAATTTCGAAATTTTCAAACCTGCCTTCTCAAACTCATTAATAATTCATTAAGAAAATACAAAGGAAATTAATGTTTAATGAGTGTTTGGAAATCGGATGAAACACTGCTTAGTATTTGCATCCTTAATTTCTCCTTCAAAAATGATTTTGTTTGAGAAGAAATATCAAACATTCGTCACAGTGTTTCATCACCAGATGAAACACCTCGAAGTTCGTCAAAAATACTCCGCTGCGCGTCGTATTTTCAACTCTCTTCTCGGTGTTTCATCTGGTGATGAAACACTGCATCTCAGGTTTGATATATTACATGAAACATTCCCTAAGCATTACAGAGCTCAAATCTCCTTTTTATTCATAACAGACAATTTGAGCCCTTAAATGCGTAAGGGAAAGATTTATCAACTGTGTAAAAATTTTAGAATTTTCAAGGATTTGTATGGAAAACCATGCAAGCGTGACTGGATACATGGTAAGAGTGGTTTTTCTCATACAAATGCTTCTAACGTTTGGCGGCCTTTGCAATCGCTACTTTTGAGATATACGGCTGAAAACGCTCAGGTTACGTAATTTTAATATGCTCTTTCAGCTTGTGCTAACAAAATTTTTCAAAAAAAGAGCTATTTTCTTGTTTACCGAAAGTTGATCACGTGATCACAGTCATGCAAAGGGCTTGAGCTTTGCACCAAGTCAAGTTCCTGGCTCGTAAAGGTAATGTTACGCGAGACGATTCGCAACGACAATTTTTAGCGCAACACAGCGTTGCAACATTGTTGCGACATAGTTTTCAATGGTTACAACATTGTTTCAACATATTGCAACGCTGTGTTGCGCCAAAAATCGTCGTTGCGAATCGTCGCGTGGGATCTGCGGTACCTTCACTTTCCGTGTTTCTTTTCGGTCATACCACGATTAAACTATTGCAGATAATTTGTTAAGATTGTATTTAAGGGGATTTTTTTTGTCCGTAATTAAATTTCATTGTCACAGATCAAAGTTGTATGTAACCCAGTATGTTTTTTTCCACTCACTTTTAACCATAGTTAAAGAAAGAGAGATTCTTAGCGATTCAAGTATTAACTTTAGTATCCTATAGTCATAACTAATTTTTACTATAATTAGTTTTTGAACGTTTACTTCGTTTTCCTTATCACTCCATGATGCTAAGCGGCAAATTTTACCATTTTATTATTTCGGAATAATAATTTAAAATTAAAGACAATGGAAGAATGATGAAGTTCTTCTTTTGTATAAAATAAACTCAAAATTACATGAAACGTGCTTTTTTTACCAACAGAAACCTCACTAGTTCAATTTTTGATACCTCAACAATTTACGCGAAATACTGTACGCGCGCACTTGCCTTGAAGAATTCTATACGTCGGCCAGGGGCAAAAAACAGAATATTTGAGAGAATAGGCGGCACAAAAATTTAACAACAAAGGTCTCATAAACGCTGCCGGGTCCACGTGGCCTAAAACTGTATAAATTATAGAGCCAGGCATAATTCATGCCTAGTTCTATTATTCAAGCAGTTTAAACAGACAAGTTTTGTGACATATAGAACTTGTTTAGAATCGACAGGTAAAGAGGACAATGAAGTTCCAAACATTTTAAGAGGAAAAGTTTTGTGTATTCTTGTTTACCCCAAGCATGTTTCAGCGCTAGCGTGGCTTTTCTCAACTAGTGTCAATAACTTCCAAAACGTTTCGAAAACGGGTCTCACAAAACTCTTGTTTAAACAAAAGAAAGTAATGACCGCGTGCAATTTTAAGTGGTATTGTCTGTTAGCCATCTATTTCCCGTTTTACGTAAAATCACTCTAGTGAGGACCTGGACGAACTTATTTGTTTGGCGATTTGAGCCAGGAAACGTTCTTAGTGATCTTAAATTGCTTTGCTGAGATATTTCGATAAAAAAAATATGATTAAAAACTGCATTGTTCTTGTTAATCGCGACGGAATACAATAAGGCTAAGTATATTTTTTGTTATATTCAGGTGTTTGTTGGATCCAAATGAATTCTACGATGATTCACATCTGAGAGTTACGTTCTACTATCAATTACTTTTCATTAGTTTACGCGCGTGTTGTTGTATTCTAATTGCGCTAAGGCCGCACATGTTGGCGCGCAAAAAGAGCTTTAGACTGTTTGCAGGCGACTGTAAACGACATACTGCCTTTCTAAGGGTATCTGTTGACACTATACTGGACAGGTTCTCGTGCAAAAAGCTATCTAACAGTATGAACATCTTCCGATATGTGACGCTCCGCTTTAGAGTTCGGCCCCCCTTACAGAAATCGCGCCGAAATCACCGTTATTATGTGCGAACAGAAGCCTTATCGAAAGCTACCCCGCAAAGTGTAAACATGTAAACATAGCCTTCGTTAAGCATATCACTTTACTCACCGTAAGGAGGGCAGCAATGTCAAGACGTCGGTAAAGTTCTGTCGAACAACCCGAACAATGTAGCATATAAAACAACCGTTTTTTACATTTTTATCCGCTGTGAGTGTATCCCGGATGAAACAATGAAAGCGAGGCATATTAGTTGAAGCCGAGGCATCTTTCTTCCGGATTGAAATCCTGAAATCTCAAATCGATCTGATGTCAAGATTAATCTTTTGCGCATGTTTAGAAAGAACTTCAACTGACCGCTCTTGCCTCAAATAGGTTTGCGTACCACGTGCAGTGTAAGGAAGAATTCTTACCTTGTGACCTTGAAACAGCATTAATTATAGAACCAGGCATAAATATTTTCAAACTTGGCAAGTGTTCTAATTTTAGGGTGCTCTATCTAGTGGTGTCGACGGATTTTCCATAACTTGTCTATGTCAAAAGTTGAAAAAAACCGTGGAAGGGTCTATCAATTCATCAAACTATTGCTTCTTGACAGAAGATGGAGTGCTGCGAGTTGAATTCATCGCTTTCAATCCTTCCAGCATTTCTGTGTTTTAATGATCATTATTTTTGCTGTCGTGATCATTTTGAATTGATCGAGTGTAATTTCTCAATTTTGTTCCAAATTTTTATGTTTGGTGGGCCTTAGTGCTTTGAGGTGTGCCAGGTCTATAGAATGAGGATGGCTTTTTTTACTATGTGTGTATTGCTAATACCATGAGTTAATTTTACCACGTGTGAAGTTAAACTCTTATTTTGGCGGGAAGTTTTAGCCCTCAAATCTATAATTTCACATGTTAAACTGCAAAATGTCTGTAGCAACGTTCCGTAAATCTCAGGACCATTTGGGCGACCAGTTTTAAAGATGTTAGAAAGGAAGATGTCAGAGCATTAAAAGATGCTGTAGAAAAGATAAGAAACATCAAAGAGCAGAATTTTGAACAAAAAAAGAATTTCTAAAGAGTATCTGGTCAAAATTTCAGAAAATTGTGAACGTGGAACGGTGTTTTTTAAACTTTACAGTTCTTTGAGAGTCTAAGAGTGAAAAAACAAGTCAAATAAAATACAAAACTCACGATTATGAGCGTATTTTGTCGTCCATGATCTGATCAGACGGGTCAACAAATGGCATAAACGCAAAATGAGCCTAAAGGCTTGGGAAATTAAAAAAAAAATTGACGAAACGAGCCTTAAATATCTTGTTTCCTAATTTCACTTACCATTTGATTTATACACATATAAATGTGGCGCGAAGCGAAGAGAAAAAAAGATAAAACATTAACAGGTTATTCTTTTCTAGCTAATTCACGCCTTGTTTAACGTAGAATCTATCAATCAGTATATATGAGCTTTTCAAAACAGAATACCTTCTGAGGCTAGAATGCAAATGCCTTGACTACAATATACCGTGTTCCTGGCATAAAAACGCATCTAAAAACACGTGGTTGTGAGTGGCACTGCTTTCACGTAAAGATGGGATTGCCTTAATCTTAAATATTTCTTGACACATTGCTTAAATCTACACTGGTTTACTCTTTCTAATTTTCTCGCTTTTTCTACATTATGGATTTGGGAAATCGTTAATGACACTGAAGTTCATGATTTTTATATAATTTTTAGTGTTATATAGTGCTTTTGTTTCAATTCAAATATAATATTGCTTTATTTTCACAAAGTTAAATAAACATCTCGTTCTATTTAAATAAAAAGCAATATTATTATTATGCCGGCTTGGGTTGACAAAATTCAGTGAATGTTTAAAATTGTCCAGCCAACACTTGCCCTAAATAAATTGTCCGGCTGCAGGTGGAAACGAGGCTCGAGTTGACCTCGTTTCGATACGACCTTCCTGCTTTATCATGCTAATCACTTCTTTCATACGCTAACGAGTATTCTTTAAGCCCGATTTCCATAAGAAAAGGAAGCAGGTTTGTATCAAAACAGGACCAACCTCAGTCTCATATTCACTCAAGGGTTAGGATACTAAGCTCACGACTGTAAAATGGTCTATTTTACTATTTGTATTCGTGTGCTCACTGCAGCGGAATGCAGGAAATGTAACCTCTGCAAGTATTTTACGTGGCTATGTCAGCCGCTATTTACCATCTCTTTTTAAAAAGCTAAAACTTGTCTTTGCATCAATTGAATTTCAAAAATAATGCTCCAGTTTTGTTATTTATGACTATATTTAGGCACTGCAACTGATTCCTGTCATCTGTTGCGACAGATATCAAGGATTGAAACGAATTGAAACTTCCCAACTTTTTCAAGTTTTAATGCTCTCCCTGAAAAATCACCAAAAACAATTATGGTTTTGAAAATAGTATGGTGGAGACGTACGTGGTCGAACGGTCAACACCTGAAACTCTTGATCTGGAGGTCAGGGGTTCAAGCCTCGCCCGACGCGTTGTTTCCTTAGACAAGGAACTTTTCTCCATCCACTTTGCCTCTCTTCACCCAGGTGTATAAATGGGTACCGGTGACATACAATGGACTTTTGTTCCGACCACGGGGGAGTAGCAATACTCCTAGCCATGCTTGATGCCAAGGTTATACGGTATAAGCTCCAGCCGTTTGGGCCCTTGGTTCCTGTGCGCCTTTACCTTTATTGTTCCCTAGTGAAATTTGTTTTAAATCTTCAAAACTCAACAGGAGCATTTTGTGTATGAGTAAATTAAAAGGCACTAAGTAAAATAATGAATTAAGCACAGAATTGATCTCAAACTGTAATATCCTTGTTACACAGCCCATTTAACGAAGATTGTCACACTCTCTGCCCGCTCAGCTTATCAGTTAAACTTAATGTCTTAATTCAAGTTCTCCACACTAGCATGACTGCTGTTTCTAACTGAAACTAACGGTGCAACAGCTACTCTGCTTCTTATTCCGCTGCTGAAAGAAAATTCTGCGACTTGTGAGCACAAAGCTTCGTGAGTATTTTGCTCGGGTTTGCACAGAACAAAGTAAATTTTGGGGCCAAACATACAGACCAGCAACCCATAAGAACTCAAAAGGGTCGAAGCACATGCTAGACTCGTTTCCATCGACCCGGTCAGACCAGTGTCAACTGGATAATACCCCATGCTGGAGAGTAATAAAATATACATAGATAACACAATATAACGACCTTCGTTAAAGTTCTCCGGAAGGTTCCTTGCTTTAAAGGCATAAAATGTGCAAACTACTGCGAGAAATGACATGTAAACAATCATAAGGATCTGCAATATCTGTCCAATTTGTGATTGATACAAAGAACATGACAGATGAATTTTTCCTTCTACTGGTTTTATGATTCGTCGTTGACTTGGAGGATCCAAGATAACCCACAGCAAGACAAGTATAAGCTGAACAGAAATCAATGCCAGAACAAGTAGTGTCTGGCTTCTAGCCATCAAAATGAATTTCTTAAACTTTTCTGCGACCACGTTAACTCTGAACGCGCTGAGTATCTTCATGGTCTTAATTATTAGAATGGCGATAAATGTAGCCAGCACAGAAGATCGCCAACACGCTCCAAATCGACACGTAAAGTTGGTCCGCTTAGCAAGTTCGAAAATGGACATGGAAAAAGACAACGCAATGGTGATCATCAGAATGCAACTCAGTTCGCGATTTGCTGCTTTCACTACAGGTGTATTTCGATGCTTGTAAAAAATGATGCTGCACATTGCCACTGATGCTATTCCAATGGATGAAAACAGCAGGACAAGGATATTAGCGAGGCTTGTCCAAACCACCTCAGCCTCTGGAAGATCTATGCAACTTGATCCTCTTTGGTTAGGCTTTTGCCCTTTCGGACATTCCTGACATTTTGCACTGTTTATTGTGATACTTATCATTCCAACAGAACATTTTGTACATTTCCAGCAGCAAGGAGTTGTTGGTGACCTAAACGTTCCTGGGAGACAATCATCCTGGCAGAACGACCTTGGTATGGAATTTCCACTGGTCTGCGCATTCCATGTAATTTGTGTGTCATTTAACAGCAGCTTTGGGTTTCTGCTCCTTTCCCACGAACCAATGACAATCTTTACTGGTTGACGTTGTTCTTCTGATGAATAAAAGTGGACAATGTCGTAGAAGGAAGATACTGGATCTCCTGAGGAATCAAAGCTCACCCTTCCGGTCAATCCAAAAAAATCAACTTTGCGGAGGTATCTCTCGACTTCCTGTAGGTCTACGGATAGTGCACTATCTGGACAAACGACTTCATGGGTCACACGATCGGAACAATTTAACATGAGATGCAAAGCATGTCCAACAGCAAATACGGCATCTACTACATAGGGGATATAAGTGTCGTAAATCAAGCGAAACAGCATATCCTGGCAATTATCTACCAGACGCGACGAACAATTAACCTTACTTCGACTCTGCCAAAGCTCCTCCCACCACGGAACTCTGTTTCTCGAAGAAAAACCATTTGTTTCTTCGATCACAAATTCCTTAAAATACTGGTTATCTAAATGTCGAGGTTGAATTCCAAGAGATCCATGAATAATTTTTTGTTCAGTGTACTTAAGCCCCACAAATACGTCGTCTTCTGTTGCCAAAGCATCGCTCAAAATCCAAGTCCGGTCCTTCAGTTCCTGCTGCACTGCTTCGTTCAGAAAACGACGTCCGTAACTACCAAAAAGCCATAACACGACTACTTTGGCGTTTGGACAGCTTTTTATCTTATTCACAGCTCTACGTAGTTTTGAGCTATATTCTTGACGTGGTATATACTCTGCGAAAGCAATACAAAAGGTCTTCCTTTCTTCGGCTTCCTTTTCTAACTCCCACACTCCACCACGACCATAAGAATCATCCATTGCCACAACGATGACAAAGCTCCAGTTGAAATGCTGTATAACATCCGCCATTGCCTTTGCCTGTTGGCTATCTGGAGATGCAGTGCGGAAGAAATGATGGTAAAGGGGAGAGCTTAACTCATTGCTAGTTGCCGAGTGGCTAATTACAGGAATTCCAGCTACTTCCAAAAGACTGCCCACAACAACTGCACTTCCTGAATCTGTGGGACCGATCACTGCTGCCATTGGATTACGATCGTTTTCCGTCCGGTTTGTGTTATTAGAACAGGAACAATAGTCAACCCTGGATTTAAAAGCAATTTCATTTCGACGAACAAAACTGTACGTGTGTTTCATCGCCTTGGTAATGCTCTCGCAGTAATCCCTGATGTCATATCCCAATGTTATGTTAGGAAGCAATTTGGGGTTCTTGTTTATTTTGTCAATGGCGAATAGCATTGCTTCCACATGACCAAGACCAATTGGGAATAACTCACCACATTTACCATCTTCTGTTGTGTAATGTAAGAGAAAAAGGCCTCCGATTGTAATATTACCAGATTGATAGGATCTGTTACTTCCTTTTACATTTGAAAGCATTGCTGCGCAGCGACCAGCCGCAATCAAAAGCAACATATATGTAAACATTACCATGGTAACCGTGGCACCTGCAATAAGTAAAATAGAAAGATGGAAAAAAATAGATGAGATTCTTTTGATGAACTAAGCGCCATAGTGGCACCAAAAATCGGACGTTTCGAGAGGTGGCCATCATCAGAGCACATCATTTCCTTAACTGTCGACACTATACTTGAACAATTAAAAGGGACATAAAATCAGTATTTTTATAATCTCTTAATGGAGGGTTCAGTGAATTGTTTTCGAGAGTCCGTAAGACAATCGAACCTACTGTACACCCGTAAGCGACCTCACAAAATGTGAGGACCTTGTGGCCGCTCACGAGAGGTGGTCGCAAATGGGATCGTTCCCGAGAAGATGTCCGCACATTACTTGATAGAAGATATGCGTAGTTCCATGTTTTTGCTAAAAAAATCTTCGTACAGTATATTCTAAGTAGCATAGTGCACACAGCGAACTTAGAGACCAGACAATGCGTAAAGTCAGGGTAGCTTACAAGAGGTCAAAACAGTGGAAACTCATTAAACCGTCAGCCCTCAAAAGTGGTCTCGGTCACTTACAGGAGGTGATCGTTGACGGTGAGAGGTTCCAACTGTAAGACTTTGACTGAGAAAATTTTGCGGTTATGAGAGGTGGTCGTATATGTAGGTTCGACTGTAGTAAAATTCCTATTTCAAGTACTTTCTCGCTTAGTTGTTCCTTCTCCTTTCTGTTCTAAAAGAAAATGTTTCTTTAGATGAAGGTTAAGTTTTTTTTTTCATTCGCTAATCTTGTAATAATTTAAAAAGCCATATATTATCTGTAGAAAGTAGGCTAGCTTAAAACGATTGAGAAAAAAAGGCCATATCAGTATCGATATCAGGAGATATATATACACGACATTGTCCGGAAACGCACGCGTATCGTTATCATCATCTTCCCTGTTGTCTTTTCGTCATATGACTTTTTCAGCCTGTTTCAGTTTATCGCAACTTTAAATCCTCTTCCATATGGTAATAACCTTACAAAAATAACCTTTCAAGGTCTTTATTTAACAAAATTAATATACATGTCCACCTCATTATTTTAACGATACATAACTTGGTGAATTTGAAGTCCTCCCTATGGGCAAATTTTCATAGATTCTTCGATTTTTTTTAACTTTTGATAAAGAGCAGCAATTAAACGACTATCCATCGACATTGCTATAAAGAGGGCTTAAAAGGTAACTCACGGACCCAATTTAAAGGTGATTCGTCGAAAGAGAGGTAGCATATCGCTGCACAAAGTTGAAAACTTTTACAGACTTTTTGTACAGTGGGGGTCGGGGGGGGGGCACAAGTTCTTGCCCCACAAGCATACAAAAGTTTGTAGTTAAATAATTCTGCCACTATGAGGAGCTTTGTCTTCGCTTTCAATCTTGGCAACGTAACTGATTTTAACCCTTTCTTTCCTGCCGTGGTAACGGATTTTTGCTAACTTGTCCCAGTCAAAAATTGTGGTTAAAACCGTGAAAGGGTCGATTGAGTATGTCCTTGTTCTAATAAATGTTTCCCCTGTAGGTGGCCTTTTATTGTGCTCTGACTGGTTCAGCATGCAAACGTGAGCACATGGCAAAAATATATAGCTCACTTCAATTGGTACAGGCTACTGCCACTGGTAAACTTAAAAGTCAAACTGTTGATGACAAAACATTGTAATTATAAATCGAGTCTTTTCTTTCTCCTTCTTCTTTTTTTCTTTTGTCAGGCTACTTCTGAGCTTTTTTTCTATTTAATTCTGCGGGACGCATTATGTTCTGAAATTATATTCTAAATAAACTATTCCAATAAGATGCTGAGCACAAAGAAAACGCATTTTCCTTTTCACCAAATATTGGCATTTGCCACTGTAGTCAACCTTGTTCAGTTAGAATGTGTATTTGCTTGATCAGGGGCCGAATTTTTTCACGCCCGCAAGTATGAAATAGTTAGGGTGACGTAAAACAGAAAAGGTCCGAAGGACCGCTTAGGTTGATCTTGTGACACTTATTGTACCGCGGCATACTTCGGTACTTTTTTAGGTTTTACGCGTGTTCAGTGATGTTCTGGTCATCAAAGCTCTTTCAAAACAGCTGCTTCACAGAATGGTTGATTCGGAAACGATTTGCTGCACATAAATTTCTTTGGGGGAATAATACTCCACAAACAAGAAATTTTCCTTACGCTAACGAATGAATCAACGGCTAGCTTATCTTAAGGATGAATTAACTTGTGTAGCGAGTATGTGCGAAAAAATTCTTACCTTCTGTTCAATCTCTTTTGGGTACGCAACTAAGCCAGAGACTTTGAACTAAGTGAGTTTTCACTGTTAGCAAAAAGTTGTTTTTTAATAATTCGCACTTGTTTGCTTTGCGCCGGAGGTGAACTGACGGTGCCACAAGAAATGAGCGTCCGACGGTGTCATCTTGAAAGGTAGATAAACACTTAAAAACCTCATAAACTTTAGTTTAAATATTAATATCTACTATAATAGTCAAAGTAAACAGCCACTGAAAATGACAATAATGATATCACAGAGCGGATCTGCTACGTTTTCGTTTTATAATGCCAAAAATTGCAGGCCAGTGTATTTCATCCTCCTTTTTTTCGTAATATGCGTACAGAGGCCGCCATACTTGAGTGACATAAGGTTACAATCAATGTACATTCATCCTGAGTGGTACTCAACAAAGTTTTCAGTACATAGGGCGGCTCCACCCCGAAGTCCAACTGCTTACTTATTTTTCGCAGAAAGGGTACCCCTTTCATGTACCTTTTATTGGCAAATGGTACCCCTTTCCGACAAACCTAGTATTAAACTTTAACCCCCTTTAACTGCTATCAGAAACTCAGAAGGGGTTGAAACGTGTAACTCTCATATGTTTGCTTTGTGCGATGCTCGTGATTATTCAATTTCAAAAGTACCATATTTGGAACGAGAAGAAGAGGTGACTGACCAATCAAACTTCGTAAACAACGTGACGTAATTTTACTTCAGGTTCCCGCACCCGGTTAAAAAAATGGCCGACAAACGGGGGAAAAACTCCCAAAAGCCGAGAAAGCTCTCAAAGGTTGAAACCAGGAATCTTACCGAAACACTGAGCAGGATTTTATTGCCATACCACCCGGGCCAAACGTAACATTATGAAACCCATTGACGTCCTCGCTACTACTTGAAGTTGTCACTTCAAAAAACGACACCTCGTTGACCCTCTGCACAGTGAACTTATGCTGCAAATAGGCTTTTAAAATTCTTACATTAAAAGTCTAGAATAAACAGTAAAAAATATTTTCGAATAAAATTCAATAGCTGTGTAACGAAAAGTGCCAAAACCTGAGCCTGACATCTTCGCAAAAAGTGATGCGTGTAATGAATGTGAGAAGCATTTAAGCTTAAATTCAGCTTGGATGTTGTAGTCACGATCGTGTTTTTTATGAATGAACAAACTCAAAACAATAGACAGAGAAGCCGTTTCTTGAAAATTTTTATTCAAAGTCCAAAAAGTTAATCCTTTAAAGGAATTCGGAAAACACTATCTGGATCGTGGATCCGTTCACGCAAGTGAAATCGGCTGGGCATATGGCAAAATTCAACACAAAATCCATCTCAAATCGGGGCACATTTTGTAATTTTCCTCTTAAGCGCCGAAGAGAAAAATTTATAAAACGTCTATGAAACATTTAAAAATACATAAATCCCCTTTCAAAAACGTAATTGTCTTGGCTATAGAGTGCAAAATGTACCTGAAAATTCAGTAAAAACTTCACTGCCTTGGTTGCATTTCAAAACAGACCATGCACTCCGTCGTGAAGAAAACAAGGTTGAATTCCTAGAAGGACGATTTCTTGATGAAAAGCTTCCCTTCCTCCACAAAAAGAAAGCTGAGCATTCTTTAGAACTTTCTCTTTCCATTTTTTGTCTTTTAACGGTGTATTTTTAACCTTGAAATGCAGAACTCTTGTCTTAAAGCATCTGCATGGTGATCACGCGGCAGCCATTTGTTGAAAATGGATATCTGTCACTGACTAAGGTTTCCAAATATGGTAAAAGTGAATATTCACGAGCATTGAACGCGAGTTACACGTTTCAACCCCTTATGAGTTTCTTCTGCTAATATATAGATTTAGCCAGGGCTAAAAGCGAGGCTCCCATTAATAAATTTATAATTTAAATTAAACAATAAACTTGTATTCGAATTCCACAATTCGGTTAACTTTAGAGCACATTTATGTGACTGTTGATGGAATCAAAGGCTACCTGATTTTAGAGAAAAATAATTTGCAAACAGCCCAAGAGTGAACCAAATCTTACATCGAGTTGATAGCCTCATATGTACACCCAAAAACTGGTAATCATCTTCTTTCACATTTAAGAGCCATAATGGCTCTTGATCACCGTAGATTAATTAGTGGGAAAAAAATCAGGCCAACTTTTTTATTGCGTTCGACAAGTTTACTTTGCAAAGTCTTGTCAACAAATCTGGGTTTTCGTGTAAACCAACCTTTTATACCATTTATACATCACATCTTAGGTGAAAAAGTAGTATGAGGCACTGTTTTTATCATACCGGCAGACCTCGGACAGAAAGCAGTATTTCACAATACAAATTGCACTCATTCAATATTCATAAACTGTTAAAAAAATTTCCAAAATCATCTATACGGCCATCCGGTTCTCACTTTTGTAGTGCGAGCTATGGCGAGTGTTTGAATGAACATTAACAGAGTTACGCTCCAACATTATAAAGAATTTATTCTGTTTATTTCTTATTTAATGGTTTATTAACGCGCGGCATTTTGAGTACTCCTGCAAGTGATGTTCACTGAACGACTGAAAACAATCGGCACAGCGATTAAAATTACAAGAGAGACTATTAACAATCAATAAAAGAAATATAATTCGGTGAAACATATACAGAAACAACAATTTTCATTCAGGAAGACAAGTATTAAAGTATCCCTAAAAATCCTGAGTCTTCAAGCTTCAAGCTTAAGTTTATGTTTTAAGCCGGCTTC